TACATCAAGCTCGACGCGTGGCTTCGCCACCCATCCCCTCCCCGGTACTCGACGTGCCGTTCCACTCTCGTTACCTCTGGGCTGGCGTCATGCCTTTCCGCGCATGTGAGTTATCGGGAAACCGCCATCACACGATCTTCTATGCTAACAAACCGTGTAGACCTCTCGAAGAAGATCAACCCCGCGCACTTGAACCCTGACACTCTCGTTGGCAAATACGTGCCGAACCTGATCGCGAAGCCCTTCGAGGTGACCAAGGAGTACGCCCAGCTCATCTACGACCAGACCCTCTCGCCTCGCCTCGACAAGGTGCTCCGCAAGTGGGATCAGGACAACTGGGGCTCGCAAGAGCAGCGCCAGAAGCTCGCGTACATTATCCTCGTTGAGCTCCTCGCGTATCAGTACGCGACGAGACCCAAGACATTCTCTTCGTGCACTGCAAGTTCGAGAGGGTCGTCGAGAGCGGGCCTTCGCTGACACTCAACAGCATGGCTACTCGCACGCTCAAGGTCAAGTACGTTCGGCCCTTATGCGGATCCTCCACGCTCGTACGTCTCTTTCCCGCCATGAAACTTGTACATTCTTCACGTCGTCCTTCACGACATTCTGCTGTACACACTCGCTGCGCACGGTGCATGGGTACCCACCATCTGCACGATGCAACGACCGCCGCCTGTCATGTACCGTGCATGAATTGAGATATGCGCGCGCACATTGTCGTTGCACGCCAGCACTGAGGACCACGGCTCGTACGCCTTGCGTTTGACATCAGACCGCCCACGATCAGGCTCCTGGTCTGCACACGTTGAACGCATACCGCCTGTTCGCATTGTACCAGCCGAGAGGATTTCGTGCATCTCCAGGCCCGCTGTCGTTGCGCGTCCAGCCGTGATCGCACTAGCGCACACGCGGCGAACGTCAACACTGTGGAAACGAGGGCACAAGGGGCTCCGCATGTGAGAGAAGCGGACACCTCCGCGGCGGTGCATGGATTAAGCTCTCAAGAATCGCAGCCCAATTCTGGAGACTGCCCTGCGCACCCTCGGCGGGGCCGCATTCCGCGTCGCCCACAGAACGCGCGCCCGCCTCTCTTGTGCGACGCCCGCCCGCGGCGCCACGTACGCTTTACTTTGCAAACAAAATATATGCTTGTACCATGCGTCGTCTGCGTGCATGCCCCGTTGGACGCTGACTGCAGGTACACCTCACCTTGTACATGGACATTGGATGCCGTCGCGATCTGGCTCGCTGTTGCGTTTTGGGGTCGAGACGGGGTGGGAATTCGTCGGCTGCAAGCAAGTTGCCCTTGTCCAGCCTGCTCGCTGTGGTCGCCAACGTGTTGGGAGGCCCACGGGCGGCTGCCAAACCCGTCCTCCGCACCTCCCTCAGGTGTTCGTACCTCCTGCACCCCCACTCGCGCCCTCGATCCGGAGGTCGTTGGTGCTGACACCGAAAGACCCAACTCAAATCCCCGCCCCTTCATTTCAAAATCGATCTGAGTCGGCGCCGGGAGCTCTGCGTGGCGTGTGCGAGGGCGCGCTTGTAGCCTACGATTGCGGCGTGCGCCACGCAGTTTTGGCCGTCCGCACAGGCGCATATTCGCGCATAACCCGCGATTTCCTACACGTCCCGCGTGACACCCATGCTCTCCTGGTGCGCCTCCACTCCCTGCATATTGTAGTCGCAATTTCAATGGCGGTGGGACGATGCCGAGGCGGGAGCTCCGATTTTCTGTGCATGGGGGGCGAGGTCACGGACATGGACAAAAATCTCGACCTCTCCCGATCGAATCGCAATGACGCGAGCGGGTACAAGGGTTAACGCACGACCCACCATGTCGTCCACAAGCAATCATCCCTCTTGGTTTACTCTATTCTCGTTTATCCAAGCTCAGGCTGACCAATATGGCTCGCATATTCCCCGAACTTCCCGCGGCATCGGCCTCATACTGGTTATGCAGCTCGCCCAGTCCCCGTTGAGCCTCGTCATTGCGATGTGCCGCCTGCCCGACAAAGCGACCGCGCTTGCCGACCTGAAGAGCAGCGTGCAGGGCACGCTGCTCACCATCCCGCTTGACGTCATTCGATGACATCCGTGTGCTCCAAAAGCAGCTCGAGCCAGTCATTTTGGGGACCGGGCTCGACTACCTCCTCAACAACGCCGCCATGGTGGGCACCCCACCCTTCGCTCGCCGCGGCAACACAAGGTCACCGTGCTCGTCGATCTGAAGAAGACGGCAAAGGGCACACTTCACATCATTCAAGTCGATGTGAGCGACATCGACAACATTCGTAAGCTCCAAACACAGCCAGAGCCGATCCTGCCAGGGCCAACCGCAGCATCGGCCTTGAGCTCGTTCGACAGCTGCTTACCTCTTTCACCAACCTCGTTGTCTCAGCAGACCGCAGCCCCAGGAAGGTGACAACACTCCGCCTTGAAGGGCGGCACGAAGCGGACCCTGCACATTGTGCAGCTCGACTTCTCCGACTTCGAAGACTGCATGCGAGGCCCCCTGTGCAACTCGCGCCCATCCTTGGCGATGTCGGATTCGAGTACCTGATCAGCAACGCTGCCACTAACGTACGTCCTTCTCTCGCTCACTTTAGTCAGAACCTTACTTCTCCCGGACCAGACTTGCTACGACACGACATACACGATCGAGCCGGAGGCGCTGCTCATGATCCTGTGCACGAACACCATTGGGCCGGCGCAGCTCTGTCGCGTGCTCACCCGGCTTCGAGCGCGGCCACGCGAAGAAGATCCTGCATATATCAAGCATTGCGGGCCGCATTGCATGCGGGGGCGCGGACCCCGGGGTTGCCGGCGGTCGATACATGGCGTACTAAGCGATGAGCAAGGCTGCGTTGAATATGTTCGTGACTGTTGGGACTTGGATATTTGGTGTAGAATGAGAGGGTTGACTAGAAGCGGAGATTTAGACTGCGAAGCTGGAACTGAATACTAGATAGGCCGAATATCATTGCAATCACGCTCTGCCCGGGGCGGGTTAAGACGGGTACGTACAGCCTAAGCTACTGCTACCGTGTTTTGATACGAGCGCTGACGCTCACCTGGTACAGATCTGACATGGCGGCGCGAACACGCTGCTCGATCCCGCGGAGAGCATCTCGGCCATCTTGAAGGTTATCACCTCTGCGGCCGTGGCCGACGACGGGAAGTACCTCCGGCACAACGGGGAGACAATCCCGTGGTAAGCATGGGGCTGCACAGAGAGTACGGTATGATACAATGAGTATAATGCTCGCACCACCCACGCTCTATATATGTCCATTGTAAGATAGGCAGGCACACATTGGATCTCTTCTCCCACTTGGAGACCCGTGCGCGCAGCGCACGTTGCGAGCAATAGCCACTCTCAGCCCGGCAGGTAATGTGCAGTACACGTGTTACAAGAAGGGGAGAAGCATGCCTCAGACCAATGTGTTTGTACCCGAGAATACCGAGGGGCACGGAGGGGATTTGTGGTGACTAGTTTGACCGAAGTATACACAGGTACAAGCGCCCGAGTACACTGCGGTAGGAAATAAACGCTAACGTTGCACTGCCCATCACTCGACGGTTTACTTTGTTAGACCTCACATTCCTAAGGTCTACCGTGTTCACATCAGGTCGCCTTCACATTACCGGAACTGACTGAGATATACTGGGCGTTCAAGACGGCAAGGATCTCATCAAGTCCATTTTGTCCAATATTGGCCCTCAAACATGAGACGCCGTGAGCGAGAGAGATGAGAGGAGAGATGGAAGCCAAAAACTGCAGTAAGCGCTTTGCTGGACGCTGGGAGCCCGCCTCTCAGATCTCAGGTTCGGCAGGCCCCTGTACTGATGTTGTACCTGCCACATTATTCAGTGACAGGCACCGGTAATCGGTGGACGCCGGGGTGCTCCCAGTACTATCTTCTCCGACGTCTCCCTCCCAGCTCGCTCCGGGCCATCTCGCTCGTCGTCGTTCAGGTGTACAGCGCCGGCGTTTCGCGTACGTCCATTTCCCAACCAGTTTGATACTTACATACCGCCGTACATCGTCCGCATCCCACCCATGCATGCTGCTCTTCCCCTCATCGCCCCGCCGTCCGGTTTCTCATTTGCTATGCATCCTGCCGTCCCCATTGTTTGCTCGTCTTCATGACATGTTTGCAGCGGCGCGTTATTGAGGCTGCGCCCGCTCTGTACTTCTACGTCCTCGCTTTGCAGCTGTATCACATGCATTCCGACCTGCTGGAACACTGTACGGTAGTCTTCCATTGGCCGTACAGGACGGGGATCCCGGCGCATGAGTTACGGATGTACATGCCATGCGCTATGCGCTTTCCGACGCAAGTCGCGCCCTGTCCCAAGACCGCGTCCGCTGCGTGTAGAAAGCAGAAATTCTGGTCAGGGTAGACGTACATAGCAACGACCAAGAAATGCCTAACCGCGCAGCAGGATATCGCGGAATATTGGGGGCGCGCACGCCTCAAGGTCGGGCCGCAAGGGGGCTTACCACGCTCTGATGACGCACGCAGGACACAACGGCGGGCTCTGTAGAACGTTTTGGAGATATGTGCATACTTGCGGTAGGCCGTGCTGGCCCTGCATTGTGGATAGCGCACGGCGATAGTGGCTGCCTGACAGGCTGTCAGTCGTAGGTACTGAACACGCTGAATGTATAGACCCACTCACTCGATATCATCATATGTGTAGGCGCGACGTCGCTAGAGCCTGTCGCGCGGCTAACGCACTGGGAGCGGTAGACGTTCTAGTCAGGAGGCACACCACCAGACTATGAGGATCGCGTACTCCCATGTTACAGAGCGAACGTACCTTACAGATCGGGCGTTCCGTTTTGTCTGCAACGTTTCAGCGTCGACTAGACATTCCTCTTGCATTCACCCAGGGGTAAGGGCGCGTGGGAGGGCTAAGGACCGAGAGATCGACTATGCTATGTGGTGAGCACGTATACTGGTAAGTATTGTTCGTTTGACGTACCACGACTGCAGGCTGGCGTTTCGATGTCCGAATCATCCAGGATTCCCCGCATACGTGGAACAGCAGCTCGGAGCTGCCTAATGCGCAGCTTTCGCGACAAACGCCGCACACCGTAGCGACTTAATGCGAGGCCCCAGTGCCGCGAACTCTCCCAGGACTCAGTACTCGGCACGCAAGCGGGACAACGAAGCCTGAACTAGTTACCGTCAAACACAAACGCCCGTGCTCTTTACCTACGCAAAGCAGCGAAACCCTGTCAGAATATGGCGCGTTGTAACAGGCCTTGAACCGAGAAAACCTCAACAGCGGCAAGGACGTGGACGGCACGACCGCGTCGCGCTCTGTGAGTGGCTGCTGCAGTCGAAAGACAGCTATTTAATCATTTCATCTGTGTTGGACTGGCCGGGCGACCTCGCGCTTCGTCTTGCTCGTGACCGCGATGACGTCTGGCGTTTCTCCATACCCGCCAGGTTGTGTATAACCTATCCAGTGCTGTCTATTCCGCTCGATGTCCTACGATACGGACGATAGACTGATCTTCGGAGGCTCAGATGAGCTCCCGCAGCGGTGGATCTCCTGCGAATCAGTCTCGCGCCGCTTTTCAAATCCCGTTCTGCTCTGTAGCGTCTGCGTCGATCTCAGTGGGCACTTGTGCGAACTCCAGCGACGTTCCTATGGGTACGAGATGCAGCTGCGTCGTCTGTCGGTCCCTGCGACGAAGACACAGCATCGCCCGAGAGGACTCGTTGCAAATTCGATAGCGAGGGCATACCAGCGTCGGAAACGCGACTCCATGTCCTCTGCGCGTCCTCATAACGTGGGCCCCTGCCTCGCGCAGGAGACGAGGCGCGTCGGTGCCCTGAACGCGGGTGCCGGACGCAATTGGGGGTGCCGTAGCCCAGCTCGAGAAGTCCACGTGCTTCCCAGGGACAACGCCGGCTCTCTGCTGCCGGAGGGAGTACAGCATGGAAGGATGTCTAAGAGCTGGTCAGTCGTCGGGCGCGATAGAGGTAGATGCATGCGCCCACTTATTCGGTATTGTCCGACGCAGAGATATGTCGGCGTCCATAAGTACTCCGGGACCTACCACGCTGCGCCAGCAATAATTCGGGGAGCTGCTCCCGGCCAGAGAGTACGCCGTTAGACGAATGAAATTGCACGCTTGGTGTCAACGTACACGAGTGTGCGAACGTGCTGCTTACTGCTTGGCGGTGCCGATTATAATCGAGATATCGCTAACTATCACATAGATGCGGATGTGGGGAGATCTGGAGGCACAGTTAGCAGTACAATAGCACAGTTAGAGGAGATAGACGTACAGCACAGTGTATGTTGGGGGCTCTGCGACGCAGCTGCCACGAACGAAGGACCTTCAGCTCGCCGGTGCACTGAGCGCGACCTTGCACGGCAGATGTACAGCCGGTGGGTGCGAATACATCGTCATTGAGATCGGGGGCCATGGCGGGCGGACAGGATAGTGAGGTACGTACTGGAGGTAAACAAGTGCGCAATATCTTGGGGAGCGACAGTGGAGCTCGCCTAAGCCAAGGGAGAGCTGAGAGCAGAGACCTCAGGGTAGGCGGTAGGCGGAGGAGATCTTGTCGAGCTTAGAGAGTGGGACCGTGGCTAGCTCGTCTCAAGTGAGGCGCAAGAGAGCCGGAAACGGTGATAGCGAGATGTAGCGGGGACGAGCGGAAGAGACGTGAGCAACGAACGATGACGGCGTAGGGCGGCGAGAGAAGCGCGGTCACGTGGGCGCGCTTCTCCCGCTCTGAGCGGCTCCAGCGCAGTAAGCGCCAGCCTCGTAGCTCGCTCTGACCGCTCACCGCTCTGCCCCGCTCACCGCTCTGCCACGTCTCTCCGTGTCTCCTAGAATGTATCCAGTAGCAGCCTCGAGATGGCCCCCAAGCGGATCAACCTGCGCTAATACGGCACTAGTGGGAGCCTGTCTTGCCCTACCAAACTCGAACCGCGAACTCGGACTCGGAGGATCTTCGCGTTCAGGCTCCCCGACTACATCTCCTCCTCTGTGCGAACTACTTGACGACTCTATCATTGACACGGCGAAATATGTGCCGGAAGCTTTGAAAAGAGTAATCAGACTGTGAGTAACTCTTCGATATCCCGCATGCCGCCTACGTCGGACTGACGCACTGCGTTTCTTAGATGGTGCCTGTGTGCGCGCATATACGCAGCTACATAGCTCAGAGGTCCAGTGTACCTATAGAGGGGGGCCTCGACAATCCCACATCTGCTACTACTGCCCAAACATTACACAGTCTCGCCTGTTCTCGGTGACACGCCTCCCTCCAGGCATCCTGTCGCGCTTGACGAGCCCGCGCCCATCGTCTCTCACTGCTCTACCACATGTATGTTCTCCCTCTCCAGTTTCTCCCGTTATTGCCAAAAGCCTCGAGCAGGCGACCACTCTGCGCTGCTCCGTTTGATCCGCTGTACCAGCACTGCTCTATCACGGCCTCGCCGACCATCCCCCACGCCCTTCTCCGCACAATCACGAGCTAGATACGGATACACGCCAAGCGCCACCGGGGCACATGAATTGTGCCACCTTCGGCCACCCACATAGAACCTGGGCCCGGCTCTGCCTCCATGGTACTCGTACCACTCGTACCACTCGGCTCAATCAGCAATGCACACGATCTTCATTCTCCACCTGCAGTGCGTACCGCACCGCATTGTAATCGCCTGTCCAGGCGCTGAGTCAATCCGTCCATCCCATACCACCTGCGTTCGAGTGGGTGAGCTCGGCGCATAGACACACCTGGCCTTCTCTGGTGGCCATGGGGCGACGCATATTCCCGCACGCGCGCACCGACTCGTATGCATGCGACATTTTGCGTTCGGCTTTGCGTGGGTGCCATAGGCAAGGCATCACTGGCGTCGCGACTCGCATGGCTGTATCAGACTACGATAAGCTTGAGTTAGGTATATTTCTAAGCTCGTCCATTCTGCACCCGATGTCTTGAGATTTAACCTGCTGGGTGGACGCTGCGTGCGCACCGCTGTGCAAGGGTTGGTGGGCTCGCAGACAGACTCTTACAGCGTCACTTACACAAGACTAATAGTGACATTTTCTCTGACATATTATGCATGACGATCGAATATCATGTCCTACGCTGTATAATACGTACACGGTGAAAGCGACGCAGACGCCCACGCACTGCCGCACCTTCGCCCACGCGCACATTGCGCTTTTCTGCGTACAGCTGCCCAAAAAGACTAATCATAAGCACAACCCATAACCCGGCCGTGGAATGTGCTCGTTCTCGTTTATAAGTGAATATTGCGTGGAAGCGTCTAGTGCAGGCGCGCACACGTCAATCGTTGGTTTAATAGCTCACGGCCCCACGTCCGCCCCGCCGCACCGTGCGCCCCCCTTCAGCTCTCCTCATCGCTCTGCGGTTACTCGCTCGTCCACTGTCTTGATCTCCCGGCTATACTGTTCATTCTCACCCACACTTCTGCTTTCTCTCCCTAAGTTCGGCAGCTCGCCTTCGACCGCTGCAGCTATATCTTCGTAAGTCGACTCTACTCGATGGGGTGGCAGGAAGGCCACAGGTAAACCGAACCTGCAACCAACCCCTGATATGATTTCCAACAGAGCGGAAAGAAGGGACAGTACCACGGTACTGCACAAGGCCCCGTGCCTCCGCCTCCCACCATAGGCTCTCTACGAGTGACTCGGCCGCTAGCTGAGCATCCACCCATTCATCGACTCTACAACCGCCTTACGATGTCTGACCTCGGCAACGTCAATCCTCTTTCAACCGAATCAATGCAACATGTGGCTATGAGCAGCACGGAACGGTCTGCGGGACAGGCTCCATCTGTAGGAGAGGCTCTGTCCGAAGGGGAGGCACCTTATGGAGCAGCGTGCTGTGATACTGTGAGTATATCCTCTATCCCTCTCGCTGCCAACAAATTTGAATTCCACCATTCGAGACAGAAGGACAACGTGACACGGATCCGTCCTGTGATTCCGAAAAACGATGATATTTGGGTACATCGTCAGTATTCGGCGCTAGTCCATTTCTCACCGCCATCTAGAACATGTTATTGAAGAAATCCGAGGTGTACACGGAAGAGCAAAAACGGAAGGCATGGACGGATGCAGCGGTCATGGTTCAAGACTATAGCGACGACATGATCGCCCGATGGAACAAGGAGATTGATACATATCTTGTCTTTGTATGTATCTCGCTGTTCTGCGGATGAGTTAACAAATGATTAAATGGTTCTTCATCTTCCAGGCGGGCTTATTCTCTGCCATCCTTACTGCCTTCAATGTGCAGTCGTACCTTCTCCTCCAGCCAGCCGCGCCCGATCCATCTGTCGCCATCCTACAACAGATTTCTTCGCAGCTCGCAAGTTACTCGGCTCATCTTCCCTTCATCAATTCCACTCAACCATCGAGCTCTGGCAGCGCGAACGTGGCCACACCACCGCCTGTTCCACGCTGGACGGTCTGGTTGAATACGCTGTGGTTTTCCAGCCTTATTCTCAGCCTGACGTCCGCCTCTGTGGGAATCATGGTCAAGCAATGGCTAAACGAGTACAGCAGCGGAATATCCGGAACCTCCCGTCCTGTTGCTCGCGTGCGCCAGTACCGTCTGAGCAATCTCAGGACGTGGCACGTCGAGGACGTCGTTGGCATCATTCCCACTCTGCTTCAGCTCGCCCTAGCACTTTTCCTCGCCGGAATCCTCATCCTTCTCTGGAACCTTCACAGCACTGTTGCCGCCATCGCCTCGACCCTCGTCGGCCTGCTTGGTGTGTTCACTGTCACCGCCACCCTGCTTCCGCTTGTAAATCACAAATGCGCCTATCTCACCCCTCAAATTCGCGCCCTCGACTCGCTCTGGCAGCCAAAACGATATGCCTATTGGATATGTACCTCGATATCGACCTGGCGCAACACTGCGAAGTGGTTCCTCCGGGCTGCAGTCCAAATGCTATCCACCTTTCGTCGCCGCATTGGCTTGTATGTCTCGCCGACTTACTGGGAGTCCTTGTGGCGTACGACATGGGATGTGGTGCAGCGTCTCATGAAGATGTCCTCGCCACCAGAGAGCTGGAGAGACCGCAAGCAGACATGGCAGGGTCGGGAGCGATCAGCTATCGACGAGCTGACAAGCGAGTTGGACAAGCAAACCATTGTCGAGGCGTACAGCTCTACCCTACATCCCGACGCCCTATCCCTTGCGACTGTGTGCCTCATGGACTTCCAATCCGCCGATGTCGTCGACTACTTCCGACGCCTTCACAAGTCCGCTCGTGAGCACTTCGGCTCTGTGGCGGATGCGGAAATTGGCCCACTAGGGAACGGCAATCAACAGCGGCTGCTGTGGCTTCATATCATCCTATGTGCACTTTGGGAGAACGCCTCGCCCCTTCCAGACGACGAAGCCGTCGCTTTGGGTGTCTACTTCAAGCACGGCTCGTGGCCATCCCGTATGCAGGCAGACGACGCAGGGTGGGCGGTATCGACCTGTAATGCTATCACTGACAGACTGGAAAGCTCGTGGTCCTCATCCGAGACGATGTTCATTGATCAAGAGTCGCTCCAAACGGGGCAGCGATACCTGTTCGAGAATGCCATGCGTCGCGAGATGCCATTGGTCAATGTCTTGCTGTTGGGTAAGATATTTACCGCTTGTGATGCTTGGCACATATTGATCCATTTCCTGATAGGTGTTACCAGGACATATCGCGAGGTTCGCCTCAAGCAATCACGCATCACAGAAGCATCTTCGTACGATCTTGAGGCCGCTCTTACGGAGTACCTGCGAAGTGTCACCCACTTCCTGGAGCGCGCTAATCCCGCTTTGAAACACCCCTTCCCCTCCGACGATCTGGAGACCATTCACACCTACATGTGGGACGTTCTGGCCGAGCTCACACACACCTTACTGGATCTCTTTGCGGAAGACAAGGTGCGAAGAACCATTGAGTCGAAGTATCTGTTCCACGTTATGTGGGAACTTCAAAGCTTTGACGATGCCCGTGTGGAGGAGTGTATCCCGGATTATCTCCTTCCTGATATCCTGCACCTGGTGGACATACTCGCAACAGCTTCGGACTACAACGAGTGGCGCTGGGCGGAAAGAATCCAGGAGCATGCACGTGCATTCAAAGAAAGCATCATTCGTGTCAAATGCAAGCCAGACACGACGTAAGTACTCATCAATCACCTTTTCCCCGGAAATACATGCTCATAATCTTCCATGCTTCCATAGCGGATATCCCGACACATCTCCCGCTGAACCGTCCGCGTCGAGGCCGTAGGGACTCGGTCATTTACGATTCTTCCATTGCTGCTCGCAATCTAGGGAACATCCCGTGGGGTTAGATCGGCCGACTTATCGGACTCGGATAACACGTTGCAAAACCGCTCACGCATCTGCTTGGGATCCATGATAGCATTCCAAGTACAATATTTCTCTCCTAGCACATTTCTCACCGTTCTGCGCTCGCCGAACGCCACTCTGACTCTTAGGAGGAAGATGTACGACAATTCGTCCATATCTCTTCATATCACCCCCTTATCCCGTTATAAACACTGTCTCCCTCTTCACTCATCGCTGATTCTCCCCTAGCTCTCCCTAGCTACATAACCATTTCTCTATCCCTCGCTCGTTATCCTTTGCTACCTTCTGCGGACCTACCTACGTGTACGGGGACACACGCGATCTATCCAATATACACGATCCGGATCAGGACAGGCTCCAACCGGATGCTCTTCCTGAGTCTATGGCAAGCGGCGGAGTATCATCGTTTAAACCAAGACAGGCAAAGCAAGCTGAACGTCACGACGTTGGGCGCTGATGCTTGCCTCGGCGTTTTTGGCATTCGGGCCAATCGACTCGTCCCGTGGCAAACTACTACAGCTCTTCTATACGGGAGGTTCGAGTGGAACAAATACGTCCGGGCAGATTGTGAGTACTATGTCTACTGCACTGTCTCCTGCTAACTGAGGAGTACCCCCTTTTAAAAGGGAAGGCCCGAAGAGCGAAAGGCGGTTTAAACACGCCCAGAGGTTCCAGCTGTCACAAGTATATGTGTGTTGTCTGCATTGCATGGAAGCTGATCTCTGACGGTGATTTAGGACATGCTTCACAAGCGAGACAAGGTGTACATCATCTACTACAGGGTCTCGACAGCACGGCTCGAAATACAGCCCTCACTTCATTCTGTGCATCTCTCCACACGAGGCAGCCCCGCTACAGCTGCTACAGTTCTTGTGCCCAGCTCGCAACATAGACCCGCACAATTCCCTTCAGCTTACGCCTCCATATCGTCTTCAATATGCCATGGCGCCCGCAGCTTCACGCGCCTACCGATATACTCCGGAACTCAACATCTTGATCGAAGCGGGAGTTTCGCCGGATGCTCCGATATGTATGAGGGACATCCGTGGACATAAAGTATTCCGCACTTCAGGTAAGATATTCAATCTCAGAAATGCAGTTGGATTTCGGAGTTCAACTTCGAACTCGGTTTTGAAACTTGAGATCTCAAATCTGAGATTTCAACTTTCCCACACCGGCGCTCCCGGCACACCAAGCGCCCAACGGCACTGCCACTCCCTGCCCAAGGAGTCCAAGGGAGTCCGATCCGACAGAACTCTTTTGAAGCTCCCCGTACGAGCACGGCGGCCCTCAGTAACTTCATTTTTGCGTAGTTTTGCTATACTGACTACTTCTGATACTAGGTTGCCTTAAAAGTCTGTATGGAAACCATGAAGATCATTGAGTGGGATGGCCGCCCGCGCGGAGGGCGCGTTCGGGACGCAGTGCAAGGATGAACAGCTCGCCGCTCTTGCTCGCGACCTCTGCACGAGCATCGCGTACTATGTATATACCTGATGTATACTCATGGGCAAAGATTGAGGTATAAATTTGCGAATTTGCGAGAGCTTCGCCGCCGCTCACACCGCCGCACTGTGCAGGAATAAGTGCCTAATGTCGGAATGCATATTGTATAACTCATGCTGAGGACTTTCAATCCAGTTAAAAATGTTCCACTTATATGCATACTCTGCATCGCAGTATGTTGCATAATTTTGCGAGGACATCAGCATTTTGTGTCTGTCGAGCGTGTCCACACTGCAGGTAGAAGGAACATCTTGGGACCACAGATCAGAGCACAGTCTGCACAGGTGCGGTTACATATTGATATAAGCACTGACTAGGATATACCCACCAACTTATTAAGTGTCTCCTCAAACCGTAGGATTTTTATGCATGAATGCGCTGTTGAAGGTGACAGGGAAGAGGAAGGGGTGATTAGTAAGTGGTGTTACTTTTAGTCGTTACGTGAACGCTCTACCTTGAGTCAGTACAGATGATATGAGCATTAATTATTAATCACATTGTCCTTCGTCCTAATGCGCACGCTGCAATAATAGCAAACGTAGTATGCACAGAACCCGTAGAGAAGAAGTCTGCCAAGCGTGGGGTGGTGGCGGCTGGCGGCGGGCATCTTACCGTATAAGGCAACGGCGGCGGAGTAAGCGCTCGCGCGCTCGTGAGTGTCGGCACTATGTCGGCCAACGTCGGTGGCGGCGGCGACCCGCCATCTAGCTACCATGATTGATAAAGCCCAATATTCCCGATATATACCTGCTGAGGTCGAGTTTGTGCGGCGCCAAAACCAAAATACTGACTCAAGTTCGAGTTCGAAATGCAAAATGACATTTGAATTCAAATTCCGAAACTCAAACGCACTCCCCAAGTCGAGATTTCAATTTTGTCCGCCCCGGGGATTTATGTCCACGGGATCCCCTCATAGATATGAGCAATTCTCCTGGTTCGTGCCCGACTTCTAATTGTGAGCCGACTTCCATTCACATACTGAATCGGAATCCGCGTTCTCTCTGGTACTTCCCTCTAGCGAAAGCGGATGCGCTCCATGCACAACGCAATTTTCCGAGCCTATTCTAGACCTATCGTACGTCCACATTACCCCACACCGCCCTTCATGGAAGCCATCTCAGATCTTACAATGTCTAAATCGTATACCATGACAGATGAAATGCCGGCCGCAGAATCGCATACACCCAAATCGGCAGAACCTTAATCCGACGTCTGGAATAGAAACCCAGGGCGCGAGAACAAGGGCGGCCCACAACGCCCGGACACGCTGTCGCCTCCTCTCTCTATAGGTATCACAACAGCGACTGAGTCTTCAGCATATTCCTCGCATCTCTCCCCCTGTGATCTTCACTATACCACTACCTCTGGATGTCTAACCGTCACGGATCAGAGACACCCCCGATTCAAGTCAGAGAACTTGCTCGGCCACCGACGGAGGACGACCCCGTGACTTCTGAAGGAGATCTCCCCGCTGGAGCAGAACAATGCGAGACTGTCAGAGTCTTTCCTTCCACTCTCTCTGTCAATATCTTACGAGTCCCCCCATGTAGAAAGAGGTGCCGGAAGAAGGGAAGGCCAGGCGACCGCGTCCTGAGATTCCGGACCCTGTGTTTCTCGTGGTACGTCGTTCGCACTGTGTGGCCGGTACTACTCAATTAATCAGTCTCCGAGTATAGGATGTGTACTTCGAGCGAGACAAAGTGTACACGCAAGTGGAGAAAACGGAGGCATGGTCTAGTGCAGCGAAGATGGTGGAAACGTACAGCGACGAAATGATCAAACGCTGGAAGGAGGAAATCGACACTTACCTTGTCTTCGTACGTCCTCGATTGAATTAAAGAATGGCAATCACATATCTGACCAAGCGAGAAATTTGAAGGCTGGTCTATTCTCAGCCGTCCTCACCACGTTCAACGTACAGTCATACCTTTTACTTCAACCCGCCGCGCCCGATCCCTCCATTGCTGTGCTGCAGCAGATCTCCTCGCAGCTCGCGAGCTTCTCAATTAACCCTCCCTATGTGAACTCTACTCAGCCTTCGAGTACCACCCATGCGAGCAAGAACATCCCTCCACCAGTCCCGCGCTGGGCCGTCTGGCTCAACGCGCTGTGGTTCTCTGGCCTCATTCTCAGCCTGACGTCCGCTTCCGTGAGCATCATGGTCAAGCAGTGGCTGAACGAATACAGCAGCAGTGTCTCGGGGACATCCCGTCCAGTTGCTCGGGTACGCCAGTACCGCCTGAACAACCTTCGAAGGTGGCGTGTCGAGGATGTTATTGGCGCTATCCCTATTCTTCTTCAGCTCTCCCTGGCGCTCTTCCTTGCTGGACTTCTTATCCTCCTCTGGACTCTCAATGACACAGTGGCGGCCATCGCATCGACGCTCGTCGGCATTCTTGCCATCTTCACCATTGTCACCACGATTCTCCCTCTCGTCAACCACGAGTGCTCCTATATCACGCCCCAGATCCGCGCTGTCAACACCATCTGGCAACCAAAGCGGTTTCTGTATTGTGTTTGCTCCTCTGTATCGGCCTGGTGTCACGCAGCGTCCGAATGCCTCGACAATATCCACAGTGTGGCATTCGCGATGCGATCCCTTGGCAGTGTAATCGAGAGGCCTGCGGCTTGGAAAGAGCACGAGCAGACATGGCAGGGGCGCGAGCGGTCTACGATAGACAGGCGCACAGGCGATCTGGACAAACAAATCCTCGTTGAGGCATACAACACTACCCTGTCCCCGGACGCCCTCTCCGCCGCCTCTATTTGTCTCATGAACTTCGAGTCTGGCGACGTCGTCGACTACTTCAGACAGCTGCACAGATCGGCCCGAGAGCACTTCGGTGCCACGGCGGACTCGGAAGACGACCCCCTGGGATATAGAAATCAACAACAGATGCTCTGGCTCTACACCATCCTATGTGCACTTTGGGAAGATCAATCAGATCTATCGGACGACGCAGCGGCTCCCCTGGGTATATACTTCCGATCGGGATCGTGATCGACTGGAATGCAGGCAAGCGACACATCATGGGCGGTCTCCACTTGCAATGCTCTTCTCGAGTACCTCGAGACCGCGGGTACTTCCTCCGCAGTGAAGGTTCTTGACCAGGATCGGCTTCGAAACGTGAAGGCGGATCTGATTAACAGCGCTATGGGCCGCGATAAGCCCCTCACGAACGTCTTGCTTCTAAGTAACCACATTTTCTCTCCCGGAGTGTCGCGTGTACTGATCCAATGTTTGGACAAGCCGTTACCTGGGAATATCGCCAGGTTCGTCTCAGGCAGTCGCGTCTCACGGAGGCATCTTCAGACGATATGGAGGCCTCTCATACGAGGTACCTGCAAAGTGTCGAACACTTCCTGGACTATGCCAATCAAGCCTTGACATCATCCCTCCCCGCCAATGACCTAGAGATAGTTCGCGCTTACACGCGTGACGTTCTCGCTGAGTTCACTTGCACTCTGCTGGCGCTGTTTGCGGAGGACAATGTGCGGGCATCCATCGAGTCTTACTATCTCTGCAATGTCATATGGTCGCTTTCCAATCTCAACGATGCCCTCGTGGAGCAATGCGTCCCGGGTGATTTCGTTCCGGACATCCTGAGCCTCGCAGAAAAACTCGAGATGGCCTCCGACTACAATGACGACAACTCCTGGACCGCCCTCATCCAGCAGCGTGCACGCATATTGAAAGTGAATGTAATTCGAGTCAAGCACAAACGCGAGACAACGTGCGTACTTATCCGCCGCCTCTCATCACAGGCAATGTGCTCATGCCGCGTTCTGTCCCATTAGAACTATTCTTCAGCCATCACATGTTGCTCTATCTGCGCCGGAGGCAGTGGCTGAAGCGAGCCCCGACAGCTTTCCCTCAAGCTCTGCGATCGTTCCGCCAGACAGCTGGCAAGAGGACCACACAGCCAATTCTGGAGGTGCATCCCCATAGGCATCGAGCCTCCGAAGACCCCCCTCGCTCGTATGTATGCTCGAGCATGTACCTACTGAAAGCGCTGACTTATTGATTTCAGTGTCTTGTATCATCCCTCCGACGACAGATTCTCCCCTCCCAATTAGTTTTCAGGTGCCGGGGACTATCCCATCGCACATACAAAATCCAGAACCAATGTCGCACACACGACGACTCTCTTGGCCCTTATGATCTCTACACACCCCCATGCACAACCGGCTTCGCATTCCTGCGCAGTCCTCCTTGTCTTGCCCGTCGCCACGCCTCTCAATGTCTCTCGCTACGTATGCTTTTTATTTCTACCCTATTCTCGTCTGAACGCGCTTGGAGTTCCCCATGACGATGTATGATTCTTCTATCTCGCTTTCGCAGCCTCGTTATGTAGGCTCCGGGTTCCCGGCCCTTTCGATGATCCATGTCATACCTCGAGTACACCATATCCCTCGTATGGCCCCCCACATTCCGAATTTCTTGTTGTACTACATATTTACTTTGATTGCAGATCGCTCGCCATCTCCATCACATACCTGCACCTCCGAGTCCCGCGTGAAGAGACGAGGCTCTGGTGATTAAATAAAGAAGTAGTGCACTCGCACGCGGAGGAAGTACGTACGTACGCAGCATCTGCTCTACACATATCTTGACACAGGGCTGACATTTGTCACAGTTTCCTCTCAGACGTCGCGCCTGCAACCTGTGACGGGCGGCGATGGTCGTTGTGGCATGGGAATGCTATAGGACTATAACCCGAGCTGCAACATGGCGGCAAGACATTACGCGGCGATGGCGGGTGTGCCAGGAGGGTGAACATGCAGACGCTAAGATTGTGACAGTACGGTCTCCGTGTGGTCCGCACTTTTAAATAGTGCAGGAAATAAGACGCCTTGGCGCCGTGAACGCGAACATGGGACAAACAGGAGCTCGGCATCGGAACTCACAGATGTGTACGTGCTATCAGGGAGTCGGGCGAGGCCACGGGAACGGACTGGTCCCATATATCGTCTAGGTAAGGAATAACTCGCGCGCATCCTTGCGGTACATGAGCGAGTAGTGGTTCTGCATAGACATGAAGGGCGTCAAGTTGTGGGCGATCGCGTAGTCTGCGGGAGTGTCTTCCTTGCAGCCCTGTTTGCGATAACAAGTGGAGTTCAAGCGGCGCACTTTGGGCATGAATGACTGCAACGAGGAACAGACGTCAGAGGTCGATGGGTTGGCTGGGTAAGCTCGACGACGTACATTGGTAGGCGTATCAGGAACTCATGCTGATGTAGCAAACGCATCCCGCCTGCACGAGTTTTGCAAAACCTGCGTCTACAGAAGTCGTGTCGTGCCTCAGTGTTGCGCGCGCCGTCCAGTCACCACGTCGAGCAATCAGCGCTTACCGTCTCTTCAGCCGGTGACACTGGAGGACGTCGATATACTCGGGCTGCAGGTGCGTCGAGCTCGCTTCCACAAAGTCGAAGATATGCTCACCGTTTAGCGCCTTCCGGTTGATGATGCTCTCCGCTGCCACGGGGTTGAAGACCGTGTTCGTGCCATAGTCGGGCCTACGAGGCGCACAACCTATCAGTGCCACGCAGGATGCTCCCCGTCAGATGATGGACATGGCCGTGATTGTCGACTTGCTTGCCTTGGTCATAATGACGAGTGCCTCTCGGGGGAGGTTGAGCTTCCTCATAGCATTTTCGAAGACGACCTCCGAGAGATGGTTCGAGTGGACCTGCGGCGGAACCCGAAATCGCAACACGCGACAAGCGGACTCGTCGAAGAGAGAGGAGCCATAGCTCTTGAGCTGGAAGAAATCCACGTCAGTATGAGGCCCAGAGTGCCTGCCGGCTGGGTTTTGCGGCACTGCGCAAGCATGTCTGAGGTGGACTTACACCGTAGAATAGCAGAAGGCGCCTTGGAAGCCGCCGAACTGCATGCGAAGACAGCGCGTCTGACACGCTCTTTGAGGTCGCGACCGTAATGTGTGAAACGGTCGTGGGGAGTCTGACAGGAGGTCCGTCAATCAGAGGCACCCTGCATGTAGCTTCGCAGGACGTACTATACACAGCTGTTACTGAAACGCGGATGCTGACAGACGTGTGGTAGACCGAGCGACTAAGGACACTCAGCGCGCCAGAGCCGCTCGCGAGTGCCTGTGTCCCAGGGATTGGGTCTTTGATGGCTACGTTTTGCATATGTGCCTGGGATCCTTCTGTCGTGCAAGACGAGTTAGACGCGGCATGTTTTCGGAGAGATTAGACTTATACACCACTCAACTATGCGTTGACCACGCCACATCGTCATGGAGGCCCCAACCGGAACATTTTGGCGATGAATTGCACAATCGGGGGTCGTTGAGGTGGGTCGCGTCGCGTAGCGTCGCAACACATGTCCGGACCAGGCTGGTGGGATGTGATGCATCGCTCACACAATACTCGCGGGACGCCGTGCGGATGCATGCTTAAGGTGGTACCGGCGGTCGCACTTGAGGCGACGAGGAGAGAAGCTCAGACGCGGTGCCGCAGTGTAAACGTGGATGTTGAGGTCAACGGCGTCGTGAGAAGTCCAAACTGGGGTTTAATGAAGTACGCAAAGAGGAGCACGGTGAGAGTTCCATGAGGGCCTTCAGGAGAACGGCGGAGTACAGTGTGTCAGACAAGCCCTAGATCGACGTAACACGCTTGCAGGGATTGACACATACCTCTGGGACTCGAGTCATGGCGTCGACGCTACATGCAGGTTATCAGAGCTAGCTAAGAGAGCACGTGGACCATGTGGAACCCGATTGCAGCCTTCAGAGGCAGAGTACGAGTGTGCGCTGGATGAGGGGAGATGCCAACAAGAGACATGGAGGTAGGGGATATTTTGCCGGCTAGAAGAGATCAATTACACCAGTTACAAGCAGCAGCGGCCAAGCATACACCCGCGAAGGGAATGTTAAGGTACTGGCGCCACAAAAGAGTAAGAAGCGCAGGTAGAGAGGATAAAATGGGAACGTACCAGATGGGTCCGCTGCTCCGCGGGAGCTATATGTCCTTAGTCGTCCGTCCTGCTAAGACTCTGCACAGGCCATTGCAGAGTGTGTTGATGTAAAAACCTGGCAGAGTGTGCACCGAGAGATGAGCGACAACACTAGTGTACTAACCATGCTAGCCGTCTGTGTTGCGGTGCAAGTCAACAACGAAGCAACGTTCGTGCTCGATTCCGCTCGTACCGGATCGGATCTCATCGGGCCCAGAGAGTGGGACCAGAGCTAGCGTGAGGCAAGGCTCAAGGGAGTGCGCGATGACTTGCCCAGCAATATTGTAGCGGCGGGAATGAGCGGCGAGAGACGTGGTGGGGGCGAAGAGCGACGATGACACGCAGGCGGGCGTAGGTCGGCGAGAGAAGCACGGTCACGTGGGCGCGCTTCTCCCGAGCGGCATCGGGCCAGTAAGCGCCGTCGTCCTCACTCTGACCGCGATTTTCCTGCCACGTCCTGCACAGTCCATCCCTCTTCTACTGCTCTCTGTATTACTTCACTCAATTCTTGCCAGCGCCAAGACAGGATATAGCACATCGGCGATCATTCCACTCCATCGAAGGTTCACGCCCACACCCACGACCGTCGACTTTAGGACGCGCCGCCTCGAGCTTCTCCTTGCGCGGTCATGCAGTCTCCCTCAGCTTCACTCTCTTCACAAGCTGAAACACTGTGTTAGGTTTATCCATATGCTGCCGCTCCATCTCTGACCAAATAGTGAGACATCAGTTCCCCATCTTCCGTGCTGTCTACCCTCTGGACCAACATACTCGTCGCACGGGAGGCGAGTGGCGTATCTAGTCCGCCCACACGTTGGATTTCGCGGGATTTTCCCGGGATGCGATTTATCGCTTTGTTCGCCGTGCTTTTACAGACACGATGATATTAATTGGTGAGTAGTATTCAGTCCCTAGTGTTGCTATTGGCTTAAACTCAAAGATATTCGCATATATGCCGCAGCGCAGTTCACAGTGTCTTAGTTTTACAGTCGTTATTCTGTGAGTAGCCATTGACACCACTGCTTGTCTTCATATCTGAGTCCTCTTTTTGTGCGACCTCAAGGAGTGCAGAATGCATACCCGCTTGTTCAAAATGACATTTTCTTCACCTGAATTTCTTTTGACAACAATACGCCCCTCCGGCGCAGCCTCCCGAGATCCCTTTCTCTACCTGAAGCCGCGCTACCGCTACTCTTCTACTCCGGACACTAAATACAACACGGGTATGCATAAGATACCCCCGCAAAAAGTCTTCCTATCAAGCTAGGACCTTTCATGGCCGTCTCGGGCGTCGAAGCCCTTGTTGGTTTTTGGATTCGAGCGAGCGAGCGCCTGCTCGCCGGCGTTTGCCGAAGCGTTCAGTAGCACGCCCGGGACCCGTTTCGTACGATATCTGTTTGCCTCTGTACCACGATGCTACTGTACAGGACAACCAGAACCCCTCGTTTTTTTCTCTAGACGACTGGATTCTCGCTTGTTCCAACAGCCCTGTGGACCATGTCAATCGCCTGGCAAGACTCTCAAGTGAAGTGGATTGGAGCAACTTTGCAAGCGAGTTATGTTCCACCCGTCTCGCCTTTGCAACACTGACTGGCTCATATTGGCCAGGGAACTAAGCGACCACGATTAGGACCGTAAGACTATGGATGTATAACCATCTTAGCCAAAATCGGTATAGTTCACTCCTCCGCACTTGTGTACGTCCAACCTCGCCAACATTTCCAACCCCGTAGGCCCACACGAAGCAGTCGCCTAAAGCGCCCCAGGCTCTTCACATACCACGACCAGGTTGTGCGGTGAGCTCTGGTGTCTCGTATTCGGCGTACTTTGGCTGAACATCATAATCTCCACGTTTGGATTATCTAGGATTCCCAACGTAGGCGGAAGAATAATTCGGAGCGGCTTGATGTGCGGGTCTTGCGGCGACCTGACGCGCCCCCCGAGCGACTTCAAGCAAGTACTCGGCGTTGTAGCGCCTTTCATGACGTCCTTCCATCACGTAGAGGGAGACGGTGACGTAGATACCCCTTGTGTAACACATGAGCCGATGCTGATTTCCTGCGTAGCGCAGAAACACCGGGTCAAACAAGTAGACACATTTGAGCGTACCGGATCATGAATGTGGCCAGCTGCGACGAAGTGGACGCCAGACTCTCGTAACCTCGGTGAGTGGCTGCTGCGGTTGCATAGTGGTTCTTTTGACTGTCATGCTCGTGTCAGGCAGATGCGGCGGCTTCACGCTCCTCTTCCTCATTGTGGTCCTGAGGGAGTACGGTGTTTTGTCCCACTCTCCAGATGGTGTCCGTCCCATGGAGAGAGATTGTGCGCGCTTGATCTTTTCAATATACAATCAAGTTCGGGGTCTCGGATGTATTTCCGTAGCAGTGGATTCCATTCTGACCATAATACCTCCTTTTAGGACCGATTTTACCTCTGGAACCACTTAAGGTAGACTGTATGGACGTGCCTACGAGTCAAGACTCATAACCACCAATGTTTCGTCTCGTGACCGCTCAGAATAAAGTCGTGTACATTTTCCAGAGTTCTCGACATTCAAACGTTATCCTCGCATGCGCTAGGCCTGTGGTACGTGCACTAGTTCACACCCGACACCGTTGTACTCGCTAATTCCGTATCGAAACAAGGCCACGGCGTAAACATACACAGCCGTCGTGAGCGGATATCGTCTCCCGGGTCAGTGGAACATCGAGATCGCCCTGGAACGGATGCGCACATCCTTCCTCCCCTACACGGGATACCATGAGCAACCACGCTGAAGAACCTAAGACCTTATCGCCTATCTTCGGGAACAGAGCACATCAGTCTCGGCGCACACAAAGCGTACAATCAAACGGTATGAAGATTTTGTAGCAGTCATTCGCCCCCGAGTCTCTCACATTCCACTCCAGACTCAGTTCATGCTATATGCTAGCATATGAGATTGGGATCGAGAGAGGCTTCGCACGGGAACCTCATGAGGAGCGTCTCGGCAGGAACCGCGCACATCTGTAGCTCCAGCGAGAGATGAGTGTACCCCCTTTTCTTTCGACTTGATTCATCGTTCTGATGTACCTCGTCCTGCGTCTTGTAATGTCATGGCGCAATCACAGCGTTGCCAGCGCCACGCTGGTGCGAGCCGTCCGAGTGCTGTATTTGACGAGAGACTGTCAGAAAAGCACGTGTACTGATCGTCCGCATCCTCCTCGTCCGCGCTGCTGGCGCGAATATAAAATCCTGCATGCGACTCGAGCTCCATCTACAGCAATTGAGTGGGAAACCTTCGCGGCATGGAGACACGGAGACAACAGCCATGACGGAAACCGTTCTCATCAGCGAGTCCAGCCTTGACAGCGCCTCAAAACGCTGCGTGAATGCGGCCACATCGTGATGGACTGTGGTTATCCTACGCTTCCTCCGTTTTATGTATGACAGGTCAATACGTGTCTGCTGCTGCCTTGCGGACCTCTTCGCCCTCTTACTCCTTGTCCTCTTTCCCTGCCCTATTGCAACACGGATCGGATGACCTCATCGGCCAGGGCGCGGCTTCCGTGTTACACGTCCTGGGGTACGGGTACTGTATCTCGCATCCCCAGTGTGATTACACGACACGCACATGTGGATTGAAGAGAGCTTGTACAGGCCATGAGTAAACGTCTTCTCGGCCACGCAGGATATTTTGTGAAACTGCAAATGGTGGAGCGAGTGGTCGTCGAGTCGTTCCGTGTAGGGAGCCCGCGTTGCAAACGCGCGGGGACTTCGATAGCGCTTTACGTACATAGGTCTAGGTACTGTACGATAATCGCGGAATCGACCGAGATGGCGCGCGCACCGGCTGGAAGCCGCCACCGGCCCGTCCTCCCAAAACACGCGTGCACATGTTCTAACAGCAAAAATACACACAGGAACGTAGGTGGATATACCACCCTCCGATGAAATCGTATCCGTATGTTACATGTATTGCTTCCTAGACGGTGTTATGCAATTTATGTGTGTCGAAGGAGTATCATTCGTTCGAATCACGAATATTATGCCAACGCCGCCTCTGACACGAGCATGTGCAGTACTCGTGGCAGGAATTCTTACATCGTGATATCTCGACACGTGTATGCGGGCTGAACTCTATTTAGTCCCCCGCATGGAAGCCGAGGACACGAGGAGAGGGGCCCCCTCCAGCGCTCCACATCTCGACCTATATGCCAGTGTTCATTTCAGCCTATCCCTTGTAGCATTCCCTCCAATCCCTCGCTGTAACACGTACTGCATCTCAATGTCTGAGGACTACGGATCGGACCCGCGCTCGGTCGAAGAAGCGTCTCAGCCGCCCCCGGCGCCGAACGACCGCATGATTTCTGAACAAGATCTCCAGGCGGAAACAAAACAATGCGTGACCGTCCGTCCCTTTTCTCTTACATGCTCTGCGCTTTCTTACGAGTCGATCCAATCAGACAGAGGCACCTGAGGTGGAAAAGATAGCACGAACTCGCCCTAATATTCCCCCTGCAGTATCTCTCGACGTACGTGCTTTGTATTGGATATTCACACTCGCCTAACAGCGTTCTAGAGTGTGTTTTTCAAGAGATGTGACGTATACACGCAGGAGCAAAAGGCAAAGGCGTGGTCTGATGCTGCGGGGATGGTTCAGACATATAGCGACGAGATGATCAAGAGATGGAAGGAGGAGATAGACACCTACCTCGTCTTCGTACGTAGTCTTGTTACCGCCTCACATAGTTGCATCATTAATCAAACAACACTCTTAGGCTGGTCTCTTCTCAGCCGTCCTCACCACGTTCAACGTGCAGTCATACTTGCTACTTCAACCTGCCGCGCCCGACCCCACCATCGCTGTGTTGCAACAAATATCCTCGCAACTAGCGAGCTTCTCAATCAACCCGCCCTTCATCAACTCGACTCAGCCTTTCAGTACCGCCCGCGCACAGAATGCGAGCACCATGCCCCCCGTCCCGCGCTGGGCCGTCTGGCTCAACGCGCTGTGGTTCTCAGGCCTCATTATCAGCTTGTCCTCCGCGTCGGTAGGCATCATGGCCAAGCAGTGGCTCAACGAGTACAGCAGCGGCGTCTCAGGAACCTCTCGTCCGGTGGCTCGACTGCGCCAGTACGGCCTGAACAATCTTCGAACGTGGCGTGTTGAAGACATCATCGGTGCGATCCCTATTCTCCTTCAGCTCGCCTTGGCGCTCTTCCTCTCGGGAATTCTCATCCTGCTATGGACACTCCAAGACACTGTCGCTGCCATTGCATCGACTCTCGTTGGCTTCCTTGCCGTCTTCACCGTTGTCGTAACGCTTCTCCCTCTCATCAACCACGAGTGCTCCTATCTCACCCCGCAAGTCCGCGCAGTCAACGCTGCATGGCAACCAAAGCGATACGTCTATTGGGTTTGCGCTTCCATGTTCCGCAAGCACTATACTGTGACGACGATTCTCAACTCCACGCGACAAAACCTATCCACTTTCTGTCAGCGTGGTCGCGTGTACCTCTCACCGAATCACTGGAGATCTCTAAGTCGTCAAGTGCGGGACACCGCTCGAAACATGCGGGGTATATCCTTCCCACCGGAGACTTGGAAAGAGAGCAACAAGACGTGGAAAGGGCGGGAACGGTCGACTATCGACCAACGCGCAGGCGACTTGGACAAACAGACACTCCTGGAGGCATACAGCTCTACCTTGCACCGTGACGCCCTCTCCGCCGCCTCCGTGTGTCTCATGGGCTACGACTCCAATTTTGTCATCGATTACTTCCGACAGCTGCTCAAATCTGCTCGAGAGCATTTCGGCGCTGTGGCGAGCTCGGAGGACGGTCCTCTCGGGAACGGCAATCCACAGAAGCTGCTATGGCTTCATATCATCCTGTGTGTATTTTGGCAGAGATATAGGCTGTTGAAAGACCGTCCAACTCTGTCAGAGGACGAAGCGACTGCGCTAGGTGCTTACTTCAAATTCAGACCGTGGTCGTCCAGTATCCAGGCGGCCGACGCAGAATGGGCGGTCTCTACTTGTAATGCTATTCTCGACTATCTCGAGACCGCGCGTATCGCCTCCAAGGTGACGTTTGTCGACGAAATGGGGCTTCTATTGGCAAAAAGAGACCTCATTTACGGCACGATAAGCCGCGATAAACCTCTAACAAATGTCTTGTTACAAGGTGGGATCATTCTTTCCCATGGAGCTTTGCGAGTACTGATCCGATATCCTGGAAAAGTCGTCACCGCGGCATATCGCCAGGTTCGCCTCACACAGTCGTGCCTCGCGGAGGCGCCTTCGGACGATGCAAAAGACGCGCATACGAGGTACCTGAAAAGTGCCTACCGCTTCCTGCGGTGCGCCAAGCAAGCCTTTGAATCACCCCTCCCCGCCGATGACCTGGAGACCGTGTACACCTACATACGGGACGTTCTCGCAGAGCTGACGAGCATATTGCTGAAGCTATTTGCGGAAGGCAAGGTGCGGGCCACCATTGAGTCGACATATCTATGCGATGTTATGCGGCAACTTGGCTCTCTCGACGATGCCCGGGTAGAGCAGTGCGTCGCGGATGGCTTGGTTCCACACATCTTGCGCCTTATGGGGAAACTCGAGACGACCTCTGACTCTGACGACAATCGCTGGACAAACACTCTTCAAGACTCTGCCCGTGTCTTAAAAGAGAAAATAATTCGCGTCACGCACAATCCCGGGACAACGCAAGTCATCGCGTTGTGTCTCTATGTTCACAATGGCCGCTCACAATATTTCTTCTTCAATCAGACTATCTCCCGAGCCATCGCATGTTGGTTCATTTGTGCCTGAGGCAACGGCGAGGATGAGCCCAGCAATCCCTCACTCGAGCTCCGCCGTCGATCCGAGGGACGATTCGCAGAAGAAGCACACGGCCGATCCCAGTGGGGCTGCCTGAGAGGCTTCGAGCGTTTTGGGTCTCCCCTCGATGGTATGTGTGCTCGAACTTGTGCTTACTGGACGCGCTGACAGATTCATCCTACAGTTATCGTGTCTTATTCCTCGAAAACACCACCACTCGACTTGCTTTATGCGACTCTCAAACAGAAAACACCATCTTCCCGATCCTCGCGCGCGCGCTCGACACCGGCTCCAACTGGCCACCTCGGAGCGTTCATCGCTGGTCCCGGATTCCCTCCCGACTGGTGCTCCGAAGCCCGGAGCTATCCCATCGCACCTCCGAAATTCAGAACCAGTGTTTCACACACAACGACTCTCTCGACTCTTCTGACCTCTACACGCTCCAGAGCACAGCCCGCTTCCCATACCACTACAATTCGCGTTCTTTCGCCCGCCTCCGCGCCTCTCGATCTGTCTCTCGCTATGTAGTCTCGGGCCCCTATTACTACGATGTCCTTCTGCCATATTCCCCCATGCAGTGACGCGCTTTCAGTCCCCCACTACGACGTATGATTCTCCAATCTCGCTTTCGCCGCCTCATTATGTATACTCCGAGTTGCCAGCCCTCTCGATGACCCTTGCCATACCGCGAGTGCACCGTACCCCTGATATCGCCACCCACGTTCCGGATTTCCTGTTGTACTATTCACTTTGATTGCTAATCACTCGCTATCCCCGTCGCATACCTGCACCTCTCACGCAACGAGACGAGGTTCTGGTGACTCAAGAAATGATGATACTATAGAGCGGGTGTGCCACTTACGCGCGGCCGATCTACATACGTGCACTCTACGGGCTTGACCTGGATTCCGGTTCTCTCCCAGAGACCGTACCTGCAACCTGTCAGAGGCAGCGATGCTCGTCGTGGCATGGAAATTCCACAGGCCCATAACCCGAACCGCAACAGCGCTGCTAGACATAACGCAGCGACGGCGGAAGTGCTTGTTCGGAAAACGGCCCAACGGTGAGATTGTGACGGTACTGCCTCGGTATGTGTATCCTTACCGCGCGCCCTTGAATCGTTAAGGAAACGAGGAAACGAGACACCGTGCACGCGAGCGAAGGACACGACAAGGGCTCGGTATCGAGACTGAAAAATCTGTATGCGCTGTCAGTGTGTAGCATGGGCCCTCTTGTTGGGACGGAGTACGACAAGGGCGGATACCTAACGTGTAGTCAGTCGTGGGTACTGATAAGGCAACACGCATGGGCTCCCTCACGGTGATGTTGAATGTAGGCGCATAGGGGGTACCCCTGGATATGCTGGAGTCCGTCGCGCGGTCCTCGTGCCGATGGTTCTCTGCGTGATGCCTAGATCGTCCAGCACCGACTTCTGCCTGTTCCACAGCTCTTCTGCTCAGCTAGTTGGCCCTCTGAGACTGTAGACGGCGAGTTTGAGGCCGCGGTGACTGCTCTATTATAACGATGGCGCAGAGATAGACAGCGTATAGTCGGCCGTTTGTACGCAGAGAGCCCGTAATGGCTGAGTAAGCCCTCGCCCATCGCATTGAAAGTCGCGCTTATGTTGCGCGCAAAAAAGGCCCCCGCCAAAGCGGCACCGGGGCGGGAGCGTGGTAGAGCGGGAGAGGACCTACTTCGGATATAGGGTGAGTCGCACGGGAAGGCCCAGAAGCAAGAGATGCGCATACGTCGAAGGACAGAGCTCGACGAGCGAGTATACGCTCTGCGGGAGACGTGGCCATGGGTGCAAAGAGCGATGACGCACGCAAGCGGGCGTAGGTCGGCGAGAGAAGCACGGTCACGTGGGCGCGCTTCTCCCGTTCCGAGAGCCCCGGGCCCTGTAGGCGCCGTCGTCCTCTACTTGCTCTGCCCGCGAATCGTCCCGCTGGCACGTCTTGCAGACAGTCCACGTTTCCTCTACCGCTCGGTCTTTGCCTCTGGTCGTCTGCACACAGCGTAACCCCGGTCAAACCATGCGTTCTCAGGATCTCACGCTTTACACCCGCGTGCACCGCCGGCGGTCTCACGACTCGCCGCCTTGCGGTTCTCCTTCAAGTGCGATCAGGCCGTCTACGTCAGCGCACTCTCCTCCAGACGGGAATCACTCTGTAGTGTCCATACTTGACCTCAGGTCTTAATACTGCGCAAATAGTGAGAAATTCCCTGCCTACCTTTCGTACTACCTGTGTTAACGTCAACATAGATAGACATCTCTGGTCGACTCGTACATTTCGAAGAGGACGACGAAACTGTTCGGTGAGGACTAATATCATTCTTCAGTTTTTCTCGTGTCTCGATTTAGCCGTAAGACCTTCGAAACCGCTGAGAATCATGCACATATATGTGACTACGTCGCACATAATGCCCCAGTCTTACCCTCGTTATCCTGTGAGTGGATACCTCTCTGGAGGCCTGTATCTCATCGCAATCCTCTTCTATGATGTATCGCTCTCTTTTCTCAATGTGAATTTCTCCCTCGCCGGATGTCTTACTCGACGCCAATGCACCTCTCTACCGCCTCGTCTTCGTCCTCCGCCCCCAAAATTCCATCAGACAACATCAACCCCCTGCGTGCGCCCTCAAAACGCTGGATGGTACGCGTACCTAACGTCCGCCCGCCTAAGCCACACTTCTTTGTGACCATCTCGAGCACCAGAACCACCACACCGCCGGTCGTCTAAAAGGACTCCAAAAGAACGCGAGTCGCGATATCTCGGTGAGTGAGTCTGTACTTCGCGCGAAAGCCTGTGCCAAATTGAGACGGTAGTGGGTGTCAGAGCACCTAGCTGCGGGGATTACGACGGCAGATGCGCGGCGCAACATGTCATGGCTTGAGTCGGTGAGATTCACTCTTTAGAACGAGCCCATAACCCGGCGTCCAGCCAATCTTTCTGATCTCGCCACCCCCGCAGCCCGGTGCGTGGCATATGCTGGCTGTGTGTGCGGTGAGTGTGCCCTGACCACCAGACGGACGTTGATCGCTGCCGCTTACGTCGCGTGAGGCTCCGTAGTTCACCATCAGTTGCTAGATCTAGCATCGAAGACATCGTGCGCTCGCACATCTTAAGCGACTCGAGGGGCCACCCTGCTCCCAATCTGTGAACCTCGAGAGAACCACCCAGGGAACGCACAGGTTCTTCAAAATGTGCGACGAGGCTGTGCGGTGAGTACTAGTGTCGCGCACTCAGCGTACTGCATCCGAACGTCGTGTCTCCGCGTCTAGATCATCCAGGAGTCTAGGCATCCCGGTGTATGCGATAGAGCGGCTCGTGACGGCATAATATACGGCTGTAGGAGCGGCCGCTGCACTCTGCAGGGACTCCATCCATGTGCACGGCCTCAGCTTCGTGAGATTCCCCGAGTCGGCTTCTCCGAGTTGATGACACGAGCGGAGACGGCACGCTCGTTACACGTTCCCGTGCAGCAAATGAGCACATTCTGACTTTCTGAGTAGTGAAGCGAATCCGGGTCAAATATTAAAGCACACAACATCGTACGAGAGGGGTATGGACTGTGAACGCGCCTCCAGCTACGACAATGTGGATAACGAATACTGTGAGCGTCTGCTTCGATTGTATAACGGCTCATTTGACCACTTCGTTTTTGTTAGACTGGCGCGACGACTTCGGGATCCTCTTTCAGATTGCGCCCGTTATGATAGGCAATCGTTTGTCGCACCCTCAGGCTCAGGATTGTGTTTGACCCGTCAAGGGCGCTCGGTCGCACGTAATGTGTCATAAGGAGCACACGATACTGCCAAGTCTCAGAGCCCCGGTGAGCCAACGCAGAGCAGTACTATTTGACTCATGCTCACCTCTCTTGTCGTGGTTCCGTTCTGCGTTGCGAACAGGCGCGGACACTAGTGACGCACCTAGCTACGTGCGAGCAGGACACGCAGTCTAAGCACCGGCGATGCTCCCGCGTTTGCACCCTGCAAGCTTGAGGTCGGAATTCGCACCCGTCAGGCCACGGAACGTGAGGCCTGAGTTGCGGCTCCTGCATGGCAAAAACGCCATGATCAGCAAGTGACTCAGAATCTATCATTTACGAGAACTAATGTCAGATGATCTTTGTATACCCTACTTGAGATCACCCCTCACTCGTAGCCGGCGATGAGTAGGAGCCTGGGGCTCCAAGGGCGTCTGAAATACGTACGGGACGTATGGCAAGTGGACTGTGGATTGACAGAACCTTGAACCGACGTATGGCATGGATCACTCATGATCAACATGATATCGATCATACCCCGCCTCGCTCACTCATCGTGGTCTGCTTCAATTCATGCAACACGTCGTGTCATTTTGCGACGGTCACATTAATGGCTCGTTTTGGTGACTATGTCCACATTCACTCGCGGATGTCGGATCTCCGAAATCAAAACTTCAAAAGACGGCGGAGAGCGAGCTCTTCGTAGTGAGACACCAAGTATTCAACGTCTTGGCGGATTTGGGGGTGTGGGCGTGATCATCCGAGGGGTATAAGGGAGGGTTGACGTATATACGCATCTACACCCGGGTGTGGTGTCCCGTAGCCGCTATAAGCTTGCTGTATGCTCATTATTCTATTCATGACACCATCAATGCATGGACTGATTATTTTGTATACAGAGGTAGTAGGAACGCCTGTCACAGTTGCGCGTCAAGGGTTAGCGTTAGCACCAAATTGCGCACATCTGCAATCGTGCTGTATTTGACGGAAGCCTCATACTACTTACTCCCTCTCTGACTTCGCCCACAATCTCTGGAAGGTCATCAGACTTTCGATTCAAACCCACTGCATGCTTGAGTACGTACGGCGACTCGCAGGCAATTCAACAGCGTATTCTGCTGCTCTGAATGAGATAGAAGGAGGGCTGCGGGTGGACCAAACCATAAATTGACATCTCGCATGGAAGCAAAGGGCAAAGGGCAAAGGAGGCGAGCCGAAATACCGGGGACAATGTATCTGGCTCGCCTTATATGCCTGCCTGCGTTCGCATGAGCGAAGTGTTCCCCTGGCGTCATCGTCGTTGTCGCTTGTCCCACCCATCTTCCACCTATACTGTGGTCTCATATGTCCGAGTCCTCGACTCAGACGCCCGCCTTGAGCGTTCCTGGACCCTCAGCTACAGGAGAACATTCCTTTGCAACCGAGCAATGCGAGACAGTGAGTACTGTTGCGATGGTTCTCTCAAATAATGTCTGAGAATCCCCTATGGTAGAAAGAGGCTGTAGGGAAAAAGGCGAAGCTGGCTCGCCCTGACATTCCAGCTGAGATTACGATTAAGGTGCGCCGTGCGTATTGCTCGTTGGCATGACTCTGACAGCCATTTAGGAGGTATACGAAAGCGCAGAAGATGTTTTCACACAAGAGAAGAAGGAAGAAGCCTGGTCTAACGCAGCAAAAATGGTTGAAGCATACAGCGACGAAATGATCAAACGATGGAAGGAAGAAATAGATACATACCTCGTCTTCGTCAGTATTCATTTGACAGAGTACGTTCAGAACCAATTGATTGACCAAGCAATACACTCGAAGGCGGGTCTCTTCTCAGCCGTCCTCACCACTTTCAACGTTCAGTCGTACCTGCTTCTCCAGCCTGCAGCGCCAGATCCATCCATCGCCATCCTATATCAGATATCCTCCCAATTTGCAAGCTTCTCTATCAACTATCCATTCATCAACTCTACCCATCCGTCTAGCTCCGGAGGCCGCCCGAACCCAGACGCACCCCCCCCTGTCCCGCGTTGGGCCGTCTGGCTGAACACTTTATGGTTCTCAGGCCTCATCCTCAGTCTCTCCTCTGCATCCGTCGGCATCATGGCAAAGCAGTGGCTGAATGAGTACAACAGTGGCGTCTCCGGGACCTCTCGTCCGGTCGCACGAGTTCGCCTCCATCGCCTGAACAACCTCCGATCGTGGCGCGTGGAAGACGTCATCAACACAATTCCTGTACTGCTTCAGCTCGCCCTCGCATTATTCCTCGCCGGACTCCTCATTCTCCTCTGGAGCTATAACAACACCGTAGCTGCCATCGCGTCGACCCTCGTGGGTCTCTTGGCTGTCTTCACTGCTGTTACTACCCTTCTGCCTCTCTTCAACCAAAGCTGCTCCTATCTCACCCCTCATATCCGCACACTTCATTCGCTGTGGCAACCAAAGTGCTTTATATTCTGGCTCTTCGACGGCGCATTGCGAGGTCGTTGCGCAGCAGCGCTTTACCTCCACACAACGCAGAGCCAGCTATTGACGTTCTTTCAACGTCTTCGATGGGATGACCAGCGTCGCTTTCACCGGCCGTCCGTGGGCCAGATAGCTACCGCGGCAGTGCTCAAAGCTAGGGCGGCGGGTAGATGTCTTCAGGGGGCGATGAGACGCTTGGGGAAGATTCGAGTTCGGGCGCCACCGAAGAACTGGAGAGACCGCAAGCAGACATGGCAGGGGCGAGAAAGGTCGACTATCGATCAGCAAGAAGTCAACTGGGACACGCTTACCCTCGTCGAGGCATACAAAATAACTCTGCACCCCGACGCTCTCTCCGCGGCAACTGTATGCCTCATGGATTTCACGGATTTAGACGTGATCGACTACTTTCGAAAACTTCACAAATCCGCAAGAGAACACTTCGGCGCTGCAGCGGACGCCGAGCACGGTCCCGTAGGGCATAAAAATCAGCAACAGCTGTTGTGGCTTGTCGTTATTCTATGCCTATTCGGAAACCCGCACACGTCTCTGGAGGACGACGAAACGACTGCCTTGGCTGCCTATTTCAAATCCGGGTTGTGGCCGTCCAGTATGCAGGCGGCTGATGCGAAATGGGCAGTATCGACTTTTGACGCACTGATGGACCATCTAGAAAAAACGAATCGGAACTCGACGGCTATCGACCAAGAGCGACTCCAGGCGGAAAGGATGTACTTGATTGAAGACTCGATGCTACGCAAGAAGCCACTGATGAGTGTCTTACTTCCAGGTTACATGGTTTTATTCACGTCGTTTTGCGTGTACTGATTAAACTTACTATTAGAGGTCGCTAGGACATATAAGGAGGTTCGCCGCAAGGAGTCGATTCTCACGGAGGCATCTCCGGACGACGCGAAGCGCGCCCATTCGGGCTACCTGCAAAGTGTCAATCTCTTCCTACAATGCGCTATTCGAGCGTTGGCGTCGTCCCTGCCGGCCAACGACCTTGGGACCGTTCGCAGATATACCCGGGATGTCTTCTCCCAACTCACTGGAACGCTGCTGGCGCTGTTCGCCGAGAACAAGACGCAGACGACTCTCGAATCAACGTATCTGGACGACGTCATGCGGACGCTTAGCTATCTCGACAATGTCCTTCTGGGGAATTGCATCCCGGATGATCTTATTCCAGACATCCTACTCCTTTCTGAGATACTGGAAACGACATATGACTACGTCGACAACGATTGGGTGGCAAATATCCAGAGATGCGCACGGACATTCAAGGAGAACATTGTTCGTCTCAAGCATAAGCCCGGGACCACGTAAGTACTCAGATGACCTCTTGATTTAATAGAAATTACTCATAGCGTTCCATTCACTCTCAGAGTATTCCCCGAGAAATTCCCTGCCACACTAGCGGCGGCGGAGGCGGTGGCGGTGGCGGAGGCAATTCCTGATATCATACCCTCGAGCTCTGTCGCCAATCCGGGAGATGACTCCCCAGATGAGCACAGTTCAGATGTCGGCGATGCCTTATCATAGGCATCGAGCTTCTGGAGGCGCCCTTCGCTTGTATGTTTCCTTCAGCTTTTATGTTGTCAGTCGCCCTAACGGGATACCTATTACAACGCAGATGCCGTTTCTATTCCCTTGACATCTATCTACGATTATTGTACGGTGCATAGACTGCGCAGAGCGCCATCAAATTCCCCGCGCGTTTGCGACAGAAGCTCGCTACACTCCGGAACGACTCCACGACCACTCGCACCAACATTATCCCCTTGGCAGATCTCCCCTCTCGCCATTGTGGTCAACTCTGATTCCCATGCACTGTTACCACGGAAGCTATCCGGCAATGGCGCGACTACGATTCCAGCGACTCTGTTTCTGCGTATGGTTCTATTCATTCGACTCCCTTGAGGAATGCATTTCGGGATACACTCATCATCTCGAAGTCATTCCCTCCACCGCCTACTACGATCACCGCCCGCTATACGTCGCCGCTTGATTCGGTTCATCCACAGGACCATATCCATTTCGCCGACGTTCTCCGTCTCATCAGCCAACGATCATCCCTTGACACCCTCAACCTCACTTCCAGCTCTCCAGCGACATGTCCTCCTCGAGCCCCGACGCCATCCTCCTAGCTCGTTTGTCGCCCTCCCGAAAGTATTGATTGTCGCTTCACAGACAGTCCTCCCGGCGCCGTTCCTGATCTGGGCAACGGACCGCAAGAGAATCGTGTTGCAGTGCCAGGAGATGTTCCATTTGCCTAGGAGCCTTTTCAACGCTGCCTTTCATTCGTACGTGAACACAAGCATGTACTTGGGGAGTGCGCTGATAGCCCCTTCGCAGATATCGTGGCTCTGTCTGTTTGAATCATTTCCTTTCCTATTCTCAATCGCTGCGCTCTCTCTTCTAACTATTGACCTTTCACATGTTCCTGTTCCTCCGCACCCACGCCCGCAGGACGTCACTTTGTTAACTTCGATCTGCCGCCCTTTTCTACACACGCGCTACAAGACGCAACCTCGCAATTCGTCCTGGCTGTACCGTCCATCTGGCTCCTCATCCCCCAACTCCGTTTCCACTACCTCGCTCCTCTACGTTTTCATCCTCACCCGTCTCCTCTTTACATTGCACGTTCACCCTTGCGCGTTCTTTTTGTTCTGCTAGTTATATGTATTACTCCTGACGACTAAGATACGATGATACATACACGATACGTAATACCCTTCAGTTCCCAGCCATCTCATACAGAGAACATCGTTTTGACGCATGTCTGCGCGACGAGACTCGTCTGTCAGCGACGCAAGCAATCGCGGGCACAAGTGAGAACGTGCGCCAACAAGTCACATGTATACATCGCACGCACGTCGCAAATGCAGAACACACCATGCCGCATCCTGCTAGTATCTGCTTAAAGACACCTGTAGACGACGATGCAAGCGCAATGCAAGCACGTACGGTTCTGTGAATCGCTCCCCGTAAACACAATCTCCCCACGCACCTCCAGTGTCGTTGTGCAGCGACGCGGCACAGAAGATGAACAGGCTGTAGAACCATGTGCGTACTCTGCGGCGCGAGTTGCTTCCGTTAGCGTGGCTCCTGCAGTGCCGGAGGAAATGCATCGCGCGCCCAATAAGGCGTGTAATCCGAGCAGTCTTTGACCTCGATAATACAGGCGTACCGGTACTAAATAAGTGGTGACGTCGGCTTCAAGACGGTGCATACGGCTAGATCGGGATAAGTACGCACTCTGATATACTCGTGGAGGCTCGCGGTGGCTCCGGAGTGTGCTTCACGGGAGAAGTAGGACCGACAGAGACAAACTCAGGAAGACAGATAGAGAGAGATGATTGGCAGCGGGACATACGTCGTCGTGAGGCAAAGCATAGAAGAGACCCGTCGTAGATAGACCGCAGGCAGACCACAGGCGACCTCGTAGGGATTGACCAGCCGAAACCACGACCGTGAATAGGGTAGGTCCAGCGTGGCACGTTGGCCAAGATCCGAAGTACACAGCCTAGAAGAATAGGAAAAGCGCCGCAGAGAAGGTGGAGGATGTTCGGAGTACGTACCGCGTTTGACGTCCTCTGCAAAATCCCTGGCCCCGCGGCCCGCGAGACCACCAAAACATACCAAGTGCGTACTACCATGAGTGCTCGCTCACAGGTTCACGCTTGACGCACCTGGGTACGGCAATGCGTCGTCGCAACAGGTATCGAGAGAATGAACCAGCGCGTCGTGCGCTGGCTCTGGCTGAGGACGACGGTGGTCGCAGTGCAAGTTGAAGAGAGCGCAAGAGACGCCCACGCGGCGCCGGTCCATGTTCCGAGCGCCGGCAAAGCCGAGCTAGGCGCTGGCGCTCGAATGTTCACCCGAACCGGCCGTGAGCGTGGAACCGTCCAACATGACCACCACTGTATGCTGCAACTACGCTGTTAACCTGCGCCCTACCACTCATTTGGGTGAACGGCATGAAGAATGAGAACACACTGACAAGCTCGTGTAACACTCGACGGAACCTTCAAGTGACATGAAGGGTGAAGGAAATGAGGAAGATAATACGATTCGAGTCGAGAAAAAACAAGGTGCGGTGATGATACAATGAAACAGGTCATGCTCCTACTGCTCAGTACTCAGCCTCTACCGCACAACACTCAGCCCCTCTGCCTAGTCGCAGTCGTGCGCGGGTCGAACGTCGCCGTCGGCACCGTCACCGTCTCAAACTCCGTCGTCGTGCTCGTCACCGTCCTCGTCCCCGGCACCGTGTCCGTCTCCGTCTCCGTGCTCGTCACTGCGCGCGTGCTCGTCACCACCGGCGTCGTCGTCGTGCGCGTCAATGCCGTGCGCGTCCCCGTGCTCGTCGTCGTGTCCGTCTGCGTGCTCGTGACCGTGCGCGTCGTCGTGACGGGCAGCGTCGTGCTCGTCGTGGTGGTCGACGTCGACGTCTGCGTGAGCGTGGACGTGTCCGTGTCGGTCGTGGTGATCTCCACCTGGCGCTTGGCGAGCGCGGTGCGCGTGACGGTGTGCGTCGTGGTCTCGAGCGTGAACGTCGGCATGTACGTCGTCACGGTGCGCGTGGTGACCGCGGGGCAGGCTTTGGGGGAGGGGGTCAGGGCGCACGGACAGGGGTGGGTGGGAGGGTGCTTACTGTCGGCTGCGACGCCGGTGCAAGCGGCGAGCGCGATGGCGAGGAGCGTGGCGAACCTGGTGTTCATCATCATCATCGTCGTGGAAGTGCTGGTGGGTGGGCGCGGTGGACGAAGTGCGGGATGAGGAAGTGTGTGCTGACCTTCTCTCGATTCGCGGGACAGGTCTTATACTCCCTCCTGCCGCCCCGCACCCGCCATCCAAGTACTCAACGCCTCAGAGCGCAACGCCCGACCCGACCGCCTCTGCGCGTCATTGCAGACCACCCTCGCACTTGATGGTCCGGTACGCCTGACGACAGGTTCCGCACATGACGGTAGCCGCACGCACCCGCCCCCTGAGCCTGGGCTCCGCTCGCGTCGCGCACCCCCGATCGTGCATCCGCCCCTCCCCCACATCCGCCTGTCACGCGAAAAGCGCCCGATCGCACAACTACGGGTGGCTGTGCGTGGGTGCCCCTGCCCCTGGGACCCACACGTTCGCGTGCTGGTAGATCTGGATCCGCCGTGACCCCACAAAGTGCGGGGCCTGATCTGGAAAAGATTGAAGGGCGGCCGGGATATCAGGTACGATTGGAGGCTTACTCTGCGGCTGGCGCTGCTCGAACATGCGCTAGCATGCGCTCAGAGTTGTCATCCATCGCGTAAGTACAGCCTAGTACTCAAGGATCATACGCTACAGCCTATACCACTATATCAGAGCAACCCCTACATGGTGGTCCGTCCACGTCAAGCCGTATGCACACGCATACCGAGCGGTTATTTCGATCTCGACCAGGCGTATTCGCCATCGCCTGGTCAGTCATCAATTGGTCCCGCGAGCGCAACCCGCCCGCTTCCCAATCCAGCCGCCTGCTTCTCCAGCCGACCCGCCTGCTTCTCAATCGACCCGCCCACTCCTTCCTCGCGGCGCACACAGGGTCATCCAGTCACCGGCGCCCTAGTGCGAAGATTCCCGTCCTGAGGCCGACGGGACCGCGATTAGGGCCAGCACAGCTCTGACGACGATTCCGCTCACGACGACTGCCATGATCGCTTCCGCCCGATGCTATGCATCTCCAGGGCGTTGTAGCCGCAGATGGCAAGCCGAGCGCGCGTGCTTCTGTGTCATCGCCCCCGATTTGCGCTGACGGCGTGCTCATTACACCCGCCTGTCGCTGTCAGCGCGACGGATGCGGCCGTCCGCCGCCTGAGATGACGCGTTTGCGTCCGCCTGAATCTGGGGGAAAGGGCGGCGTCCTGCGGAAGGGCCTGGTGGCTGGCCGCGGGAGAGATCGACGCGCGAGTCGCGCGGCGGCCCTTGCCGCGAATGACGCGGATGCTGCTTGCGCCGGGGTCGCTCTCTCACTGGCGTGCGGGTGGGTGTGTGCGCGTCTCAGAGTGCGCCGCGGCTTGCTCTGAGACTTGGTGCTGTCTGACTTGCCGTGCGCGGGCGTATCCCAGGCGGGTCGTATATAAGCTAGGTCTTTCTGGAGGTGGCACATTATCCCGCCGCTACTCCGCCTGCACTTTCCTCGTCCAACACCCGCTCTCCACACAATGCCTTCCACCAAGCTCGCGATCGTTGCTGCCTTCGTCGCTCTCTGTGTCGGCGTCCAGGCTCAGGGTAAGCTCCTTCACTCTCTCTCGTCTCGCATACACTGACTTCCTCGCAGAGTATCCTGGCTCCGAGTACCCCGGCTACGACGGCTACCCGTCCAACCCGGACTACGCCTCTTCCGCCGTGTACACCACCAGTACCACCGTCGCCGCCTCCTCCTGCCCGACCGCGTCCACGGTCACCGAGACCATCGCGCCCACCTTCACGTACACCGTGACCGACTACGCAACCACGACCGTGGCCCCCGCGCGCCGCCGCGAGGCGCGCCACCCGCACGCCCCCGGGGCGCTCTACGGGCGCGCGCTGACCACGGTCACGACCACCACCACGACCGCGACGACGTCGCCGGCCACGGCCACGCGCACCTTCACGTCGACGGAGACGGACACCGCGACCGCGACGAACACGCGCACGAGCACCGCGCGCGCGACGGAGACGGACACGACGACGAGCACCATCACGCGCACGAGCACGACGGTGACGACGACGACCGTGCCCGCGACGCGCTCGCTCACGGTCACCAGCTTCGAGACGGAGACGGGCACGAAGACGGTGACGCGCACGAGCACGGAGGGGGTGACGACTGTGAACAGGAACAACAAGCGGGCGGTTGAGACTGCTGCTTGAATGTGTACTGTCGATGCGGCGAATTCCAGAGTAGACCGTTCCTTTGTGTTGTACCATTGACTTTGACAATGTCCATTTTCCCACTTCAACGTCACGAATTTCCATACCTTCAAACTCTTTCACCCGTGTGCCAACACTCCAGTTTCACACATCTGTTGCATTTGTACCACTGGATTGTCACTTGTTCGCGTGAGGGGGCTCGACTGTGGGCACGACCTTCGCCACTCTCACACTTCTCGCCGCGCTCCGCCAGGAGAATGCCGTGGCTCGGGGGGTTCTACCTTGGGCTATGCGACGAGTGAGAGGTTGACGAGTCGCGCTGGCAGGAGCGTGAGGTTTTGGCCTAGGCCATGGACGCGGGGCGTACATAATTTCCCCGACTCCATCCATGTCTTCAAGGAGATAGCGAAGCTGCATTAGCTGTAACCATACTAGTAAAATAGCACGCTCCGGACTCACCGCACGCGTGGATGCAGGACGCGAAGAACTCAAGTGGTCGACTTCTCACTGAATAGCGCCGACTGCAGGAAATGAGGGATGGCAGCTGATACCAGGGTGCTCGCCTCCCATCGGCCTGAGGTGACGTCCGCTGCTCGATATGAAGGAAAGGTGCGCCGCCTGCTATTGTCAGCTTATCGTCGACGAGATCGGAGACGGACGTGATTTGGAGCGGAGGAAACTGCACGGAGGATCTAGCGCACAGTGTCGCGCCTCAGAGTGGTGGCCAGTGACCGTCATATATCCAGAATGACGAGCAAACGTCCGATGCGACCTCGGTCCTGTGTGGCAAGAAACTACACAAGATGACATTCTTCATCATGATCTACCATTCCGACCTGTAAACCGTCATCAGACGAACCGTGCCAACGTGAGATAGCGTCCCCAGCCTGACCTAGACTGTCTTCGTCTCCGGATCCTGCGTGGCCTCCGCCGCGCCCTCGCAGCTCTCCGTGTCCTTCATACCAGTTGTGAAGGGGTCGTTGCAGTACTCTGGGGCTTCGTCTTCCCAGTCCGATCCTGAGTCTATGTGTCCGTTCACGGCATCCTGCGGCGTCGTGAGGGAGTTCCGTTGTCTGTCGTCTGATACCGTGGCTAGATCGAGCGTCGCGCCGAGGTTGCCTACGACGCTGGCAGAGACGCTATGAAAATTGATGCTGGACCAGTGCGCCGTTGGCTCGCTCTCCGCTGCCCCTCTGTCCGCAAAGTACAGTCCGCGCAAGCCGATCATGAAGCGAGAGTGGACGATCACAAGCAGCCTGTGCATGGGACAGCCTCGTGCCAGTTAGTATGCGGTGCCCCATATGCGTGGTGGAGTAGGCTTTGAGCAGACGTACACCTGGTTGAAGTACGGCCATACTGATAGCGTGCCGTCGCCAAACTAGTGAGGAGATCAGCTACGCAATATCTGTGCCGGAAACATGCCGACCCTGCCGATCGTGATATAGTGTATATCAGTAACCCTCGGAAGTCGATGTTATCGAGTGCACGCGTACCACGGATGTACTCAGCTGGATTATCTGGAAAGCGAGAATAAGCCTACATGTATAGCGTCAGTACTCACATGAGAATCATGAAAATTTGATGAGGACGTACAAGAAGTAAACTGTGCCTAGCAGACCGGTCACTTAAGCACAGGCCCACGTTGTTTAGATACCATAATACCTACCGTCACGCAAAAGAAGGGTTGCCAAAGGCATCGGGGTGCCCGCCTTCCAAGTGTGCCTGACGATGGCGAACGTCCTGATCCACGTCAACAGCGTGATAACGCCTGCTGAGAATATCGAAGCCGATCTTGCTGAAGTAGACACTGTTACAGGGTTATGGTTTTTGACTGGTGTTGAGGGGGAAGAAGGCACGTACACCTACATTCACGCAGAAGAGATGAAAAGTTAGATTAGTTCGAAAGCACAAATATATAGCTCGTGATGCCAAAAGTTGCTCACCTGGACCAAACAACATCTGAAACGAATGAGAATTCGACACATCCGGTAGGACGCCCGCCTTGTACTGGAATATAATGCGTGCTCTCGTACTGATAGTGCCGTGAGTCTGGAAAGCCGCGATGAACCCATCACACGCTGTAACGTACTATAAGCGTAAAGGCGCTGTAGAAACAGACGGGTACAGCAAGCAGGAGCAGTTTCCAGTCCCTTCCCCAGATACTGTATACCCGCAACACTGTGAATGCTTTGCCAAGTCATAATAACATAATTTAGCGTCGATTGCGAGTGATATACTTCGAGTAAACTCACCGGCAATCGCCAGGTAACTGATACAGGTGAGGGCATCATCCCCGTGCGTGATTACGCCACATCTATAGGTTCAATGAGTACCTTCTGAGCATTCAAATATTCGTATCTCGAATACCGTACCCCTAGTGTAACGATAATAAGATCAGCATACACTTCAAAACAACTACGAGGAACGTATTGACCTGATTACTCGATTTCCACACAACGACTTCGAGTATGAAGAAGACTCTTTCGACCAACGCCGAATAGCGCATCACAAAAAATATGAGTGTAGCCCCGCTGAACTTGCGTCTCCATATGCGACGGTATTCGTCTGGAAACGTTAGCACGTAGTCGAACCACAATACCGCTATGGAATCCTATAACTTTAGTAGAGATCCCGTGTAAAACAGACGTGAAACAAAACACCGACCAGACGACGCGAAAATGCAGTAATTTTCAGTCAGCCTTTGGGAAAGGATGCGTCAGGTTCGCCTTACGAAGCTGACTCAAACCCAAATTTGATATTTACTTACAGCCTGGGGTAAGCCAGAAAGATTGCCTGGACGTAGTTCGAGTCGTCCGACATTGCGCGTCGACCTCCGTTGTCAAGGCGGGTTGGAGCCGTGGATTGTATGGGGGAGGGAAGGATGTGGGATAAAGTTTGACTCGCACTTGTTCCCTTGGCCTGTAACCTTCCTATAAGCGTCTTTATCTAGCCCCACTGACATCGGGCAGACATGATCGTGGTACGAGAACTACCACGAAGCTTGAAGGTGGAGCTTGATCCAGCGCCTAAGAAGTCGCTGAAGGTTGTACGACACCCGGCCCGTTTACAGAGACAGCGTGAGCCTTCGAGGGAGCTCCGCTAGCTTGCTGAAGCTTAAGCTTAAAGTGCCGACCCACACGGAGCTTCGCGCATCAGTTTCCACTATCTGATTGGGCTGACATCTGAGCACGGTGAAATTATCACGTTAGTATATAAGGACGGAAGATGTTGGCACCAGGCTCGCCATGTGGAGGCCCGGGTGTTGTAGGGGCGGTCTCCTCGTGCTGTTGCCTCTTTATCAAACGTCTAAACGCGGAGTACCCAAAAAATCTTTGTACCAGCTAGAATAAGTATCGAGAAGGGAGTGATAGTGGATATGAGACCATAAGAGCAAAAGTACACGTACACACCGTTCTTTCGCTGCGCGCTCCGGTTTTGACGCCCAAATGATGTATTCCGGGACGCACGGTGGCGCGTGTACGGGTGTGTGCTCTGTTCGTCCGGCGCAGCATATAAGTATAAGCATGGTGCGAGACACACCCGTACTCACACATCATATAACTACCCTTGCTCCTTCTAGCATACCCAAAGCATATCATCCCTGAGTCGCGAGTCGCCTTGCACGTCGTCGGCAGTTTCATGCCTCTCACGCAGAGTGTCCTCACCACTAGCACGAGGCTAGTGGTCATCGCAAGGAGTACCCTATACGCCTCTTCGGCGCACCACGTCATCAGTCCAATCCGGGTGTGGTTCTCCTGCGGGCCAGTGTCACGCTTGCGGGGCGCGCGCATGTAGCCCGGAATAAGCCTGTGCGCCCGCGTCACTGTGCACCGAGCTAATACATCGCACACATCGATATTAGCCCAACGTCAGCTGCACATGAACCTCACCTTACTCACCAAAATAGCGTTACGCTCTGCGAATATCCCTACGGAGTCTGGGATATAATCCCCCTTGAGGTGTGTGGGAAAGTCCAGCCGGAAGTCGACGAGCGGGAGGAACGCGAGATCTTCAAGTTGGTCTATGCCGTCAAAAAAGCTCGTGCGCGTGAGTTCCGCCATGCTGTCGCTCGCGAAGATCTCCAAAGCTACTATCAGTGTACGCATATCGACGTCGAAGCTCTCGCGGCCGCGAACGTGTGCCATCCGCAATCAGGACGTTTCCTCGGCGGCGGGTATGGACACTACACAACGCTCCAAAAGTGAGATGGCGTCCTGCGGAGTCTGGGTGTGTGGTGTCCCGGTGGGCGGGTGGACAACGATGCACACGCCGCACGTGAGGCCGCGCGCGGGGACTGACGAGCGCACAGAGACCCGTGGGTGCCGATATGGATGTATTCCACGGTCTTCTGAGGAGGGGAAGCTCCACTTCCTGCGTCAAAATCTGCGTGAGCACCAACAGCGGTCGCGATTTGGGGCAGAGTAGACGCACAGCGGTGATGTAGGCGAGGTAGGTCGTGGTCGACATAGCCTGCTCTAGCAGTTAGAGCACTGCCGCCGCCGCGACTCAATAGTCGAAGTGACGAGCCACCGCCCCCGGGTCCACGCATGAAGCGACATACCCGGTTCGTCACGGACTCAACATCGTCGTGGTATGGTGCCTGATAAGGAGCATGCACCCGGGGAAGCGCGGAGGATTCGAGGTCGAGAATTCGCGCGGTCCGGGAATGGTCGACATAGTCTCTGTGGGCATTCGAGTGCGCAAGGGAGGCGATGTGCGGATTTTGGAGAGAGCGAATCGCGCACCTGCGTGTTCTCAGATTGTCGGGTCCCGGAGATAGAGGATAAGATTTTGTCCAGCGCGTTGTTATCGTCGTTATCGTATACCATGGATGCGAGTACGAGTGCTTTCTTGAATGTCGCAACTGGGAGCTCGGGTGTAGGTTCATCTGTTCTCATCAGCGGTAGTTTGCACGCGCACGCGCACATGTGACACCTAGAGGCTACGTCCCTGTCATTGACATACAGCACATCAAGTAGGCGTTTCGCCTTCGATTGGATGGGAGGACTACACGGGGGACTGCTCTATAGCTGGTGTTTCGATCTGGAGAGCCCCCAGCGTTAAACGGGTTAACGGAATATGAAGTCCCCAGGCTCACCCCTGTCGTTTCTGAGTTTTGTGTCGCCCCCTGAGCGACATTGGAGCTCCCCGTGTCCTTCATACCAGCGGTGAACGGATCATCGAAATACTTCGGGGCCTCGTCTTCCCACTCCGAATCGCATTCGCCGTCCGTGGAGTCCTGCGGCGCTGCGGATGAGTCCTGTGGGTTGGGGGCGGATCCCGGCGTGGTATCGAGCGTAGCCCCGAGGTTACCGATGACGACGGAGGAGACGCCTCGGAAGTTGATGCCAGACCAGTGCGACGGGAGCTCGCTCTCTTCATCGCCGCTGTCGGCGAAATAGATCCCGCGCAGGTCGAGCATGAAGCGAGAGTGAATGATCACGGTGAGTCTGAGTATACATTAGTGTCACGTTATCGTGAGCCGCATGAAACGCCGGATACTACGGGTAACATAAAAGACTTACACCTGACTGAAAATAGGCCATACTAGGAACACGAGATAGTGGGACTAGCAGAGAGGTAAAGGAGCGCCCATGAACAATCACGAAATCCTGGGTAAGGTGTGATAATGTCAGCGTCAGCGTGCAGCGTCGTACACAGGCAATGAAAAAGTCTTACACCTAACCTCAATACGATCATACCATAGACGTGAAGGAAACCTAAGGAAGACATCAGTTCCACTGCGGTGCCCGTAACAGAAGCATTCTGACCTGTTCATTGCGACACCGATCAGTAACGGTCAGGATTTCGATGATACAAAGTATGAGCGCACCACGGAGCTGGTTATTAACGGAAGTAGCTGACAAGCAACGAGAGCCCTGTATTATGACGTCGGCATAATATAAGAACGCGGAACGAATGTGGTCAGCGTACAAAAAATATGCTGTGCCTAACAGGACGTCGTATCGCAAACTCAGCAAGAAGGTCTACATTCCGATACCGTATCACTCACCATCACGCATGAGGAAGGTTGCCAAAGGGGTCGAGAAGCCTGTCTTCCAGGAGTGTCTAACGATACTAAACGTCTTGACCCATGTCAATATGATGACTATGCTTGTCGAGGCTAATGTCGCGGTCTTTGACGTGGTGGAGACTATCAAAATCGATCAACGTCTGAATTGACCTTAGAGCTTGGAGTGCGATCGCAGACACGTACATCTACATTAACAGAGAGAGATTACGAGCCATGTCAGTACGTAAACAGACCAATGGCACCGGGCGTTGCTTACGTAGACAGAAGAATGTCGGGAACGTAGGATAGTTCGTAGCATCCGAAAAGAGGCCCGCCTTGTGTTGGAGTATATCGCACACTCTCGTACTGATAGTGTCGTAAGCGACTGAGTCTGGCGAGCCTATAATGCACTGTGACGTACCGTGAGAGCAAAGGAGCTGTAGAAACTGACAGGTACAGCAAGTACGAGCGGTTTCCAATCTCTCCCCCAGATACTGTATACTCGCAATGTTGTGAATGCTTGCAGAGAAACAACAGATCGGGTTCAGTGTCGATCGTTAGCACAGTGCTACAATCGGACCCACCTGCAGTCGCCAAGTAACTGATTAAGGTCAGAATGTCGTCCATGTGCGTAAGTACGCTACACCTATAAGATGGGTGAGTACGTCATATTTGGTCACGCCTGAACTGTCGTACTCCTGATGCGACAATGAAGTTATCAGTATGTATTGCAGCGAGCATAGATGGACTGAACTGACCCGGTCACTCGAATTCCACACCAAGACTTCAAGCACGAAGGGGATTCTCTCGATCAAGGTGGCATACCGCATGAGCAAGAATATCAGCGTAGCCCCAGTAAACTTTCGCCTCCATATGCGACGATATTCGCCAGGAAGCGTCAACGCGTAATCGAACCACAACAACGCTACAGCACCCCACATTATGTGTTAGATTCTTGATGGTAACAGATGCAAGGATCGCGTACCAGAGGCAGCCACAATGCAGTAGGTCTCTATCAGCCTGGCAAGAAAGACGCGCAAGGCTCGCCTGGTGAGAGCAGTGCAAGGCCTTATGGAAATATCACATACCAAGTTGGGTACTGCGCGACGAGCTCCTGCGCATGGCTCTGATCGTCCGACATACTGCACTATCGGGTCTTCAGATGTAGAAGGAAGCAGCGGTCGTCTGTCGAAAGGAGAAAGTGGATGGAGTGGATGAGTAGACTGTGGACAGAGCTGGTGTACTGCAAAACCTGACTCGCCTTTTCACGCCTGGCTTTTATTGCGAGCTGGCCTAGCTCGCAGCTAAGGCTATGGCTGGCCAGATGATTTCTGCGCACCTGCGCATAGGCTTCCTTGTCCTACTGAGCGCACGGCTATCATGATTGCCGAGAGTTCCACAGAACACGGGCATCTGGAGGACATTGGCACGATGCAAAAAGTGTGATCAGAGCTTCGTCCGACGTGGGAGAAGCAGCTGGAGGCTAAGTGACACAGGTGGAACGCCAACAGGCGCTCATGAGGCGCCGACAGTGTCTGATAATGTTCCTTAAGTCCAGCTTCGCCAGCCCTTGATCATGGTGGAAGGATATCAGAATCATGATACAGGAGGATGGGGATCAGGGATCCGGATAGCAGTGCTTACAGGCGCAATCCATCATCTCATCTGCTATGTTCTCGGAGTCTCCGATGTCGGGCTCTTGTGCGATACGGCTCTTGGACATCGCGCAGATATTGCGGGTGACAGCATACACCTCATACACCGACACCGTTCTGTCGTCCCGTGCTCCGTTAGTATGCAGATTGTACGCGTAGATGATAGTTTGGTGAAGCATAGTGATACATGTGTGGATATATGCTCTGTTCGTCCAACGCAGCATATGAATACAAGCATAGTACGAACGACGCAAGTACTCACACATTGTTGAAGTTGCCTTTCCCCCATTAGCATACCATCCCCTCGTTGAGCCGATGCAAAAGCCAGTGCTTCCACTTCGCGCCCGGATCCTCCACGGGCGACGGCCCGTCCGAAAAGCCCATCATCACCACGTTCACCACGTTCGGGTCGATGCACATCAGCACGACTTCCATCGCGCCCAGCGAGCCGTTCGCGACGTTCAGGTCCGTCGCAGACCTGAGCTGCCCCTTCATCTCCGCGACCTGGTCCGGGGGAAACGCGCTGAAGGGCACGACGGCGGCGCCCAGCGCCCAGAACGCCGTCTCCGTGCGCGCCGGGTTCGAGCGTGGGCGGAGGAAGATCGCGAAGACGTACTCCTGGGCGCGCTGGGGATTCTTCGCAACGCCGAGCGCGGCCTGCGCGGCGCTAGAGATCGACGGCCGGTGCTTGGACGTGAACGCGCGGAGGTCCTTCATCGGCTTCGGCTCGCCGCCGCCTGCGGGCTGGTACTTGCGGTTGATGGCGCACTTCTGCTTGTGCCTGCTCCATGCCTTCTTCTGGCACTCTTTGCTCTGCCCGTCCGACAAGTATGAGCATACGCACCAGTCTGGCGCCGGGGCAGACGGCGCTCACGCAATATATCTCAATTTGACAACCTCCACACCGGAAGAAGGTGACCCCTTCGCGCCGGGACTTGAAGCAAAACTGGCATTGCATCAACTCTTTGTGGAGGTCGCCCTTTGGGTCGCTATTCCGATTCGGCGGCGCTGGCGGCTCGCCCGCGATGAGCCAGAGGTTGTACTGGAATTCGCAGCATGCGCAGCCGATCTCGAGATAGTCCATGAGGTTTCCCATATCCATTTTTCAGGCAGGACGAAGTGAGGCGGCGAGCGAGCTAGTTTGTTGGTCGACGAGGAAAGGGAAGCGACAAATTACAATATCGTCGTCGTACTGCGTGCATATACTACAGCGGTGGGTAAATTTAGACGCCGTAGAGGTTGCGGGCCGGTTTTGCGGACCCGCTTTTTCTCGTCCTCGAGTCGACAACTAACAACCCCTCAGTTTGAACGAGTGACCCACTCACACTCGCGACATATGACGGACGGCAGGTATGCCGTCCCATGGCTGCATGGCATACCTCAACGTTCGATATGAATACAGATAAGTACCGTACACTGCGCTTCCACTTTCCAGTACTACGTCCCAGCGCTCACGCGACCTTGATCTGGTTCGTCGCCGTCTTCTCCGCGTCGTCGTTGAAGATGTTGATATCCCAGAACACCGGGTACGTCGTCTTCACATTGAACCGCTTCGGGGTCTTGCGCCCGAGGTTCGTCAGCGTCTCGAAGTCCTCGTCCGGCAGCTCGACCTGCTGGAAGTTCGACTCGATGCGTTCTGCGCAGGGCGTATGTCAGCTGCGCTCTGAGAGATACCACGATGCACGAGGGGAGGCATACCTGGTGTGACGCTCTTCGGGATGACGGAGTAGCCGCGCTTTACGCCCCAGGCGATGAGGACCTGCGCGGGCGTCGCGTTTAGCTTCTTCGCGATCTCCTCCACTTCGGGGAACTCTGTGAGCTTTTTGTGGCCCGCCACTGAGAAAACGTCAGTACATGCAGCCTAATGACTGGTATGCGCAGCTTACTGTTGTTCCCGAGCGGGCTGTATGCGGTGATGTGGATGTTGTGCTCCTTGCTGAATTGGACGAGGTCGTCCTGGAGCAGCAGAGGGTGCGCCTCAATCTGGTTGGCAACCTTCCAACACGTACGTTAATTTGATTTTGGTAGTACTGAGCAAACGCGAGGACTTACCGGCCAAACGCCTGTCGCCTCTGCGATGCCCTTGATATGGTCAATCGAGAAGTTCGAGACACCGATGGCCTTGACCTTGACGCGATCCATTCAGCGCAAGCACAACGCCGAGCTAAGAGCTATGCACACCTTGCCCGTATTCAGGAGCGCGATCATGGCCTTCCACGTATCCACCAAAGTCACCTCGGTATCGAGAATAACCCATCCCGGCCTGTTCGGGTCCTCCGGCTCGAAGCCCTTGTTGAGCCCAGGCGGGAACGCGACGGGCCAGTGCACCACTGCAGCGCGTACCGCATCAATTACAACTCTTCAAGAGTGGATAGTATGAGAAAACGCACGATAGAGGTCGAGGTACTCGAGCTGGAGCTGCTTGAGCGTCTCGTCGAGCTCCTTCTCGACTTCCTCCGGGCGGTGCGAAGTGTTCCACAGCTTCGACGTGATGAAGAGCTCCTCGCGCTTCACGACGGAGGGGATCACCTTCTTCAAGGCACGACCGACCTGCGAACGCGTAGTTCGTCAGCGCCAAATGGGAGTGTGGGTCGCGCAGAGAACGTACCTCATCCTGGTTTCCGTACACCATCGCGCAGTCGATGTGGCGGTAGCCCGAACGGATGGCATGCTCAACCTACGCACAAAACCACACCACAAAAGTCAGCTCGACTCACTCTTAGAGGACGAAATGCACTCACCGCACGCTCGACCTCATTCGGCTTCGAGAGCCAGGTGCCCAGTCCGATCTGCGGGATCGTCGCGCCCGTCGAGAGTGCTAGCGTCTTTCCGAACGACATAATGTCTGCCTAGTGCGTGTTCACGGGAGGGCAAGTGGGAGAAAGGGGCAAGATGAGAGAACCGATAGCGACGACGCGCTCCGGTTTTATACCCAGAGCTCTCCGTACGCTCTTCCGAAGTCCCGCGATGAGCTCACTACTGGATACCCTCTGGTGACGGCGGGCCGGCGGCCCGCAGAGGGGGAGGACGTGCCGCGACGCCCGCTGACCCAGGAGCCAGCGATCGCGAACACTTCGCGAAGTGTGCCTTGGGTCGGATGACCACGAGGGTATTGTCGGTGACCTTCTGCGAAAGGAATAGCCTGGAACTGTGCGCGGCTGGGGTGACTGTGAGAACACCGACGACTGAGCGGGACGAAAGCGCTCACGGTACTATGCTCCGGCTCTGCCGGTCCGCTTGCGATTCTCCAGCCGCGAAGGTACTCGTGCAGCGTGTAAGGACCCTACGACATAGCTACCTTCACAGACCAAAACAGATGTGCACCCGTGCGAGCGGAGGACATCAACTGGAAGCGGCGAAAGCTAGCGACAAAGTTGAAGCAGCGCAGTTCGGCCGCTCGTGAACCCGATAGCGACCTACCAGGAACTCGCTATCCTCGGACAGGGCTTGGCGTGCGGTTTGCGTCTACTCGAGTATATCCCACTCCGTTGCGGATGTAAACAGCGAGCTTAAGGTTGGATGACAAGCCAAGAGCAGGATGCATTCGATTAAGCAGAGTAATGTGATACGCCCCACACCCTTTAAATCATAGCAGCGCGTTTAGCGAAAACGGCCAGTGTATGCAGTATAACAGGACTCACCCAAAACCCCTGAGAGCGAGAGCGGAGCACTAGTCCTCATCCATATCGATATCTCCGTCAGATTCACCGCCGCCACTACTCGAACCTTCGTCTTCACCGCCGTCGGCGCCGAAGAAATCGTCGTTTGCGACACCACTTGCTTTCGCGCCCTTCGCAGTCGAAACACCTTTTTGGTCGTTCTTCACTTTTGACTTCTTGGTCTCTTGTACCTCCATGGTAGGCGCGACCTTGGATGCGCTCCCGGACCTCTTCTCCGACTTTTCCAACTCGACTTCCGGCTCCGAGCTCAACGCACCAGAGTCCATCTGCTCTCGCATCCACGCCCGGATCTCCTCCCTCTGCCTATCCGTTTCCGACTTCTCCTTCGCCTCCCTCGCAGCGTCCGCTGCACTCTGCCCCTCCTTCGCGTTCCGCACCTCCGGGGGGAACAGCGAGATGTACTTCTTCGTCTTCGGATAGTACACGATGTAGCTGAGGTCCACGCGCAGCTCCGCGAGCCGCGCCTCCCACTCCTTGCGCTCGCCCTTCTCCGTCGCCGCAGCGAGCTTGCGCTTCGTCTGCTGCACCTTGCGCGACACCTTCTGCCGCTCGAAGAACTTGATCTTGTGGTATCGCGTGGCCATGGCGCGCTCAAGCCGCCCCTGCTCGGCCTTCTCGAGGTCGCCCTCGAGCGACTTCAGGCGCCGCTCGGTCGCGACGCGTTTGTCTGCCGCGAGGTTGTCCTTCGCGAGGAGACGGCGTGTTTGGCGGAGTGCCGCCTTGATCTTTTGGACGCCTGGGAGCGCGTTGGAGGCCTCCGGGGGAGCGGGGTGTTTCTTGTGCTGGGGCCGTTTGGAGTTGTTCTTCTGCGGTGTACTCGTCGACGGTTTTGAGGAAGACGGGTCGGATACGCCAGCTTTTCGTGAGGGACCCATGTCGGCGAGGAGTTTCCCGTGAGATCAGAGTAGACGCAAGATGTCGAAAGCACTAGTGCTAGCAACGAACGAGTGGAGGAAAGTGGAGGAAGAGAGCGAAGAAATCAAGCGCGGGCGCCTCTTTCCAGCTCGGCAGACGCTCACGGGAAAAATGGCTTGAGCCTCGGTTCTCTTCCTTCTACCACTTCTTATGGTCACCTTCCCGTCTGTCCTGCAAATGCATGTTGCATGCGCATACATATCGTCTCGTCTCACCACACCCCCTGAAGCGATTATTGTCTGCGCCGAGCGCGCTTGAACGCAAGGAACATTCCGACACGTCGTTTTCATTCATTCACGGATTGACTGCTGGGGACGGACGATTGGCCCATGCTGAATAGGTGCTATATCACCAGGTCAACGATGGACGTATTTTTGCACGAAGGTACGTTCATTTCCCTCTCGGCTCACTTCATGTCGTCATGTCGCAACATACGAACCCGAAATATTTTCTCATAGATATTTCCAAAGCATCGCTTGCCTCGCTCGTCTAGCTAGGGGTACATCAATACGCCTATGCTTTCCTACACGGACTCTCTCAGATATCTGTCGACAGCCATTGACCCACCCTCGCAAGAATCACTCCTATTTCCTCCGGAAGAAATACCGGAAGCCAGATACTGGGCGTTGCCTGATAAATCGTATGTTCGCGGTACGTGACAAGACGGCTTCAATCGAGGCTGCGGTGACGCGCGCGTCAGTGTTAGTGGTTTTCCAAGCCCTGGCCAGGGATGCGCTCACCTTGTCAGGGAGACGTATGTCTGCCTGTTTATCTTCGCCCTCGACGATGCCGACCCCCATACAATGGCCAGGACGGGCCTCCGCATCCACTATCACGGCCACGACGCTTTCACTACGCAGAAACCTACTGATAACCGCGGCTCTGATGTGTGCGTAAGTAGTCATCTTTCTGATTATTTAGTGTCACAAAACGCACTGAAGGTACGCTGTGGCTTGGGCCTACGCAACTCAACAAGGACAAACACAGTAACGGATAAGCACACGGCGACCTTGAGCCACTGGCAGTCTGGCGCCGTTAGACTCCCAGTTCCTACGATCCGTTGTCGCCATCGCCGTCTTGACACTCTCGCAAACCACCTGCAGCCTATCTATCCACTCGATTTTTGCGTGCTCCTCGGGTTTCACGCTCTGGATTCATCTACCCTCTGGCTTGGGGCTCGGTCTGCGGCCGATACACCTAGTTGTCTGACGACCCGGACCCAACAAAATCCCACCAGTAGTTCCATCGCTCCGTTCGCCAGCGACATGGTTTCTACATCGCTGTTCTTCAGCCCCAATGCTCCCTGCTATGCCGTTATTCGCATGGACCCGGTAGCGATGGTGAAGAAACTCGACGATCCCGAGGCCCTAGCTGCAGCTCGTGCCATGACGCCGCGGTCCTACGTTGTCTACCTCACCCATGTGATTCAAAATCCACTCCCTCCCACGTATCATACTTCGTTCTAACAGACTTACTTGCAGGAACCGGAACTTCCCTTCCCAAACAAGCCATGGTATCGTTACGAACTCAACATAATCGCACCATCGCTGTGCGAAGATGACGCAGCGAAGGGGATCACCGCCGATATGTGCACCCCCATTTTTCCGAACGACAAGCATCCTGCGGGGCGCGAGCCCCTCCGTCCCGAGAAACCCTTCCCGTACACCAACTGCTACCATTGGTGCGACGCTTTGGAGATAGAGATCCGAGTTCTCCCTCGGCCCGAGCTCTTCGACGAGGAGCAAGCGATTAAGCTTTCATACGACGAACAGATGCTGTTTAGCGAATACCAGTTCGCGGATCTGCTTCGCTCGAGGCCCTCTCTGGTATTCTCAACAAAGTCTCCACCTCCACCTACCCTTCCCCCTCTTCCAAGGACTGAACCTAACGCCCTGGCATCTGCTGTCTCCGGCGACCCGTTGACTCCAAAACCTCCCTCCGTGACCTTGGCGTCCTCCCGGCGTGCGTCTGGCAGCTCCGCCTCTCGCAGTGCAGCCAGTGAAGACAGCGATCTCGACAGCGTCGACGAGATCATGGCAATGGACATATTCACCGGGCAGAACACGGATCTCGACTTTCTGCCACTCTGCGAGCTCTGGTTGGACATGGCCGCGCAGCTCAAGGAGGAAGACATCCCGAGCCCTGCCGGGTTTTTCGAGGAGCGTGACGAGATCGTCAAGTACGTCGTCAAGCCTCTCGCATATGGGTCATACTCATCGTTTTCGCGTAGGATCATTCAGGATGCGCGTGTCCGCGCGTATGCGGCGTCGAGCGCAAATGCGCCTTCTTCCGGTCGAGGACTGCATGCAGGTGGTGCGGGCGCCCCGACCAATGGCCTGAAGGCTCCCAAAAGACGTCGGCACTGTAAGTGCAGCATATTTGACATTGTTTTCCTTGTCACTGACACATTCGCGTGTTGATACGCGTGCGATTTGTAGGTTTCCGGCCACGAAAGATATGGCGCAAGATGAATGCCGGTGTGAAGTCGTTCATGATGATTATCCCGTCTCGTCCGCGTCTTCCGCGTCTCCCCATGGAAACGCTGTCCACATGACACCTTGCATATACCGTGCTCGTTCCCAGTGGAACGCCTGCTAAGTCCCCCCTTTCCGATTTCTTCGTTTCCTAGTCATCATTATGACGTTTGAATGCTACGTAGCAGCCGCCTTTCCAATATCACAAGTTCGCATACGAGCGGTATTTGTGTCATTGATTGAGTCGTGATATATACACGTATCTGACTTTCCAACACTCGCCGTACGGATGCAGCTGCATATCCGCGGAGAAGTTGATATCCTCTAAGCCTGCGGGAGCGCGCGAAGACAAAGCAGGGAACCCAGCCAGGCTAAGAAACCTGCGGGCGCTGTGATTAAAAAGAGCTCCGACTCAGCACACGAACATCACTCGCCTTGCGACCGCTTGCGTTTCTCACCGCCCACGGACGGGATCGATGCACGCCCCGAAGGACTTCTCGTCGCATCGAGGTTTGGGGGCGCATGGGGTCCCGCGGCATCCAAGTTCTTAGCACGAGCCCTACTCTCTTGCACAACGCTAGGCGCTGCGTCGTCAGTAGGTGTCATTGAACAGGCAAACAGCAGCAACGGTACCTCATGATCCAGTAGTATTCCACCAAAAAGTCTGTAGGGTCCGGGACGCTCTCTGCGAAATGTGCGCCCACGTCCGACCAGATCTTAACGATGGGCAGGAGTTTGTCTCTCTCGTCGTAGTCGAGGTCGAAGACATCCGTCGTGGGCGTGTCCTCGGCAGACTGACCGGATAGGCTCCAGTGGTCGGAGGAGGGTCTCTCAATCTTGGAAAGGTAGCCATGGTCGATACCGTACATAGATTCGCAGTAGGCCAGGAACGAAGAAGTGGGGGTCGGCGCATCCTCGGGAGACTCAAGCGTAGGGGTACTAGGCGGTAATAGCATCTCTCCTAGCGGCGCGGCGTCCGCCTGCGGAGACGCACTGTCGGCATTCAATGCGCCGTCCCTCGCCTGCTGTCTATCGAGTTCCCTCCACATGTCGCGCGTCCGGAGTTGCTCCACAATTACCTGCTGGTCGGCAGGCAGCGACACCAGGCACTCCTTTGTATCGTAAGTGCAATCGTCGCCTCGAATGCGCAGCTCGAGCAGCACATCCGAGCCAAACCAGTGGTAGCCGTTGCTGAACGGGAACGACCGAGAGTGGGGCTTTACGGGTTCCCGGGCGCCTGAGGGGTGGTATGTGTTGGGGAAGATGGGCACACACATGTCAGGCGTGATGCAGCGCTCTGGGTCTTCTGGCCGAATCCCAGGGCCGATTGGGTGTGCCGTATACGTGGCCGTATTGTTGTTGCTCGCGCACGGTGAGCATAGCACCTATGAGCGCGTTAGACTTTCTACTGACTGCAGGTACGCGGGAAAAGTACAGCATCCAGGTAGACAATGCACTTGGCTGTCTGTATGTCAGCGACGGCAGCAGTCGCGATCGGATCGTCGAGAGACTCCACAGTACTCTTGAAATCGACCTCGACTACGGCATACGTGCCAGCTGGGGGAGGGAAGAAGGTCATGTTAGCCTTGTGAGTGGATACGCTGACTGAAGGAGAGATCGACGCTTCGGGCTGCCGGATGTTTGCTCATATACCAGCAGATCAAGGACGTGAGCCACTCGAAGTTTCGAACAAACGTGGCAATGTTGCTTTGTGCCGTCATGGTTTTCCGCAAGTCATACTCGAGGCCTCAGTGGCAAGTCGATCGAGAACGTTCCCAGACTCTGCATTCCAGGGCGTTACTTCGAGAACATAGTGCAACTGCCCACTGTCGTATCGCGAAATGCAGGCGCTAGTGACGACGCCGGCCCTGCGTTCCGCGCTCTCGATGGAGGATATGAGCACAAATTTTCAAGCAGACAATATGACATTCCTTTGATGAAGTCATGCGCTTGTTTACGTTCCTGTCTGGGGGTGATTTAACGCATATGGGGTTCGATTGCGGGAAGAAACCACATACCAGACGAGTGCAATGCACCGAGTGAAGTCCATAACATAGAGGATCGCATTCAGCATAAACGGACATTTTCAGTCAATCCCAAAACCTGTGTATTTCTCTTGAAGTATTTTGAGCAAGAGAGGCGGGAATGCGGAGGGGGTAAGTGGTGGAAGAGTTCCAGAGAGTTAGTAGCAGACGCCGGCGCCTACGTGGCTGATAATCAGCGTCGCATTACGGGCGGCTATTCGTGCTCGTTCTCTCCATCATCCGACTCCTCAAATTCGCAAAAAGAAAAACATAAACACTCCGTAAAACAGCTTGAGGCACTATGTGCGTACAAATCTACGGCTCTGTTGGTACCGTATACAAGTCCTGATAGCCACGATACAGATATCAACCCAAGCAAAGTTGATGGCAACAGAGATATGGACAAGGCCCGGGCGTTATTGTCTTTCGAGTCCGGCAATCGCTGACGCTTGTTTTTCTGAGGTATATAACTCGGACCCATTTCTTGGCCTGGAATCCTCACGCCACAGGAATTTTCCTCTTGATTCGTAGCATTGGCAGCCCCGCTATTCCCGTGGTTGGCGACATGGCTTCTACACCACTGTTCTTTAGCCCCAACGCTCCCTGCTATGCTGGCATTCGCATGGATCCTGTGGCGATGGTGAAGAAACTGGACGACCCCGAGGCTCTGGATGCAGCTCGTGCCATGACGCCGCAATCCTACGTTGCCTACCTCAGCCTTGTGATTTATATTTCACTTTTCACACGTTTTGTACAGTTCTAACACAGCGTTGCTCACAGGAACCAGAGCTCCCATTTCCAAATAAGCCGTGGTATCGGTATGATATCAGCATGATCGCACCATCTCTTCGCGAAGAGGACGCGGTAAAAGGAATCACCGCCGATATGTGCGTCCCCATCTATCCCAGCGACAAGCATCCCGCGGGCCGCGAGCCACTCCGTTCCAGCCGGCCCTTCCCCTATACGAACTGCTACCATTGGTGCAACATCTCGGAGCTAGAGATCCGAGTTCTCCCTCGACCTGAGCTCTTCAACGAGGACCAGACGATCCATCTATCCTTCGGCGAGAGATTGCAGTTTGGGGATCACCAGTACGATGATATGCTACGCTCAAAACGCTTGGTGAGCGATGCCGCCACCCCGGAGCAACGTGTGCTATCTTCGGCGAAGCCTGCGTCGCCACTTCCTCCTCCCATTGCGCCCCTTCCGAGGACCGAATCCGGACCTCCGGCACCCACCGACGTCTACGACGCGCCGCATGGAAAGCCTCCCTCCGTGGCCACAGCGTCCTCTCGGTCTTCGTCCGCCAGCTCCGCCTCTCGCAGCGTAAACAGCAGAGAGAGTTATCTCAACAGCGTCGACGAGATCATGGCGATATTCGGTGGCGGTAATACGGATCTTGATCTTCTTCCGCTTTGCGAGCTCTGGTTGGACATGGCCGCGCAGCTCAAAGAGAAAGACATCCCGAGCCCGACCGGGTTTTTCGAGGAACGTGACGAGATCGTCAAGTACGTCCAGTCTCTCGCATTTTGGGTCGTACTCGTACTCATGATCTGCACGTAGGATTATCCAGGATGCTCGCGTCCGCGCGTATGCAGCGGCGAGTGCTAATGTGCCATCTCCCGCTCCCGCACCACGTACAGGCGGGGAACGGCGTCGCCATCGTGAGTGGGAATGACTGGAGTCCACAGTAGCTGTCACTCATTTTGGTCCCGATAGCCGCACGGGTACTAGGTATCCGGCCACGCAAGATGTGGCGGAAGATGCACGTCGGGGTAAAGTCCTTCATCCCCGTCGTAGCGTCCCGCCTGCAACTTCCATACCTTCCCGTCTGGCCTTGAAGATACCGGAAAGAGTTTAAGTAACGCTATGCGTATACTGTGCTCGATTTCAGCTTGTGGTAGAGCCCCTTCTCCAGGCTCCCGTTCGTTATTCCGTTTTACTACCCTTGACACATATCAAGATCATGACTTGAATTGCCGCAGTCCCCAGGCTGTACATAATGATATGTAGCAGTCGCGTTTTGATTCTCATTAAGCATATAAGTAGGCTGAGCGAAGGTTTCCACGATGTACATGCACATTTGTATCTCTATTACTCGACGCGTCGCTGATGCTGCGCAACGGGTGAGAGAATACCACACTACTGGCATATCAGGTTAGCTATGCCCGCAGAAGTGCGCGAAGGCAGAGCAAGGTGCCCAACCGTGCCAAGAAACCTACCCGACGCGCCGAGATCAGGAAAGGCACACTGAGAAAACATGAACGCAGCTCACCTTGTGGTCGCCCCCGTTTCTCGCCGGTCGACGAACGTACAGACGACCGCGCAGTCGCGGAACGCGCACGCGCACGCTCCGGGGCCGCTTGTTGGGTTTTGGCGCGGGCCTTACTCTCTTGCACAATCCTGCGCGCGGCATTAGCGCGTGTCAACGGGTCAAGGAGCGTTAACGACGATACCTGATGAGTTCTTCACACTGCTTGAGGAATTCGGTAGGGTCCGGGACATCCGAGTCCTCCTTGAACTGCGCGCCGACGTCAGGCCAGATCCTGACAATCGGGAGTAGGTCCTCTCCCTCGTCGTAGTCCAGTCCGGAGATGTGCTCAAGCGACCGGTTGGAGGGGGCACCGCCGGCGCCGGGGGCTGCGTCAATAGACGGAGAGGACCCGCCCCGCAGATAGCGTACAGACTGCCAATAGGTCATATACGAGGGGGCCATACTCGCGTTGTCTTGCGCCTCAGCCTCGGGCAGCACGGGGAAGGGCACCTGCGGCGCCGCCTCCGCCTCCGGGGACACGCCGTCGTCATTCGCGACCTCCCTCGCCTTCCACGCATCATACGCCCGCCAAGCGTCTCCACTCCGGAGCCTCTCCAGTCTGTCCTGCTCGCTCGCCGGAAGCGCCACCCACTCCTGCTCCGTATACCTCTGGCCATCATTCAGGACGCGCAAGTCGAGCGCCGTGCCCCCGCCGAACCAGTGGTAGCAGTTCCCAAACGGGAACGGCCCAGGGCGGGGCTGCACGGGCGCGCGGTCCGCGGAGGGGTGGTGCATGTTCGGGAAGATGGGCACGCACATGTCGCGCGTGAGGCAGAACTCTGGGTCTTCCGGGCGCAGCCCGGGGCCGACTACGCTTGCGGTGTACTTGAACGTCGCGTGGTCTGGGGATGGGTGGCGCAACACCTGTGTGGCTGTGAGCTTTACTTCATTTCACCCCACACGTCGCAGGACGTACGAAGTTCAGGTAGACGATGCATTTCGTCGGTTTGATGGTAGAGGCGGCGGCGTTTGCGAGCGGGTCGGCGAGAGACGCTAGCGTCTTCTCTACCTCGAGCTCGGCCACAACGTAAGTACCTGGAAGTGGGAAGAAGGTCATGATGGCGTTGAGGACCTGGGCGACGATTGTGGGGGATATCGGGGCTACCAAAGTTTGCAGTAGCTGAATGGTACTGAAAGGCTGCTCATATATACCGGCTGAGCGCGCATACGTGAGCCACTCCAGGATGACATAAACGTCGCAATACCGCTTTGTGCCACTTATCGGGCCTGTCGCACTTGAACTCGGCGGAGCAGTCTCAAACGAACGTGCATTGAGGTGCTATATGTCGAGGTGGTGAGATGCTTCCTGACAAAGAACGTAAACCATAAACCCGCATCACAGAGCGATCGCCCGTGGGCGCAATATATAATGCGATTACTCGCGCGGCACTACCTTTTGACCCGCGTTCTCAAATGGAGTCGTGCCCGAGCTTTCTGTGACAGGCCCGATGTTGCCCTTTCCGCGCGCGTTATGCAGTCGTGCATGTCCCTGTTAGAATAGTGAGCGTGCAAAACTCAAGGGCATGATCGTAAAGGGTGTATATACCTCACGATTGCACTGATGATTGTAGACGTCATCAGCTGGATACAAAAACCGGCATTGTGCGTCACCCCGGAGGCCACTTACTTGTACGGGCGCACGGAGCATCTTACATCGGCCCGCTTAAGGGTAAGGCACTTTAAAAGACTGCTCCTCCCACGTCGGACATGACGCAGACCCGTCTCAGGACTTCACGCTCAGGCTGGGGCCAATGCAGCGCACTTGAACTTGAAGGCATCTCGGGCCATCCAGAATTGGATGCTGTATCATCGTTTCCACAGTGAGTTCCAGCTGACACTGACAACGAGGTCAGTGAACCGAACTTGGAGCCGGAGAGGAAGCACAATCGGCAACGTGCCCACCTCATCCGTTAGTATATAGCTCTAGCAATCAGGATCTTCATCTTCGGGCCCGTGAATAGACAGCGCATCGCGGGAAGTTCGCGCGTATAGAGGCCGCGCGCATCCAGGCTGGGGGATAGAGGAGCGGCGAAGCGCTGAGCGCTATGTGCCCATTCGCTTCGGCGTTTCGGAGCTTGGGTTTTCGTGGAGTGTATAAGGGATGCTCATGCATTCGGCGACAGTCTTGAAGTTGATATCTGCGGCGTTAGCGGAGTCGAGCTGGACCTCGGTGTTCAGTCTTTTTTTTTTAACGGAGCTCAACATGTGCGGCTTACTGCGCCTTTCATGAAGATATGCTAAGCAGGAGGGGAGGGCCCTCAGTGCTGTTTACATGTGCTACCGTACGGAAGGAAATGCTTTATGCACGCGGACACCTAGGTGCCCCAGTGTGGGACTGCATGTACCTCGCACGGCGCCAGGAGTTATCCAGGGTCAGCATCGTACAGGCACAGCGGCTTACCCACTAAAACCTCCGGTGTAAGGATCCAGTCATTCGGTATGTCTTGTTCATCCTGTAGAGTCCCTGTCCACGTCGCGATGACAGTCGGCGCCGGGATCGCTTGCTTACCCACCGCTCTCTTGTTAGTGAGTGCACGGTCAAGCGCGAAGCGCTTCGCTATCATTTGCATCCAACGTCTTTCAACATATCTCCGCTCTAGGTCGTCCGGGAGGGGGACACGGTCCCCAACCACCCGCTCACATCGGATCACCCAGATGAGGTACGCAGTCTCAGAGAGTACGAGGCGGGCCAGTCTGGTGGGCCCATGCTGCGTCTCCATCTTCTCATCACACGCGGTGAAGGTATGGGCACCCAACGCTAGGCCTAGCGTGACATTCGGGAGATTTACCCCTCTCGCCCTCAGCATCCCCCTTGCCATCGCCCACGCGGTGCTCTGCCCCGGCATATTGCACTCGCACAGGATGTGCTGCATGGACTCGGTCACTCGGCACCCGGGGCATCTCGCCCGGTCCTCGTAGCCAGGAATATTATCCCAGAAGCTGCCAACGCGGTGTCCTTTGTGGATAGCGCGCCAGGCAAAGTCACGCGCCTTCCTCGATATAGGATCCTTGCGTAGCAGGGTCCAGATTGCACTCGCAGTCGGCTCAATTTTCGTATCCCGCAGCATCGCGCGCCGTATCTCTTGGACATTGCGCTCTGTGGCCGGTCGCTGCGTCAGGCCGTTCCACGAGCGGATGCCGAGGTACGCCGCCTTCTGGGTCAAGTAGAGCATCGACGCGCCCCGGACAATGTATCGCTCCGGGGCTGGGCGGTACACGGGGAGGTGCGGGCGGTCGAGGCGGGCACCACTCGCCGCCAGGGCATCTGCTTCCTCATTTCCATGGACGCGCGCGTGGCCTTTGACCCATCGGAAGGTCGTGGGGGCACTGCGCGTGCGCAGGAGGCCGACCAGATTTCGTATGATGGGCGCGTTAGCTACCCCCTGCCATCCTTGCCTCTCCCACATAGGTAGGTGTTTCGTTAGGCCGTCAACAACATACTTCGAGTCGCTGACAATGTGCATAGGTGCGTGCGGCGGCGTCCTGCGGTGTGCCATCTCAACCGCATACATCTCCGCGACTTGGTTTGTCTGTGGATCATACGGTACTCTCGCTCCTTCATTTCTCGCGTCTCCATCCCCAAACCAGATTCCGCTCCCTGCGCGCGCATTCCCCGACCCATTCCCCACTGCCGATCCGTCGGTGAAGATCTCAACTTCCTCACGTCGAACCTGGAAGGGGGGCATCGGGCGCAAGGCCGGCCTCTGGTCTTCAGGCGCATTCGGTACGAAGACTCTCATTGCCTCCATGAGGGGCTCGGGCGTCGCGATCGTTGGGTCAAAGAGTATTCGGTCATTCTCTATCCTCGCCGTCTCATTCGCCCTCTTCCTTCGCGGAGTGAGAGTAAGCCCGTCGTTATTGTCCTCTCTCGTCAAGCTCCATTTGCTCGTTAACCGGGATAGAATGAGGGCCGCGGCCGACGCGCAGCGATGGGGATTATCACACCCATACAGGTCGCGGTCTCTCCGGCAGTGCTCGCACTGGCATCCGCGATGTGGGCGGTGCTCATGCTCCTCGCTGTCTAATCGGGTCGCAACTTCAGCGCATTGGCTGACCGTTCGGACTTGGTGAGCGTCGCGCAGACATTTACAGCTTTTCGAGTTTTCTGAGATCCTCCCCTCAGATCGCCCAACATGGTACCACACCGGCAGCTGTGCGCGTATCGCAGCCGACGGGTTCGTCGTCTCACAGGCGACGCCGTACTTCTTCGCAGCTTTCATCATGGTACGGAGGCACTGCGGCAGTCCCGCAGCAGCGCGTGTACTCACTTTCCAGCTTTGTAGGAAGGTGTTGACTCTGGCGTTCACGTCAACATGCTTTGATTCCGCCGCTATGGCCCTTGCGAGGAGGGCATCCGCAACTAGGGCCCAGAGGGGGCGTTTTAGGCCCAGGGTGAGGTACCGTCGTAGCCACATTAGGTCTATCGCTTCGTTCCTAGAGTGTATGTCCAGGAGCTTTAAGCCCCCAGCTGTGATGGGCTTATAGAGCTGTTCGCGTTCAATTCGGGGGTGCAGATCACCATCCCAGACAAAGTCCACCATGATCTTCGTCAGCCTCTTCTCAACACTCTTCGGCATTACCTGCACAGTCGCTCTGAATTGGGTACGCCCCGCCAACTCTATGCCTATAGCGAGCTTACGGCCATTCAGGGATGGCTTCCCTTTCTGCCACTTAGCGAGATTTGTCTGGATTGTGTTCACCACTGGTGTCCAGGGAGCCGAGTCGTCGATGCCGTTCCCGATCCAGGCACCTAGAGAGCGGATTGCCGCGCCTTCCGGTACTATGTGCGCTGTCTGGGGAATCAGAGAGCCGTCCGCGGTCATCTTCCTTGTTGCAATGACTCGCGCACGGAACTCCGGTGATCCAATCGGTAGGACTTCAGTTTTCTCCTCATTGAACCGGGCTCGCGCCGCACGGCACCACTTCGCCGTAATTTCAAGCATTACCCCATATTCATCATCTTTGCTTAGGTACACCGTCGTATCATCCGCGAAAAGTTTCGCGATGAGCCTCTCGGCTTCTCCCGGGACTCGAAGCCCTCGTAGCGACGATCTTCGGAGTGCGCTTGCGAGCGGTTCAATGGCTACATTGAAGACTAGGCACGAGATGGGGTCGCCCTGTCGGACTCCTCGCACTATCCGGAACAGTTTGCTCCGGACTCCATTGACTATCACACAGCTCTCTGCTCCAGCGTAGAGGTGTTGGAGGGTGCGTATGAAGTTGTTTGGGAAGTTCATGTGTCGTAGGACCTCCCAGAGGTACGCGTGGTCAATTTTGTCGTACGCCTTCTCTTGGTCAAGCGCGACAATGACGCCGTCGATCTCTTCAGCTTCAGCATATTCTATCATTAGCTGCGAGAGCCTTATGTGGTCAAAGATGCGTCGCCCGGGTATAAAGCCAGCCTGGTCTTCATGGATAATCTTCGGGGCGGCTTCTGCGAGTTTCGTCGCCAGCGCTTTGGTCATGATCTTGTAGTCAGAGTTCAGGAGCGTTATGGGGCGGTAGTTATTGATATCTCTCTTATCCTTCTTCAGCTTATAGACAGGACAGATCCATCCATGGGCGAAGTCGGAGTCCGCTACGATGCCATATTTCTCGATATCATTGAAGACTTTCATCAAAGCTTTAGTCAAGTCGACCGCCGGTGCTCCCCTCTTGACCGCCGCTCTATACCACTTGTCGTAGCTTTTCCAGACTTCAGTAGGTAAGCCGTCCAGTCCTGGGGCCTTCCCGGCAGCGGAGTTCTGTATGGCGTCGGCGACGTCGTCTCTACTCAGCTTCTGGGCTAACTCAGCCTTGACTTCATTCGATAATCGGGCATCTGTGTCTGCTAGGGCCTCAGCGATGTACGTGTCATGGTCTTCGCCCTCCTCAAGCGGGTCATCCATCTGTAGGTCATTGTAGAATGATCTGGCAATCGCAGCCATCGTCTTCGAGTGGTTCGTGTAGGTCGGCGGGGACGACCCAGGTTCCAGCATCGTGTACATGGTTTCCGACACCTCCGGTGTCGTGTTTCCGCGCATCCAGTACCGTGACATTGTCTCACTCTTGGCCCAGTGCCGGGTACTCGTCTCGACTCGCTTCCAGTTGAAGCGCTTCTGCTCCAGCTTGGTCAGTCGGTCCTGCAGCATCGCAGCACGCTCCGCCTGCTTCGCAACTTCTCCCGGTGGCCCCTCATTGTCGGGCAGGGCGGACAGGGTCGCATTTAGGTCGTCGCGCATTCTATCGATTCTCTTTTGCATTTTGGGGACTTTTTCCCTCGCTCGGGCTCGAGCAGCAGCGGTAAGTTCCTTTTTGAAGGCTGTGTAAATTGTTTGAGGATTGACCTCCATCGTTCTAGCTCGTGCTCCGTCGAGTTGCCGGACTAGATCAGCAGCCAGGGCCAGCATGGTCTTCTTCATCTCCTGGTCCTCAAGCAAGTGGACCGGCATCACCCATCGGCCTTTACCTACGAAGGGCGCTTTATAATTCTGGATCGCTACCGACGCAAGCAAGTGATCTGTCGGGATGCCGAGTTCCGTTATATCCCAGTCTGAGCAGTCCTTAAGCATTTGTCGTCTGACATATATTCTATCCAGTCTTGATTGGGACGACGTACTCTCCTGTAGGAAGGTGAAGCGTGGGTGGAGTGGATTCGAATTCCTCCAGCCGTCCACCATGCTCAGTCCCTCATACAGGTTCTGGAGTGCTTCCCGTGGGCCCTCCGGGTCTTCCCTTTGTGGTATCCGGTCCGCACGGTCTTCCACTACGTTGAAGTCTCCCAGCAGTAGGTCGACACGGCCTAGGCGTTCACTCGCTAATCTCGCCCAGAAAGACTCGTTCTCTGCTGCATCGTTCGGCGCGTATACGTTCAGAATTTTCAGTTTGCGGTCTTCAGACCAGGGTATGGTAATTAGGATGGCTCTCCCGGGTACGATCTGTCGTACAGTGGGAGCGCAGTCCTTTAGTATGCGTTTGTTTATTACGATAGCTACACCTCTCGCACCCGTGCTGTTTGCGGGGTCTGGGGAGTGCAGAATGGACATGTGTCGTCCGAAGATTCGGTTGAGAGACTCCGTCCTCCCATCATCTAGGTGAGATTCTTGTAGCGCGAGAATGGCAATCTTTCTGTCTCTGACGAGCTGGTTAACTAGCATCCACTTGCTCGAGCCCTCCAGGCGGCTCTCCGTTCCAAAGCCTTTAATGTTTAGGGTAGCAACAGTCAGTCTGGCTTTTGATTTGGGCTTCGTTCCTCCTCTCCGTTCGCTCCCCGACCTCTCCGCGGATTGCAGTGATTCTGATCTCAGGGCAGCGTCCAGATGCGTGTCGTGTCCAGCTCCCGTCGGCTGCCCGTTACGTGCTCGATCAGCACCTCCGCCCTCCGCGCTGCCACCAATCTCTCCGCTCCCATCATCAGTGCCAGCTCTGGCAGGGAGGTCACCAGCACCTCCAGTAGCATCGAGGCGCATGTCCGAGGCCAGTTGGTTCTCCCGTATTTGGTTTATTGTGTTCGTATTTCGTGTCGTTGTAGTGGTTGTCGTATTTCCCATTCCGCCTCAACCTAGGCAGGTGGTAAGGAGGCATATCCCGGCCTCCACGGTCGACTATGCACTCGGGATTTGCGCTACCTCCGCACGCGGTAGTGCGCGTCCGTTCGCTTCAGCCTCTCGGCACGGCACGTCGTGGCCTAAACAGGCCGCCGTTTGTTGTGCATGCACAGGGGTCACTCAGGCTTTCCTATGCTCAGAGAGCTAGTATATTTGGGCGAGAGCGGACCAGGACGCCCCGCGCCGCAGCTTCTCTTGCGGGTGAGTTGCTTGCAGGCGCGTGAGGGCCGATGTCGCTGCTAGTTGGTCATGCTCGCAGCATCGTCTATGGGGGAGGGTTGTTTGAGGATGCAGTCAGTCTTCGCGCGTGTCAGGTTATGGACAGACGGCATCTCATTTGGGCCTGATTAGGCGTAAGTACCAAGCTCTAGTTGTAGGCGGGATCGTTTCAGTACGGCAGTCAAGATAGTATTCGTATGTGCAGTGTCAGAGCAGTCATGGGAGGTCGATATGGAGGTGAGTTCAGAGTTCAGAGCGCGGTTATGGAACTTATACGATCACGGGGGACGGAGGAGCGGCTCGCTCTGGTCAAGAAGGGGATAGGGCTGCGTGCGGGATGCGGGTCGTGAGTGCTACATGCGAGGAGCCGGCGGGTTCTGCGAGCGGTTTTGCCCTCTGCGCCGCTGGCCCCCACGCGGAGGGTACCCTCCTCTGCCGCGCGTGGAGTACTGCGAGGCGTGCTGTCCTGCGTAGCCCTCGTCCTCGTATTCCTCGTGCCGCTCGCTCCGGTCGCCGCCCGGGGGAGGTGCATACTGCGGCTGCGCGTAGAACTGAGGGTGGTAGTAGTACGGCTGGTGCTGCGGGTAGTAGGGAGGGTAGGGGGGCTCCATTGGGTACGTCGCGGTGTACGGCTGGCGCAGCATGGGCTGCATGTGCGGCGGGGGCAAGGGCGGAGGCCATGCGCTCGCCGCGCTCGAGTACGGTGGCGGGGGCTGTTGGTGCGCGGGTCCGTTCTGTGGGTAGTGCGGCTGCACGTCCCTCGGTGCGCTATGGTGCGGGTTGACCCGCGGCGGCGGCGTGCGCGCGCGGGTGGGCGGGCGTTGCGGTTGCGGATGAGGCGCCGGGGCCTGCGCGGCGGAGGCAGGCCCTGAGGATGGCGGCGGCGTCGGCGGCTGCGGGCGCGGCGCGGCGCGGTCGCTCGTTCCGCTGCTCCCTTGTTGCGGCTGCTGTTGGGCGGAGGGGGCGGCGATTGGGCCAAGGTTCAGTTTGCCGAACCAACCTTCAACCTCCTCGAAAGGGCAGTTGCGCTCGTCGTGGTCTCCGCCCTGGCAGTCGCGGCATCGGACGGGGTCCCGCGGCACAGCGACTTCGTTGAGGTCTGTCTTCACCGTCGTGTTGAAGAGAGTACACTGCCAGGTGTACCACGCCCCGGCGTTGGTCGTCGGGGGGTCGCAGTAGACCGACGCGACGATCTCGCCTGGTCCATCCGGCTTGCCAACTCGGTACGACTTGACGCGAATGCCCTGGATGACAGCCCTCGCCATGGCCGCGTAGTCGACGCCCGGGCGGTCGCCGTGCTCCAGCTTGAGGAGTTTGACAAGCGCGCGGAACGGGTCATCCTGCAGGAACGTGGCGGTGACTCCCTTCTTGATGGTGACGTCGTACGGTATCTTGAAGCCCGTGTACGTTATGAGGTGGTCAGGGATGCCTACAAAGACGGTATGGACGAAGGCGGTGAGGTCCGGCGTCGGCCAGGCAAGTTGTTGCGCGAGGATCGCAACTTCGTTGTCTGAGCAGTCGTAGAGCATCCAGATCAGCGCGAGAGGTTTGCCCGGCGCGTCGTTCTGTCCCGCGGTCGCGGAGAGGAGAGTCAACTTCGCTGTGCCGAGGATTTTGCCGAAGGTCGATCTGATCACTTTCTCGACTGCGTCTAGATATGGTTGATCGCTGCGACGTTCTTGCTTGAGTACTTCAAGAATTACGTGGTTCTTGCCGCTGAGGCCCTCCCACGTCTCCGCCATGGATTCAGGGAGTCCTCGGAGGAGGTCGCGAGTCGATTGCGCATGCTTCTTGGGGAAGTCGTCGTTTGTTACGGAGAGCACGTTCAGGATGCCGGATTCGCGGAGGTACTCCGCACGTCCCATCACACGGGGCATGGTTGCACTGTTGGGAGCAGTGGGGGGTGGCTGCTTCGGGGTGTTCACGGGGAGGACGTGTGCGTTGGCGAGCTTGGGCCCCGCCGCAGTCCTCACAGGGGGGTTGTTGTCGTCTCGGGGCGCGGACAGCTTGTCGTAGACGGGCAGCTCAGTCGGGTGTCCTCGCGCGTGCGTCGCGTTTGCTTCGCTCGTGGCCTGTGGAGGTTCCGCGGGGGCCTGGCAGTGTTCAGGTGCGTCTTCATCGACCTCCATGTTCTCCGGCGGCGACACCGACACGGTCTCCGTCTTCTGCGCGCTCTCTGGGGCGTGAATCGAGTCTTTTAGCAGCGCGGGAGGAGGTCGCGCCGCGTTCTGCAGAGGGAGTGCGGTCGCGTTCGCGGCGGGGTGCGCGGTCAGGGCGTGTTGCACAGTCAGGGGGTGCGACCCGCCAGCCGTCTGCAGGAGGGGGAGGAGCAGCTCCTGTCCCGTTGTGAGCTTCGTGTAGTAGTTGTGGATCGCCCCTTGGATGTAATCATCGAACGCCGGAAGGTTGTGCGCGGCAGCGTTAGCTGTCATACCCGCAAGAAGGGGGTGCGTCTGGGTCCCGGGGTGAGCTTGGGCTTGGACATGTCCAGCCTGCTCTTCCTGCGCGGGCTTCTCGGTCACAGCTTAACGGTTCGCAAGTGCGGTTAGTTCACGCATGGAGATCATTCAGACCTGCGTGCTTACAGTCAAACTGGGACCACGTGTGGTAGAAGGCATTCGGCGCTGGGGCCGTTTGCAGGTCTCCGGAGCTCGCGGCGTGCGCGTTGGAGTTCACTGGGGCCGCCGGTCGCTTTCCGTTCGATGACCTCGGGAGCTCAGGGCCTAGTTCGTCCTCGCTATCTAGCTCAGCGTCTAGGGATGCTGTGCGCAGACGCTTCTTGGCCTTGCGGACCGCGAGGGCGGGGAGTCGGTCGGGCTGGCTCGTAGCACAGAGCTGAGCTTGGCTCGCGGAAGATCTGGGCCCAGCCGTTTGCGGCGTACGTGGCTGGGACCCATTCTGCATCGCGTTGGGGAGCCGCGGCCATCCGTCTCCGACGGGATGGAGGGGGTAGGACGCCGCTTCGGGACGGCTCTGGGACGATGGGTGCCCTAGATTACGGAACTCACTTTGCCTGCCATTCGTCGTGGGCGTGGTGGCGTCTGGGCCTAGCGGGGAGGCGTTCTGGTGCTCGCCAGAGTACGCAGGGGGGTCGTTTTGGAAGCAAATTGCGTGTCCCGGGTTGAAGTCAGCTATGTTGGGGAGTGGGTCGGAGAAGTCCGGGTTGTCGCTGCGCGGGGAGGCCTCACAGCTGCTCGGGAGTGGTAGGTCGATGTTGCAGGGCGTGCCCGTGATTTCCGCCGGTATCGTTCGGCGGTACGTGCGGGTGTCCATGGCACAGTCGAGTTCGGCGGGCAGCAGAAGGAGAGGGAGCAGAGCAACGGGGAGGGAAGGACGGCCGTCCTCTCTTTCTTAAGGACATCCTTACTCGCGCGCGCCGCGCGCCCCGATGAAGTCGCGGGTGCGCGCATTTCGCGTGGTTCATTGGAGGGGGATCGCGGTGGAGGAGCAGCAAGGAGGGGGCGCCTTCTCGTTGCTGAAGCGTTCCTTCCGGATTTGGGAGGGCGGGGCGCAGTTCGGGGACGGGCATTTCTCAAACGAGCGTGGGAGACATCGGCCGGCCGCTACACGGCCTGGTCACGTCCGATGGCGCACTCTTCGGTTTCTCCATCACACTGCAATGCCAGCAAAATGTCTCACCCGCCAGGTGTCACACTTTACTGCCTCCATCTGGGCAGGGCGTCCTGTTCTGGTGCATTCTTCTGTCACAGGCCGGCGGTGACTCGGGGGTTTGCTTCACTCCCTCCGCACTCGCCGGCGTTGGGGTTTCATGGGAAACAGATGTGCGGGCGACCATTTCGGGGAGATCGTGGCGCCCTCTGTGGGCGCCGCTCGTTCTCCCGCTCCCGCGTCTTATGGGTCCACAACGCTCCGCGCATTGCGAGCGCCGCGCGATATGTTTCGCGTTGTTCCGCTCTATCCATGATTTAGCCATTTGGCGCCAAGTTCCCGCCCTTCGCGGTTATTCAGTCCCAATTCCTCTCGTGTTCATTCCGTTCTCGTCACTCATGTTGCGGTGTTTGCTTCATTCGCTCAGGTCGGCGTGGCCCGCGGGGGCATCCGTCTGTCCCGCAGTTCAGTCTGGGGGGGCGTGCGCAGCGTGTGTCGTTCACGGCTTGCTTCCCTAGCTCGGCCGTTCGCGGGTTTGTGGCACGGGACATTGTTTGCGCAGTTCACCGTTCTCCGGGGTGCGTTCCGCTCACTGTGATGCGGCATCATTCGCTAGGCCGGTTCATCACGGACGGTCGAGACTTATTCCAACCACGGTCACTCGTCGGTGCCGTGCCATGCACAGTAGGTGTGGGAGATTCCACTCCATTTCCCTCTCCCTCGCATTCCTCTCCAAGTTCTCGTTACAACGCTGATGCACGTACTCTGCTTTCTAGTGATCATCCTCCATCCTATCTGCTCCGTTCCGGAGTGCGCGCTCGATGCTGTACTCCCATGGGACGAGGACGGCTTTGCGGTCGAGAGGCGCATGCCTCGTGTGGTGGAGGAAGGGGAGAGTGAGGGTTCGCCACGCCCATCGCCATGCCTCCAGTTGGACCGTTTCGCCGTGGAGGTGCTGTACGGTGAGGTAGGCGTAGTTGGTTGTCGAGTCCTGGTTGTCGTTCTGAACAACGAACTCGGTTATCGCCAGCTCCATCGTCCGTACTCCAACGATAGGCCCTTCAATTCCGGCCCGCTCCGAGTTGTACCTCGCTACTCCTCGTGCGTCGGGGCAGCCACGGTTTGTGAGGCGGTGGATTATAACGCGCGCGCCCACACGCAGCGGGGATGGGGGCGGGAGGACGACGTCGAGGGAAAGGGTGTTTAGGGCTCGAGGGGTTCTTGGTAGGCTAGAGGGTGCCATTCCTCTTTCCTGGGCATGGACTGGTATGGCGGTCATCTTAGGTGGGGGGGTGAGGGGCGGTGGCAAGAGTTGGGGCCAGAGGACACGTCTTCCACTATTTAAACTCAGTGGGTGTGCCTACAATATTTAAATTTCCAAAGGCTGCTTAGGGGGCCATTACTCTTTCCTACAGAGTGTCCCTTCCATTGGGCCTCAGTTTCTGGCTTCCTGGAGTATGGTTGAGTACTTTTGGGTCTGTTTATTAGTACAGTTGGGGCAGGGCAGGTCAGGGGCCCAGGTTTGAGGGTATGTTACAGTTGGGGCGCCGCTCTAAGGAGGCGTTTTAGTCTGGTGGCTTCCCTGGATTGGTGATTGGGTGTCCTGGTTGGATAGGGCGTCCAGCCTTGGTCTGGGGAAATTCAGAGAAAAAGACAGGCCACTTCTACAATTTAGCAGTGGCAGGCATTCAGAGGTTTGATTATAATGCTAGCCATACTTGCTGCTAAGAGAGGACCTGAGAATTAGGGCTCAGTTCTTCAGGGGACGTCCATCAGTCTGGGGCATTCTGCTGCCACAGGTGGAAGCGAATTGTAATTTTAGATTCTGGAAACTCAAATCGCCCCCCCAGAACTTGGCCTTGCCCCAGTGGCTTCAGTGCCTAGGTTTCGGTGGGCCAGTGCGGCCAAATAGACAGTTCATTGGGCCATGGTGAAATGAGAGGAACCAGCCGTCCCCCTTGGTGGAAAGCAGGCTTCATTTCGGGCACGGTACAAGGACGCGCCGCGGTACACCGAATATTACGTCCCTTCTCCACCAGTCCTTCCGGGCAATTGGCCATTACGGCCGCTATCTCCGTACTCTCGTGCGTTTCCCCTCGTCTGGGGTAGCTACGGCCCGACAGAGCTCCAGGACTTCATTAGGCACTCTTCGGCCGCCTGCGTTTCACCGCGGAGAGAGCCTCTTGTCCTCGCCAGCTCGCCCCGCCTTACGCTGCCATTGGACAGGGAGTTGTCTTCAGTCTGGTCAGGTCACATTGTACGCAGACGCGTCCAGTGTACTCGCAGGATGAGTCCAGTGGCCGCAGTTTCACGGCTCGAATTTATTACCCGTGCGGCATAGCTCTACGCCCTCACGAGTCAGCTCCACCTGGATCATGCTTTACAGCCACAGTAGGCCTTGAATTATTTGCGCGCATACTCAGACCCGCGACCACAGGCTCTCTAGAGGCTTGGGCCGTTTCTTAGTGGACCGCCTGTCCAGATCCGGCTCGGGCAGTATACAAGGCTCCCGGCAGCCGTGTCCGGCGAGGCGCTCGCCTTGCGGGCCTCCAGGAAATGTCGGTCGAGAGACATCCCTGCTGTTTGCACTTCAGACGTGTTTCTTTCGACGAGATCGGGGCGAAGGCACCCGCAGGTTCAGGTTTTAAAGGTAACCACAGAGTAAGTGCGCACCATGGTGGATATATAGATGCATACTGCGGGGTGGCCGCGGGAGCCCGGCCTTAGTCGAGCTTCAGGCGCGTGCCGGGCCTGCCGCAGTTCATTGCCTGATAGGTTCTCTTGTAAGCTAGCCCTTCCACGGTCTCGGAAGTCCGGGAGAAGAGAGCCACGGTCTCGGAAGTCCGGGAGAAGAGAGCTTCGGCCTCGGGGTCGGCGTCGTTGGGCCATAGGACGTTGCTTCCACCAGTCTTGTTTCCCCGTGCTGGGGGACGAGGTGAGTTCGGGGCCCGTGGAGGACTGTAGCGGCGCAAACAACAGTGGGCGCACATTCCTTCACAGGTCGAGGTCTGGCGCCACTTCTAATCTAATCTATTTGCGTCTATCTAATCTGTAGCGCCTGTTTCGGCCACGTCAGCTGCAGTTCGAGTCGGAGAGACAGTGCTTGGCACGGGGGTCGCCCCATCCATGTACCACAGCACCTTCTGCTTTAACTTCGCAGGCATCCAGCTCCTGGTGGGCATCCGCAACTGCAGGCATCCATTTCTGGGCATCGGTTTAGACCGGGAGGTGAGAGGGGGGCCACGTCCGGGCACATTGCCTCGCTCGTGTGTGCCTACCTCCTCCTGTGCAGGGCTTACTCTCCCCTGGGGTCAGCTAGCAGTCTCGCGCTATCATTCATTCCTTTCCGTGTTCGTAGTAGTTCCAGATACCATGTTTTTATACAATTTCCGCCTTCCGCACGCTCGGGGAAAGCGTGGGAAAAACGGGCTTGGTGGTGGTACGAGTTCAAGGAGCCCCCGGTGTTCAGTCTTTGGCATCCGAGCTTCTTGCGCAGAAGATAAGCGCCGTTTCGAGTCCAACGGTTGAACACAGCAGCCTAGCGACTGACAGCGGTGGTATTCGAGCGTCAGGGTGTACTGTAACAGGAGACGAGGAAGAGGGGAAGGGCGATGTCGGAAGGACCATGGGTATCCATCTTGCGACGCGGTGGGAAGATGACGACGGGTAAGGATAGCCTGGGCGGTGCCACGGCCTTGCCATGGATCGGGTGCTGTTGCGCTCGCACCCTTGGCGTGCATCCGAAGCCGCGAAGATTGAGAGGTGCTATGAATGGGCCGTAACAGGATGCGGACGGATGCTATTTTCGCGCACCATCCAGGAAGGTAGTTACCACTGCCAGGCCACGAGTTCTAGCGCGAGCCAAAGTCTAAGCTTAAATGCGCAGGAGAGATACCGGCCTGAAGACTCCTGAAGAGGATAAGGCGGGGCGGACGTTTGTGTGATGTGCGCGATGGGCATGGCGGAAGTCTGCGACGTTCGAGAAACGCTAGCGCGATGGCGGGGACGGAACGAGGGGCGCGTGCCTGATGACGGCGCCTCGTCTGAGGACAACGAGGCGTCAGCTGGTTGGTGAGGCGACCACAGGACCGCACCTGCTGCGGGCTGAAACATGGAGACTGGCGAGAGCGTCCGTCGCAGACGAGCGGCGGCGCGGCGACAAGGCAAAGGGGAGCTCGGACGGGTTGACAGAGACAGGGGGCGAACACTGAACAGATCAGCGAAGAGGAACTGGGCAGCATTTTGACAGATAGATAGATCAGGCACTGTGCAGCAGCCTCTCCCGGCGTCGGTGTCGGCGCACAGCCCGTGCTCATCGCCGACCGAGACGACGAGCGCGGTCTGGATGAACAACGAGGAGATGGTGTTGTACACCGCCAATGTGTCGGGGTCGGTGACAAGGAGGAAGGGGCGGCCTCGGCAAGCTGCGGGCGAAGTATAATGGGCGTCTATCTTCAGGGACAGCCGGAAATGGATGGGGCGATAGACGAGTGAACTCTAATGGGGAGACCGCTTCCCATCGCAAGTCTCTGCAGCCAATGCGCCTCTCTCCTCCCTCCCCCTCTCTCCGCCGCCACACTCCATCCTGCTCGCTGCGCGACTCGTCTTGTATATTCCTCTCGCTGGTCACAACATCTAATCGAACACACTACACGACGACCCCGACGCCCCGCTGCGCTCCATGAGCACCGCATCGCCCACCGCGTTCCTTCTCTGGGCCATCCTCTCCGTCCTCGTGCGTCCTGCTCTGCTATCCTCGGGTTCGCGTGCTGAAAGGGCTTCTTCTGTAGTTCTTGATCTTCCTCGTTCACCACCTCTGGTGCTACGACAAGTTCAAATGCCTCCGCTGGTCCGCAGGCCGGCAGGCGGGTGCGTTCAAGCGCGTCATGACAGTACGTCCCCGCACTCTCGTATCGTGCCCACATTCCAATCTGCGGTCCAGTACTCCTATCTAGGGACAGTGCCATTACTCGCTGTATACAGCATAGGCATGTCGGTGATCAAATACAGAGAAGGTACGTCGCGCCATCCGCTGCACTCCGCAGTCAGTTCCTCACGCCAATCTCCCTATCCTAGGATTTGTTATAGCGCCGGACGGGACATGTACGTTTCTCCCGAGGCCGTTCTATATGCCCTCCTAACGCCGAGGTTGCACAGTCGTTCCGCGTCCCATCGAGTTCTACGAGGATCCTAATCGGAGCTGGGTACTGCCCTTGCAGTTCGTCTTCAGTATTGCATGGGCGCTTGAGCAGTGAGTGTCATTCATTTTGTCTGGAGTTCCCTTGGCACCATTCCGCCCTCTCCTGTGCACTTGCGCGGCATGGCCGTGGTTATGGGCGACGACGACTACGGCCGTATTAAGCGACGGTGATCGCGAGAGTTCATGAAGTCCTCTACGACTGATCGTTGCGGGAGGCAAGCGAGCGGTTGTAACCGCGGTGCCGTCTCATCCCACGGGTATGCCCGACCAGTTCAGAACAGCAGGCAGAATGTCTGCCTGCTTGGCTGTTCACGAAGCCCCACCGCGGCTCCGAACTAGGGCTCGCGAGGGTGTTCTACGCTCGCGCGTGCTGATCCTTTACGTCATCACCTGCTGTTGAACAACCCGCTGACTGCCATTTACTCCGCCCAGGGTGACCCACCTCGAAGGTACGAGTGGCAATATATTTGATTTGTCCGAAACACGAGACTGATCCAACCCCATCCAGAACTGGCATTTTGGCTGTATCTTCTGCACCAGAATCCGAACAAGGAAGCCTGGTTTTCGAGCTGGGAGTATCGCTTGTGGTACTTGGGTGAGCCATCGATGGTGGTGCGTATGCTGTGATCACCTGCTGACGACGTTCACTAGGGAGTCTTTTGGCTGTCGTCGGTATGCCTCTCACGGCGGTGGTCACGCGGAATGGAATACAGACGGTACGGTCTCTTTGCGCCTCAGCAGTGGGATTCATCGTTGACGTGCAGGCATAGTGCGATGCATATATATTCTTGGTTGGTTCGGCAGGGTCGACATCGACGACCATCACGTTCCTGTACGTGCTCTGGCGGTTCCCGAAGTTCATCAGCCACGTCAAGTCGGAGGGCGCGGAGCCAACTGTCGTCGTTCGGCTTGCGACCTTCTACCAGCTCAACGTGAGCATATCAAATCCTATGATGGACGTGAGATACTGACACGACTGCGAGAATAGCAAGTACGGGTAGTTTTCCGATTCCTGTTCACCTTCCCGCTCTTGGTGCTCGCGCTGGACGGTATCATTGGGACCTCACATCCGGTCAACCGCAACATGTGAGAGCTCTCTCCGCGTATACCCGTTCAGTCGCTGACAATGCCTATGTAGATTCCTCACGGACTTCCTGCTGATGATCGCCGGCATTGGGTGTTTCGTTTCGTCCATGATCACGCTCCTCATCTTCTTCCCCCGCTCGATCGTCCGCGAGGCTGGGTACAAGCCTAAACTGTCCAGCACGGCACCAACATCGCCCAAGAGCCCGCCGATCACGCCTCCCTCGCGATCTGGCCCGTTCTCTCAGCGGGGCCCGTCGCACCTTCCTCAGCTGCCGATGCACATTGTAGGAATGCAAGGAGTGCGTGCAGGCACTGTTGCGCCACCGCCGACCGATACAGGCGTGACCGGGTATACGACGTGGGACATGGACGGCAGCGCGTACACTGCGAGCATGTATTCGCCGCGCGAGTCTATGTACGGCTCGCCGCAGTATACCGCGGAGGACTTCGTTGTGGCCGGTGGCGAGGCGGGCGTGCAGCGGCGTGGGTCGCGCGTGTCAAGGCGTGGCAGCCGACGCGTGAGTATCTACAACCCTATGGACGTGCACCAGGAGCAGGACAGCGACGCGGATGACGAAGGCGAGCGTGGCGCAGATGTGGACGCCGCCACGGAGGAGAGCGTGCCGCCCTACTCGCACGCGCAGCCACACCAACCGCAGCCCGTGCAGCTCCACCAACGGCATCCCTTCACACACTCAGCGTCGAGCCCACAGATCATCACCGCCGGGCAGCTGCAGCAGGACACGCCACCACCACCACCGCCACCACCGCCTCTCTCGTCGCCTGTGGCATCCGCCCCGCCAGCGGCACCTGCTCCTACTGCGCCCGCACGTCCACCATCACCCTCCGGGAAGCGGCGGACATGGGGCTGGGAGGAGTCGCGACATGTGCCGTTCGCGCTTGGGGTGAACCCCGCCGGCGCGCAGAGGTCGCCGAACGCCCCTGCAGTGCGGACGAGTCTGCATATCGTTTCGACGGGCCCGGGGTCGACGGCGGTGGCTGTGGGTCCTGGGGGCGTTGGGCTGGGCTTGGCGGTCGCGCGGAATACGCGACGGGTGTCGAACCTGCATCCATACGTGAGTAATGTCTCCGGCCTCGAGGGATGATTTTGCTGATGGGTTTGGTGTGGATAGGTTGTGAACTTCACGTCCCCGATTGGTGAGTGTCTTTCATGCGTAGCTGTGAAATTGTTGCTGACGTGCGATCGTCTGCGCAGACCTGGTCGATATCCCTCCCATGGACGAGCTCCCGCGGTCGTTGTGAACACATCCCTACCCACAGTGCTACGCACAGTCTAGCTCTTGCGGACTGTTCCCCCGTCGCTTGCCGACGTCACCCCTACGCGCACGAGCCCCATAAGCAATGTCTGCACCGCATACACCCCCCATACTATGCCCTCGAGGGGATGCCTCCCGTGCCCCTCCGCAGACCACACCCCACACCCCATAGCTCGGTTCCCCCGCTGGCGGCAGGGTATCTCGTCCCGCGTCCCCCCACGTCCGGCGTCCCTTGGCCCTCTCTCGCACACGGGCCGCAACTACCTGCGCATCGCTTCTCCTATGGGCAGCTCGCTACGCCCACCTAGAGTCCCCCACTCCATCACGACTTCTTACGACCTTTCACGACTATTTGACACTCCTGTTGCGAGGCCCGCTCGCCCGCTCTCCAACCGTGGCGCCCTTCGAGTGCGGCTGGGCATCACGCCACTCGCCCGCCCATCGGATACCGACCAGGCACCTACGGTCCGCCGAGGCGAAGGTCGGGATGCCCATCGTAGCTCCGCCGCCCACCGGGCGTCCTTTCCGCAGCACTCGACCCCGAGGCCTCCGTTATGCGGTTCAGTCGCACACGCAACACTATGCTTTTCTTCGTCTGTATATTCGCTTCGCTTTGTACTCCCTGCTATCGGGTTCGGATTTGTCGGCGCGCGGACACGGATCCCGGATTCGTCTTCGCCTTTGTTTTATTCCCCTGTTTATGCGTGCAGCGTTCCACTTGGATACCTGGTTCGGGCGCGCGGGCGTTGAGCCCGTGCGTCGGCGGCGTGTAGGATAGATGGACGCGGTAATGTACTCTACTGTACGAGTCTCAAAAAATGATGACGCTTTGTCGGAATTGCGACTCGGGGTGTGTGAGTTCAACGATTGTGCTCTGCGAGCGGTATGATGTGGCGGGAGGTCTGGCAGCAAGAGGCGACAGTCGAGAGAAGCAAAAGTGTGGCCAACGCCGGGATCGAACCGACGACCTTGGCGTTATTAGCACCACGCTCTAACCAACTGAGCTAGCCGGCCAATAAGTTGGAACTTTGCGCAAAGATCGCGGCCGCAAGCGTTTCCAGTAGGAATATCGTGAGGCGAAGGCAAGAAGACTGAGCACATTATATATAGTATTCAGCAGACATTGTCTAACATGGACTAGGCAATTTAGAGGCGGGACAAAGCCAGAGATCTGACACGGGCATGCAACTTGCGCCACACCTTGCGCGGCCGTAAATCTAGACGTGCGGCGTGCGCCAACAGTCAGCACCGCGTACTTCGAAGGACCGCAAGGGATAGAACTGCACTCACGCCGTCGCTTTCGCTCCACGGGTGACTGGCTATTGACCGAGGTGTCCGTGTTGCGTGCATGCACTTCGCGCGCAACGGATGGTGGGCCCACCGCGTTTCTAGCTGCATACGCGCGAACGCGCGCGTCCTGTATGATCCTGCCCATAAACTATCAGCGCACTTTGAAGCGAGGCGCAGACGTGGACATGCTCACCTGACGATCTCGTCGCGCTCTTCGAACAGCCCGGTAGGGTTCGGGATGTCTTCCTCCTTGAGTTGCGGGGCCATGTCCAGCCAGAGCTCGCAGAGCGGAAGAAGATCGAGGTCCTGGTTCGGGCCGGAGAAGATGCCCATTGCCATGATCCTGTCGACGCTGTCGAGATCGCTCTCCGAGCTCTCGCTGTTGACGCTGCGAGTATCACAGCTATCGGACAATGATCGAGAGGACGTCGACATCGGGACGTTAGCCTGATGGTCTCCCGTCGATGGGATGCTGGGGCCGACGGGTGCCCAGGAGCTCAACGCAGTGTCCAGTATTGGGACAGTGGGATCGTGGGGCGGTTCTGCTGGAAGTCGCGACAGGTCTTCTGGCACATCGGCATCAATTACAGATCCTTCCGGGCTCATCATGCGCAAGGCATCCTCTAACTGAAGCTCGTCCCACCGCATGTACTCGCGGAGAGGGAGCGCGATCGCCTGGTTTTGATCAAACTCCTCGGGTCGAGCGAGCACCCGGATATCCATCTCTACCCCCGACCAGTGGTAGCAGTTCGCGTAAGGGAAGGGTTTGTCGGGATGGAGAGGTTCGCGGCCGGCAGGGTGTTGGCTGTTCGGATATATGGGGCTGCACATGTCCGCGGTGATCCGTTTTTCCGCATCCTCTTCGCGCAGAGATGGTGCGACGACGTTGACCGCGTATCGATACCACGGCTTGTTTGGGAATGGGAGTTCTAGCTCCTGCCAGAGAATCTGTGTTAGAATAGAATATGGAAGCAGGAAGAGGTCATATTCGGCTGACGAGGCTGAGGAAGACGACGTAGGACTGCGGTGCCATGGCACGAGCTGCGTCCATTGCTTCGGCGTCGTCCAGGTTCCTTACCATCGCCACGGGGTCCATGCGTATGACAGCATAGCAAGGCGAGTTGGGGCTAAAGAACAGCCTTTGAGAAGCCATGCCGCCGATGAGGGGCACCGCGGAGACAACCCTGCGAAAGCGATAAGTGATGTTGGGGATCTGACGACCAGCCTGCCTGAGAATTACTGGAGGAAGATGTTCAGCTAGGCCGGAGATTGGTCGACAGGAAGCCAACGGTGCAGCCAGTTAAGTACCGCAGAAAACAAGTGTTCCTTCCGCGTGAGCAGGTACCAGCGTTGAACGTTGATGACTGCCTGGCTCGTAAAACAATAGCGCCTTGTCCAAGTATCTGTTGCCATCTCGCGGCCTTGCAAGATGTTATCTGTAGACATCGTGGTGATCTGGCCGCCGCGGCTGCGGTAGAGGTACCATGGAATTACCAGTGGTATAGAAAGCTTTTTTTCTAGGCTGCGTCGTGGCACACGTCTGAAGTGGACTCGAGCGTAGTTTGTCGGAACCAAAGAGCAACGAAGCTTGTCGCGCGCAGAGACGCCAGGACCGAGGTGATATAGGCGCTCGTTGCCGCCACGAGGGCGTCCCAAAGAGGATATTACTTGCCGCTCATCGGCCTCTCTCTCTCTCGGTATCCAACTCGCATCTCTTCCTCGATTCAACTTGTACGATCCTTTCACTGCACGTCTATCTCTTGTTTCTCGTTCAACATGGGCGAATATACTTCAGGATCCAATTCATCTGGAAGTGTTCGTAATGTGGCACACTCTCAAGCTTTAGGTCTTTGCGATCTGGGCCCTGCCAGTGGCCCCTCCTAGTTCGCGTGGAGCTCAAATCTGACATTGAGAGACGTCTTAACGGCCCTGACGCCAATGTAAGCGTTCTATCTTTCCCATGGTTGGCATTACGGATGACGCAAAGGCAAAATGCAGCCTTAGGAGTGATACAGCTTACTCGTGCTCAGTCTTTGTTTGCCATCATCGTGGTCATAAGGTCCATTGTGCGACGACCATATCATAAATAGTGGTCCTCTAGTCTGCAGCGCGCAACACACTACCGCCGTCTCTGAGAACCTTACCTCGCTAAACGCGCTGTCTCTGTCACCCACCATGTCTCACACGTTCTTCCCTCTTCCTGGCACGTATGCAGTCGTTGAGATCGACGTGGAGAAAACCCTCCAGTCTCTCCATGACCCGATTGCAAACGCGGCCGCGGCCGCGATGCAGACCACCAAGTGCATCGTCTTTTTGGGCATGGTACGTGCGTGTTCGCCTTCACGCGTTGGATTCATCTGATGGGCACACAGTTGTTGCGTCTCCCATTCCCGGAAGATACCACATTCAAGTACGCATCGCAACTCATCGGCCCTGGACTCCGCCCGGAAGACCCGACGCGCTGCCTCACATCCGAGATGTGCCTCCCCATCTTCCCAAACACCTACCACCCTTCCGCTGGCCGGGAGGCCCTGCAGCCTCGCACAGGGCCGTTCCCGTTCAGCAACTGCTACCACTGGTTTGGACCGGACATGGTCTTCGACATGCGACTCTGGAACAACGGCCACTCCTATACCGCCGAGGAGCGGGTGTCGCTTTCGGCCAGTGAGCAAGTGAGGCTGGAACGTATCCGGAGCGGGGACGTTTGGAGGGCCCTCGACGCCATGGAGGCCCAAAATGCCGCGCATGGTGCGGGTGCGTCGCCGAAGGAGGAAACGCAGGAGGAGCAGGAACTGGTGGAAGAGCCGCACGTGGCTCGCTCGGCGGAGTTCGAGCACTCTCCGCCTCCGTCCGAGCAGCAAGATGAGCCGTCCGCGGACGAGTCGACCGACTACGACGATTCGGACAGCGACTCCGCGTCGTCGAACCCTGCATCGCCTGCGGAGCTCGCGGATCACTTTGCGCTGATGGATATTTTCGGCATCGACGAAGATGAGAACGACGACCTTCTCCCCATTGTCAACGTATGGCCCGACGTTGGCGCGCACTTCAGCGAGGACGACGTTCCGAACCCTATGGAGTTTGCCGAGCAGTTCAGCCAGATCGTCAGGTATGGCCCACATTCACCCATCGTGACTCGAGCTAACATCAGAGATAGAATCATCACGGAGAGCAAAGCGCGCTCTAGGTGGCTGCGTGCCTCCGATTGGGAAAAGGGCTGCGTCTCGGCGAAGCAATGCTCTGGAGATGAGTAGAGCGAGTCTGCGACATACCGCACTGAACGGTGTTTGTCTGAGCAAGGTGAGCTGTATTCATGATATTTGCATCTGACACACAGTGCTCACCTCAGCGCGCAGACGGCCGCTCCATATACATAGGTTCCTGATGTTCGACTGTATGAATAGATGACTTTGGCACAAAATATTTGGGTGACCCTAGCTCCTTCTCGGAGGTCGCGACGCATTGTGATATAACCTCATCTACACAAGACATAACGGGGAAGGCTTCGTGGCCTCATAGTGTACACGTCAAGGAATGTTATCAACTACTGGGACCAAACAACTCCGCAATTGTACCGTGGTGAGTACGCCGTAATGATCGCATCAGAAGCCTGTGAGCCAATGCTGACGGTTCACGATAGCATCGGAAGGGCCAGGTTCGATATTTGCCTGCGAACCGACTTCAAGGACTCGCGAGCACCTCTGCTCTTGCCCTTTGCGCTCTGAACCGACTAGCATTCTTTGAGCGACTGATGCTTCCGTCACGGCAAGACGATGAGCTCACCTTCAGGCTGTGCGCCCGACTGTGGCACGATGACGGCTTCCCGCTGCGGTGTGGCGACGTGACAGAGAACTTATCCGTCTCTGGTACGGTACCCAGAGGGGTACCTAATCTCGCAGCCCGCGACGCACATGTCTTCGCGCTATTCAGGCTGACGTGGCTTGCCTGGACGCTTGCAGTCAGTAGAAGGTCAGCGCGCAGTGTCCGAAATTTGCTCACCCAGGATTTTTGGCTCGCCTTCGCTCGGTTGTACTATCACACCATCAGCCCCAAATCACACGGACAGGAAGCATTCAAAGTGGCGGTGAACTCACCCGGTACTCGAAGACGCAGCCCCGCGCGAAGGCAGGATTCGCCCTGCACTTCTCCGCCCACGTCTTAAGACGCTCCTCGCACTGTTTCTTGAGCCATCTTCGGGTTTCCTTGTCTAGCCAGTAGTGCGGCGCGGTCTCGCCATGATAGCGCGCCCCTGGGATGAACGTGCTGGATTGGCCACTCTTGCCCGAAGAGCGCGCATCCTTGGGGATCCGCCAAGTTCCAAGCAGGGGGCTCGGACTGTAGTAGGAGAAAGCGATAATCCACTGGAATTCATGGTGCCAGGGAGAGGGACATGTGTGGATGTGGTCTCGAGGCGAAGTCCCGTCAGGTGCGTTGTCTTAAGGGCCCAGTCCACTGTTCGGGAACACGCGGACACCGAAATGCTGGTATACCTCGTCAGGCGGCGTCTCGCCTCCGAAGGTCCCCATGACACAGATAATGGCGCCGTTAAGAATCGCACGATCGGCATTTTGGTTGTTCTCTGCGGCGAAGAGAAAAATGCATGGGCGTTTCTTGCCCATCCGGTTGTTAGGATCGACGGGGTGGTAAATGCGTTTCAGTTGGTCTATACATTTCTGCAGCAGGTCGGGGTCCTCCTTGACTCCGGGACTGTCCTTAAAGATGAGCTCTGCAACGGTGGCCAGAGTTTCGTGTACACAGCAGACATAGCCAGGGTTGAGTTTGCCGACGTCTGGAAGTTTTTCCTCGCGGTTCCTTTGAGCAGCCTTTGAGGAATTTGACATATCAGAGCACTCGTAGTGCGGACAGGGTGATGGCGCCATCGAGACCCCGGGGAGGAAAGCAATGAGGCAGAGATAGTAGGCGAGGAGCGGGACTCTCACCAAAACTCCTACGGTGGGCTTATAACCATATCGCCGTCCTGACGCTGTGTTTGTTCGCTGGTTTGCGCATACTATGTGCTACTCCTGTTGCAGCCACGGCAATCGCTGGGAACGCACCGCCATGCTGGACCCAGTGATCAGGATCGCCATTCTTCTTCTGGGTGGCTTGACTGTCCTTTGTATACTACGGTACGGCTTTGAACATCTATGCCCTGGTGCGGCACCGGTCGACACTCTACCGTGCCCAAAAACCACACGCGACAAAGAACTGGCTTTGTCCCAGCTGGCCCTGTGGCGCTCCATTGCGGCTTAGAGGCTTCGCTTCGTCACATTACGCCCCAGCCACATCCCAAGCCGGCAGTGGTTAGTGTTCCGCCTTTTGTTCGTCAACATAATCACTCAGCCCATTGTGTGACCGTCCCATAAAGGGCCGTGTTCCGGTGCGCTGCGTAGACCTTACAACCATCTGCAATACCACCACCATCTCGCCACTCACCGACACACTCTGCAGCATGACCTTCTTCCCTCTTCCCGGAACGTATCTTGTCGTAGAAATTGACAAGGAGAAAACCCTCGAAGGCCTCAATGATCCGAGTGCGAACGAGGCGGCCGCCGCTCTACAGACAACCAAATGTATTGTCTTCTTGGAAACGGTATGTGTCCCTTCATCCTACAGCGTCGCGAAACAAAGCTTATGATCACATAGGTGTTGAGCCTCCCATATCCTGACGTGAAGACCTTCAAGTACGCGACGTACCTTATCGGCCCCGGACTGCGGCCTGAAAACCCGGAACGGTGTCTCACGCCCGACATGTGCGCCCCGATCTACCCCAACACCTTCCACCCATCTGGCGAACGTGAAGCCCTGAAGCCGCGCACCCCGTTTCCGTACAGCAACTGCTACCACTGGTTCGGTGGGGACATGCGTTTCGATATCCGTATCTGGAACGACGACCGCACGTATACCAAGGAGGAACGAGTGTCGCTTCCGCCGGACCAGCTGGTCGACCTGGACGATCTCCATTCGGATGATGTATCCAGGGCCTTCAGCGCTCGAATGGCGAGGGACGACGCGTTGCGCGGGGAAGGGACACCGTCGGAGGAAGGTATGCCGCAAGAGCAGGGGCAGGCGGATAACTCGGACCCGGCGGACTCGGACAAGTCGTCACCGGACGCGGAAGACCAGGAGGATGTACCGTCCTCGCCGGATTCGCCCATCCACTACTGCGAGTCAGTGTGTGGGTCAAATTCTGGCTGTAGTTCGTTGAGCTATGACCCACCGTCAGAAGGCGTCAACCGGTCTTCCGAAGCCCTGGCTCAGGCGGACATCTTTGGGCTGGACTTTGGCGAGAGGGAGGAGCTCTTTCCTATCGTCAAGGTCTGGGATGATGTTGGCGCGCACTTCAAGGACGACGATGTTCCGAACCCGATGGAGTTCGCCAAGCAGTATGATGAGATCGTCAGGTACGTCCTGTGGATGCTCGTTAACGCTGGATGTACTCACGACGCGGACAGGATCATCGCAGAGAGCAAGGCGCGTACCAGGATTTTGCACGCTGCCGAGCGGCGCGAGAAAAAGGATGCGTGGGCGGGGTTGGGTGGCATGCAGCGTCGGTGGCAAGGTGAGCCCCAATCCTATTTCGCTTCTTATTTTCTCCTGCTCATTTCAACTTGTGAGCTTAGGTTTCTGGGGTCGACTATCGAGCACCTCTCGCTCCATGCTCTGCCTCTCCTGAAGCTGTGTAGTTAAGGCCGTCATCGAATGTATCGTGGTAACTGCGAGTTGTCAAAATAGTTTTGAGTACAAGGAAATCCCTTTGAAAAAAGGTGCTTACTCAGCTCCGTCTTCAAGTTCACCGTTCGGCCGCGACCGCGATGTCCGCAATGATATGCTGTCGTTCTCTTATGCATGATTGGATATCAGTGTACCTTTCAAAGAGGAGAATAATGCCGACATCAATGATTCCGTTCATCAGCGCCATGAGATCATGAAGTAAATACCTCTCCAAGCTTCAAAGCTTCAAGGTGGGACGAACGTCTTGCCTGAGTATCGCAACTTCTGCAAAAATCGGCGCCCCGGTAAAGCAACACCGCGTAAAGCCTCTGTCTAAGCTGATGATCGTACCTTTATATTTTCTCTTTATGAGAGCCATGAACTGTTTGTGCACTTGAAGGCTCAGGCCTTCTCAGGCTGGCCCAGGAGGCTGCAGACTGCAGTTAGACTCTCTAGGACGAGTTCAAGTTCAACGACCGGAATGCTTTGTCGCTAAGCGCCCATTGCCCAGGCTGCCACGTGGATGACAGCCCTCATCGAGACCTCCCTTCAAGTTCCCTCCTCTCCTGTACCCATCACCACGGCCTCGGGTAACACCGCACCACCACTAGTGCTTCATCATGCTACACCGCACAAAGTGCACTCGTGGGTGATGATCGGTAAGTGCCAGCTACGCTGCGACGACTCGGAGGTAAAGCGGCTCACTTCATGTCAAGGTATTCTGCCGAATTGCTGCTTCATTTTCTCTCCGTCCATCTGCTTGTCCTTCGAGTCTGAGGTGAATAGTTTCTGTACCTAACTACTTGCGCCCGGAATACACTGCAAGTGGTGGCTCTTCAAAAAGGTATGAATATGATGTAAGCGGAATAGAGTGGAACACATCGAGAGAGCCGCATCTCACACCAGCTAAAATACAACACAACGACTACAACGGACTCAGGCACGCGCAAGGCTCCTACGCCGCAACCCGGGACATGGCTCAACTCTGCACAGACAAGTTGGACAAGTTCCTATTCAGCGACCTCATGGGCTCAGTGAGCCCTCGATCTCTTCCTTTCCCACTCTGCTTGCACGAAGAGCGTGAGGTTGATTTCTCTGAAGAATGACCATACTCCGCTCACCTTCAAACTAGATGGGCGACTGTGGCGCGGCGAAGTGACACTACGACGAAGCGGTGATCCTGGTGCGGCGAAGTTCCCCGACTCGGGCACACGCCCTGACGGAGTCCCCGGCCTTGCGCAGGGCGCGTTCATGCTTGCAAAACTAGAACAACTCCCCCGCTGCACGGTTCGGTCAGACCACACATACCGACGCACATGGTGTATAAGCTTACCGCCCATTCCAGAGCCGCTGCGGCACGGGTACTCTGTAAATAACATCAACGGTTTCTGGAAAGCCTCAGTTGGTCACTATCCGCTCACCCTGTATTCCTGTGCACAGCGCGGTGCGAAAGTGAGGTCGGCCTCACACTGCGCGGACCACTCGTCAAGCCGCTGATTGCACTGCTTCACCAGCCAGGCATATGCCTCCCTGTCGAGCCAATAATCCGGACCCGTTACGCCGCTATCGGGTATGCTGGGTAAGGACATCTTCGACCCTCCTTTGCGGCCATTCGGGCGGAGCGGCCAGGTGCCAAGGACCTGACTCGGGGAGCGATACCGGAACGCGATTATCAGTTGCTTCTCATGCTTCCAAGGCTGTGGTCCCGAGATACGCAGAGACCCGGAGCCGGGACGCGCAGAAGGTGAGTTGCCATCCTCCTCTTCGCAGTTCGGGAAGACGGGAACCATGAAATCCAGGTAAACCCTGTCTTTCGGCGGCTTCCCGTCAAATGTGGCCATTATGCAGATGAGAGGGCCCGGCCGGTAGATTCGATTGTCGGGGTAGTGGCCCTGCTGATCACGATTGGCCGGCGTAAACAGGACACATGGACGCGCCCTGCCTAGACGTCGAGAAGGGTCCAAGGCGAAGTTATAGATGCGAAAGAGCGAGTCTGTGCACTGCTTCACCAGGACGGGGTCGTCCTTGATTCCGGGGCTCCCTTTGAGTATGTGCTCGGCGACTGTCGCCATAGTCTCGTGGACGCAGCATATGTCGCCAGGATTGTAATCGCTGCCTTGTGGCAGCTGTGGTTCCGCGCTTTCACCATCGCGAGCGGAGTCCGAGGTAGCAGTGACAGAGCGACGAGAATCAGCCATGGGAGACCTGATGTGGTTGCCAGAGACGGCCACGAAGACGGAGGAGCGGTGGGGCTGGAAATGATGCACCCGAGTGAAGGGTTATATACACATAGCCATTTACTGGCCCACCCGAGCCTCTTTGCTGTTGTCGGAAAACACAATGGCCACCCGCAGTTCTCTCAGACAGCCAACACCATCCGTCTATTCAGGACGTCTGCCGTGCATTGCCATCTCGGATCCAGGATGGCATTGAAAGCCCGGAGTCCACGGCTCTGTACTTGACTGTGGCTTTTGCGGCCGGTTCTCGCTGCCAGAAAAGAAGTGGCGTAAGCGGGTGGCGTTGCATTGTTAAGCCTTTGTTCGACATGATGGCTGTGGCATCCATTGTCTTGGACTAGACCTAGCATATAAGCGTACTCCTCTCTGTTGGCTGAGGATCCCTTCTCTGCAATCTATTCCTTCCTTCGTCAACCCTCGACACTACTACCATGACCTTCTTCCCCATGCCGTGCCTGTACGCCGTGATTGAGATCGACGTGGAGAAGACTTTGCTACCTCTCAACGATCCTATCGCGAGCGCTGCCGGGGCCGCCATCAAGACGACGAAGTGTATCGTGTACCTGGACGTTGTAAGTCTGCTCTCGGTCCACTGTATATCAACGCGACGCTAACGCCCGCGCAGCTTCTGCAGCTTCCTTTCCCCGGAAACTCGACGTTCAAGTATATGGTGCACCTCGTCGGTCCGGGGTTGCGCCCAGAAGACCCAGAGTACTGTTTCACCCCCGATATGTGCATCCCCATCTACCCGAATACTCAGCATCCCTCCGGTACCCGCGAGCCACTGCGCCCGCAACCCTCGTTTCCGTTCGCCAACTGCTACCACTGGATCGGACCCGACGTAGTCATGGACCTCCGCATCTGGAGCGATGGGCGCAGATACACTCCGGAGGAACGGGTGTCGCTGCCTCCCCTTCAGCACGTGGATATGGAGTACATCCGAGCTCACGACATCTCAAAGAGTGCGCGCACTTGGGAAGCGAAGACCGGATTCTCGGACATCGCGAACGCTGCCCTCGCCCCAGAACCCTCGTCAGAGCAAGAGACCGCAGTGCAGAAACTGAAGGACGGTGTATCTCTGCGCTCACGCTCTCCACCACCGCCGGGGAGTGAGCTCGGACATGAGCAACGTTCTCCTGCAGCATCGTCGATTCGGTCCTCGCATATGGGCAACTATCAACCGGGCGAGCGATATCATGATGACGATGAGTCTCGGGCGGACTGCGAGTCCGTGTATAGCTCACAGTGTGACTCCGAATCATCGAAGTCATTTATCTACACCGGTCCCGAGGGATCCGAAGCCCATTGTGGGGTGGACGTCTTCGGTCTAGACTCTGACGCGAACCAGGAGAATCGTCTACCCATTGTTAACATGTGGCTTGACATCGGTGCGCATTTCGTGGAAGAAGACATTCCCGACCCAATGGAGTTCGTGAAGCAGTATGATCAGCTAGTCAGGTAGAGTCTCGTTCGCACTGCTCGTCTGCGCTGCGCTGACAATTTCGGCTGGGATAGGGTTGTCGTAGAGAGCCAGGCTCGGACAAATGCTCACCATTTCGCGCAGACGAGCCCCGAGTGCGAGACCCCTGCCCTGTGCTCTGAGCCTGAGGTTCATTGCGTCGGAGTGTTATCGAGCGACAGGGTCCGAAAGGAGCCGAACGCAAAACCTGAAGGTGAGTTGGATGCCAAGCATCTGTTTCTGCCTTCGTCCCTTATCATTGTATCTCCACAATACAGGCTTCTGGACGCGAGTTGCGAACGTCTCTAGCTCTCTGTTGAAGCGTGTCTTCTGAGGGGGTGTAGTACTTAGTTTATACAGGCCACATAAGTATCATATGTCGAATTAGTAATGTTTTTAATAGGTCGGAGTCTACGGTGAACCTTTTCAGAGACCTGTGCACGGTTTCAGAGTTTGAATCCAGGCTGCAAGGGCCTTCTAGTGGTCGTGGGCCTCAACTCGAGTGGGCATAGAGCAACGGGAGGACCGAGCCCAAATCGCTGCTCAAACTCTTGTCTGCACCCATGCCGCGGCGTACCGTCGGCCCCGAAGGCCCGGGAGGCCGCTGTAGCCGTGCTCCCGGCGCTAGAGCGCCACGCCGGCTCTCGCTCAAACCACCACCATCATCAGGTGAGAGAAGAACGTACGGTACGTTTATGCGCCTCTCGCATAGTAAGAGTGACTCACCCATCCAAAGTCTCAGAGTGGGATATATTTTGCTTGTTTATAGAAGAGTTTGCCCCAATACCCGACGGTTTCTCGGCCAATGACACGACGACATATCGATGTCCACAGATCAGAAGGCCGCTTTTAGTTCTGTACCCGCCCCGCATCGACACATGCGCTAAAAAAGTGAAGCTGAGTAACCAAAACATGGATCTGCAAGATACATCCTCGATCGATCGAGCGAAGGTGACCTCGCCTCTGGTCATGACTTACCGTGTCTATCTCGACGCAAGAACATCCGGCGTTCTACACAACGAACGCCTCTGCACAATTGCCGTTTCGCGCATGCACCGGTGCCCCATGACACACTCAGCCCGACAGGGCCTGCGAGTCATTCCCACATTTTAGCAACCTATAAAAAGCCGAAGATCACCCGACAGCGGAGTCGACTTCGTCCTGCGCCCAACATCGAGGGCGGACAGCCGCAGACGTCCGCTACGAGGTCATGTGGCTGTTTTCTTCCAGGTACGCCTCTCTACTCAGGGGCTTCTTAATGCGTCCGGAGGCCGCCGAGTCTCAAAAGTTGCAACGATCTAGGTCACGAACGCATCTCTTACGACCTGCGAGCATGCGTGCCCGTCGCGGCGGGTGATGGTGCGGCCATAGCGGGCGGGCCGACGCTCGATAAAAGGTAGCCCGGAGTCGCCGTGAACTGCGTGGTGGTCTTTGTACTCGCCCCTGCTTCCCGCGTTGCACCTCGCCATGCTCTCTCTGTCAAAGGGGCTGCTCGCGCTTTCCATCTTGCTCCGTGGCGCGTTCGCTTTACCCGCTAGCGATGCGAGTAGTGCACTGTTCCCCATCTCCGGGCTGAATTTGGCGGCGAAGAGTGCGCGGAAGCTCTACCTGGGCACGGCGACGAACAGCGAGCAGTGGAACGACACGACGTACCTCAACATCCTGAAGAGCAACGCCGAGTTCGGGCAGGTTACGCCCGCGAACGTCATGAAATGGGTGCGTGTTTCGCGTACTGTGCTCTGATCATACCGAGTTTGACTTTGGCGTGCAGTTCGCGACGGAGCCAGAGGAAGGGGTCTTCACGTTTCAGGACGGGGACATCATCGCGGATTTCACTGAGAAGACGGGAAAGCTGCTGCGCGGACACAACTGCGTGTGGCACAACCAGCTTCCCGACTGGCTCGAAACCGGTACATTCAGTGCGCCCGAGCTCGCGTTCATCGTCTCGCGGCATTGCTTCAACCTCGTGAACCACTACCAAGGCCATGTGTGAGTACAATGCCCTACTTGTAATTTTGTTCAACAATCTAATCTAGTGCGCGTCAGGTGTACGTACCAGCGTGTCAGCAATGCTAAATTGAGGCTAATGGCTTATTTCGGAAAATCCAGACAGCTGGGACGTCATCAATGGTTCGTTTTCTTGACTTGCCGGATGAGCATGTACTCATCTCGAACTTTGGTAGAGGCTTTCAACGACGACGGAACCTTCCGTTCTGATATCTTCTTCAATACGCTCAACACCACCTACATCCCGCTCGCTCTCTACGCAGCACGCGCAGCCGATCCCAAAGCGAAGCTCTACATCAACGACTTCAACATCGAAGGCATAGGTACGACCCCTCGCATCCGTCTACTGGTCGCAGAGCCCTAACGGCTACCCACCCCATTCGCAGGCGCCAAGTCTGACGCGCTCAAGAGCCTGATCAAGGACCTGAAGAGCCAAAACGTCCCGATCGACGGTGTCGGGCTGCAGTCGCACTTCGAGGTCGGCGGCGTCCCGCCCACGCTGCAGCAGAACATGGAGGAGTTCGTCGCGCTCGGGCTCGAGGTCGCGATCACGGAGCTCGACATCCGCTTCACGGCGCTCCCGCCGACGGCCGCGGGCATTGCGCAGCAGAAGGCGGACTACGAGACCGTCGTCGCCGCGTGCAACGCGGTCCCGAAGTGCGTCGGGGTCACGCTGTGGGACTTTACGGACAAGGTGCGTCTTCTAGATTGTCGGTGTGTGAGAGGTGCTGATGTCGGGTGGACGGGTAGTACTCGTGGATCCCGGGCACGTTCCCTGGGCAGGGAGACGCGTGTCCCTGGACGGACGTACGTTCCTCAGCTTGTTCTTTTCGAGGACGTGGTCTAATGGTGTATCACAGGAATTTGTGAAGAGGCCTGCGTACCAGGGGATCATCGAAGGTTTCAAGACCCACCATTAGTCCGCGTACGATGTTAGGCACGATATACGTAAATGCTATGTCTTCCTGCAAGGGACATGAGAATCACGAATCCGATGTGTGAGTACCCATACGCCAATTTGCCGCTCAACCTTCCCCCATCTTGCAGAGGTTGAGTCTACGCGAATAGGTGAGTGCCCTACGTCCCATGCTGCGCTCTGATGCTAAACTTCCTTCTCAAGCCCGGAAGCACCTCGAGTATGATATATGACTGGTCCCCGTCTCCGGTCTTGCGCGGACTTGGCACCTGCACTCAGCGGGTGGCCTTCTCCTCATCCGCCTCCGTCATCCGCTCGATCTCGCACGCCATTCTCAGGGGAAGTGTCAAGAAACTGCGCTGCTTAAAAGCTTGCTGCCGCCTGTTGTGTCCCATTGATTCGACACGATGGCGAGGGCAATACGTGGCTGGCGGACGTCATGCGGTATTTCCGACTATTCTCCGAAAGCGCTTACATCGCTGGCGGCGTAGCGCTAACGCTCACGCCGGTCCTCGTAGCGGATTCAAATGTCTCTTGGGCATACCTACGCGGAATGCACACGACGACATGTGCACAGCTCTTGTCTGATCGATGGCTCCACGTCAGTTAGACGGCGTTGTCTCCCCGTCTACATCGGAGCGACGTGACTCGCGCGAGGTTGAACTTAGTTGTGGGTGAAGTACATATACTCTTCCGAGGCTCAACTTCTCTGCGGATCGCTAACTCGTATCTCAGGACACTTTACCTCCACAATACTCTTCCGAAACAAAGAGACACTTGCATCCGTATACCGTTGCTAATGGATGCTGGCATCGAACTCTCCGCGGTTCATTCCCGCCCTCCTCATGGTCTCGTCCAGGAAAACCTTGCGATCTCACGATCCGCCACGACGGACGACGATGCGCTAATGAAGCAGCACAGCACCATCCAGACTGTTTCGAGAGTGGACTCCCAGTCTGCCGCGCCGTCGACGGCTGTTTCGGCGTCAACACCGGCATCGCGCCGTTTAGCTAGGTTCCAGTTTGCGACGCTGTGCTGGACACTCTTCCTAGCGGGATGGAACGACGGAACTACCGGCCCTCTTTTGGATCGGATACAGCATGTGTACCACGTATGTTTACGTCGACATCCGCCGAGAGGGAGCCGTCCGAGCTGACTGACTTGGATATGCCCGACAGGTCAACTTCGCTCTCGTATCTCTCATCTTTGTCTTCAATTGCCTCGTACGTCATTTTCACCTCCGTTGGCGTATTTCAATATGCTGATCACTTGGAAAGGGGTTCGTGATCGCTGCCGTGGGGAACATGTGGCTCACGGATCGCCTTGGCTTTGGCAAAGTACGTGGCGCCCGCATGCCTCTTCGCCGCGTGTCATTGCGCTGATGCATTCGTACACTGCAGGTTATGATAGTCGGTGTGTAATGCTGCATATTCTCCCTGCATTTTCTCTTGACGTTACTGCATCATAGGATCGATTGCACAGATTATCGGCTACACACTAGCAGCACCAGCACCGCCCTTCCCCGTATTCGTCATGGGATACTTCATGAACGGCCTTGGAATTGCTCTTCAGGTCAGTTTTGTCTCGCGCATCTCGTGTGCAGGTCTAATAACATGCACACACAGGACGCAGGTGCCAACAGCTACGTCGCCTCCATCAAAGATAGCCCGTCTACGAAGATGGGTATCCTGCACGCCGTTTACGGTATGTCGCAGCCAAGAGTGGGGCGTTTCGCCGTCTACTCCTTATTAACGGTTGCGAATATCGCGTAGGTGCTGGTGCGTTCGCCGCGCCCCTCGTGGCCACGCAGTTTGCACAGCAACGCATGTGGTCCTACCACTACCTCATTTCACTGGGGATTGCGTTGTCGAATGCCGCGCTCCTGATCGCCGTCTTCCGCTTCAAGGATCAAGATAGTCAGTCTGCTTGTTTTCCTCTTTGCATCGCGGAGGTGCTAGTGAGTAGTGCTCACGCGTTCGCCCACAGCATGCCTAGCAGAAATTGGCCAGGCCCCGAGCAGCGACGAGCGCGGGAGCGCCGACGGTAGCAAGTACAAACAGATGTTCCGGTTGCGCGCATTGCACCTCCTTGCATTCTTCGTCCTCATCTATATCGGTGTCGAGGTCACCCTTGGTGGTGCGTTCGCGTGCGCATCTCGACTGTATCTCGATGATGACGCATGTGCTGTTGGGGTATAGGATGGATTGTCATATATGTGAAGCAGCTGCGTGGAGGAGGCCCCTCGTCCGGGTACATCGCTTCCGGTTTCTTCGGCGGTCAGTCCGTCCGTGATTCTATCTCAAGGAGGCTTCAAGCTCACACGCGTTGTAGGTCTCACCGTCGGCCGGGTCGGCCTTCTATGGGTGAACCAGAAGGTACGTGACCCTACGCATGTTCCCTAGCGTTTACCTGATACTCTGCCTCTCAGGTTGGGGAGCGCCGCGCCGTCTTCCTCTACTCCATCATCGCAGTTGGGTATGTCAAATCCTCCGTTATCGCCACTCATTTGCTCATTTGTAATCAGTCTTGAACTCGTCGTATGGCTCGTCCCTTCGCTCATCGGCGGGGGTGTCGCCATCTCCTTCGTCGGCTTGCTACTCGGGCCCATCTACCCCATCGTCATCAACCACGCCGCGCGCGTGTTACCACCCTGGTTGCTCACGGGATGCATTGGATGGATCTCCGGATTCGGTCAAGCCGGGTCGGCGTTCCTGCCGTTCGTCACGGGCGCGCTCGCGAGCAAGGTCGGGATCAAGGGACTGCAGCCGCTGTAAGTGTTTCTATCTTCATATCCTGCCAAATCCAAGATGCGTGTTATTGACGCGATGCGCCAGATTGGTGTCGATGATGGGCATGATGATCGCACTGTGGGCTCTGGTTCCGGGCAGTCCGCGGCGGAAGGACTAAAGTTTACCAGTGAAATGTGTCTGTTTGTATGTGACATGTGTATCGTGGTCTTACAACACAAGAGGTATCGCCAATGTGTCATAATTTAAACTTATTGACTTCATGAGCACGACGGGCATCCCCGCATATGGCACCGGACAAAAGTCGTGTCATAGCCGCACGGTAAGGTTAACTATGTGCCGGAACAAGGCCTTTTGGACGACTATGCTCGACTATGTGCTCAAATAGTGTCACGTGTTGATTGTAAGGTTACCTATTGACTGACTTTTGTCTGGTACAATATGCCCGGATGCCCGCCGTGGAGTGCACTCTCTCTATAAGACGTACGGAACGTCACGGTATGTGGTTAACTCAGCCGACACGTGGATATCTGGCTGAGGACCTTACCGGCGCCTACTCTCACGGTTTCTTGATCGCGAACCACCATCGCCTCTGACTCACTACCATCTCTCAAACAAACTCGCGCGCAATACAGCTGTACCTCTTGGCTACTAGTCGCTTCAGATATACTCTCACTCGAAGCAGGTGTCAATTCCTACCAGGGGTCGACGACAAGGAGATCACTGGGCCTGGGGACGTTGAATCGTCCTGACTCACATCTGACTATCGTGGTACATTCAAATTCTCTACATTATGAATAACATGGGGGTCGTAATTTCGGTTGCAAAAGGAGGGTGGGGTATCATTATGGATTGTGGTATCTTCAACGGCAACTACGCCTGCTAATGGGCCAGCTCGTCCAGCGAGCTGCCTCAGACCCCTTACGCGGTTCCCCAGGGCGCGACGACGGCGAGTCGCTTCGCGAGGTTGTTGAACGCCTCACGCGTCGGGCTTCGTTGCTTGAGGCCCATGCCGCACACGGATGCTCCATCATTGACCTGATTGAAGTCGCGAAGATGCAAAGGGATAAGCGCAACGCCGCAAGTATCGCATGTCCAACACTTACGCTTGCCAGAGAGCAGGTGTTGGATGTCCGATTTGGCCCTCTTGAGCGGCGCCTAGGGCGCTTGGAGCGCACGCTCTCGGGACCGCGAGTCTCAGGCTAGAGTCGGATGTGCAGTCAGCTGGTGCACACGGCGACGCGGTGTTGCGAGGTTCCCGTACCTCGTATATAGCGTATTGTGCCTTCTCATTGAAGACGCTGACCTGATCCTCGTAGATGATCTGGGAAATGATGCTCTGAGCATCATAACCCAGTGGCTGCTTGGAGACAGCCGTCGACTCCTGCGATCCAAGAGATGCTGTCCGCGAACCCTACACATGATCATAAGCTTGCCGAATCAAGACAGGAAAATGTACGCGCATACCGCTGTTGACTCCCTCCATGTTTTCCGGTAATCCTATGTGACGCTCATGAGACGCGATAGCGGGGTATGCTGAATGATAAGGTACGTACCCTGTACTCCTGCTCCTTCTCTGCGGCAAATCCGGGTCGCAACGCACAGAGCTTTTTCCACTCGAGGTATCTCTCGTCGCAGGATTTATCGAGATTGTCTACGTTGTTTTCACCGAAAACCATCGTCGCGCGTTGCTCCCAGCTCGCACCCCCGGTTTCTTTCCATCGCGCGCCCAATCCGCGCGTCGTTTTGAACGGCCACATGATGATCCACTGCGTAGTAGCTTTGCGCACATACCAATCGGGGAGAGAGTGGAAGTGGACGTCCTCCACTACGGCCGCATTTTTTGTGTATACTTGCATGCAGAAGTGTCGGAAAATCCAGGGAAGGTCTTCGATCGGCGTCCCCTCGAACGTAGCCATGATGCATATCCAGACGTTAGACACCCCAATCTCTGCGTTCTCAACCACGTATTCCATGAGAATGCCGGGGCGACGCTTGTGAGTGGCGTGCTCCTTAGTACGGATGCTGCGCAGCGAGCGACGGGAGCGACGGAGGGCGTCGCCGGTCAGGCGCGAGTCTTTGGCAAAGATCTCCTCGATAGGGGTGAACACAGACTCCTGGATCTCGAACACTTCTCCGCGGTAGTACTTCGTCGCTTCTTTGGGATCCGGGTACCGATCTGGGTTACATCTAAGACATCCAAGTTTGCCCATAGTGAATTTGTTGCGGTTCAAGCTCGGGGAAGGGCGGGGGGAAGAGGAAGCTAGCAAGCGTGGAAGAAAGAGGAAGATGTTATTCTTCAATACCGCTCTTCATACAATATATATAGGCTCAGCGTCGAGCATGCCACGCCAAATCAGAGTCCCAGCGCCGCCCGCCAAGTTCCAGAAGGTACCTCATCTTGTGGTCGCTCCGCGTCGAGACAAGACCTCTGGGTCCCCGCGCAGCAGACCAAAGTACATTGCGTTACCTGAGCTGGAAACGAAGACAATAGTCTCCTGTTGTACTCGCAAGAACAAGAGGACCCGAAGTCGGTCAGATTCCGTCAGAAGGCCAGTAATCTGTGACACCAATGCGATCCGGGCGTCTAGATGCCCACACCGATCAACAGGCACAAACAGTATCGCGTGGCTCAGAACAAGGTCTTATTGTTCCCCGTCGTTACGGCCTTGTTCTCCACTGTCCTGCGCTAGGGCCTCTGTCGGCAAACGATATCTCTCGATAAGATGCTGCGCTCACACTAAGAGCGACCTCACATCTCTTGCCAGTGCCCTCGCCCCCTCCTGTCATCTTGCGCCTCATCCCACAAAGCTATCTGCTGGCAGCCCACACCGACTTACCGCCTGGATACGATAACGAACGCATCTGCGCAACATGCATCAACCACTCACTGACGCTGAGAGAGCTATGACCGTATTCTTCAGCCCGAATACGAGATCCTATGGTGTGATTCGCATGAATCCAGTCGCCATGGTGCAAGATCTCAACGACCCGGAAGCCTTGTCCGCCGCGGAGGCCTTGCAAACCAAGGCGTACCTCATATATATTGATCATGTGAGTATCTTCCAAATTCTTGTCGTGAGGCTGTAGATCGAAAGCTCATTCTGCCTACAGGAGTTGGAGCTTCCGTTCCCCAACAAACCATGGTATCGTTACGACGTCAGTGCCATAGCGCCTACCCTGCGAGCGGAGAACACAGAGGAGGGATACGCCGCGGACATGTGCGTCCCCATCTTTCCGAATACGTCCCACCCTTTGGGGCGCACCCCTGTGCGCACGAAGCCGGTCTTCCCGTACAGCAATTGCTATCACTGGGCGGAGTTCAAGATGGAGATCCGTGTCCGCGCACGACCGGAACAGTTCGATGAGCGAGAAGCCACCTCTTTGCCTTTCTCGGAGTTCAGACAGTTGGAAAGATACTTGGGAGAGGACAGGCTGCGTATGGGTGAGCTGCGACGTCAATATCGGGCTGCTACTGGATGGCAGGCCCCTGCTGCGCAGGTGAGTGTCGTCGCTCTATCCCTCACAGTTATCAATTCATAATTTCCAACGAACGAAGCCTGTGATACCGGATCACGAAGAGTCCTTCGACCACCGCCCGACATCTGCATCGGCCTCCACGTCATCAGTCAACTCCAGCAGTAGCTACGCGGACAGCACCCTGAGCGATGAGTCGGAGAATAGCGTGGACGCCGTTATGGATATCTTCGACGGGCCCAACGGAGACATGGGTGTGATTCCGCTCGTCGATCTGTGGCTCGACCTTGCAGGGAACCTCAAGCAAGAAGATATCGCAAGCCCGCCTGACTTCCTCAAAGAGCGCGACGCTGTTGTGAGGTACGTCACTAATAACTGGAGTAACACGAAGCGGAAACTTCACTGATATGCGACCACCGCCAGCATCATACAGGCGGCGCGCGAACGCGCATACGCGGCTCTCAACGCTCCGCCTCCAGGGGCCGCCCCCCAGCCTGAGACTGTACTTGCGCAGCAGCGTGAGGCTGACGTCGGAGAGATAAAGACGAAGGGTTCAACGCGAAGTCGTGAGTCGCTGGCTGTAACCTGTATATTCTGTGAGTTGTCGTTACTGAACGTTCGCTCGCCAGTTCTTCGAATGCCGAAGTTTTTGCGGAAATGGAGTTTGGGTGTCAAGGCCGTGACGAATCGGGTTCGTAGGTTTCGAATCGTTTGTACGTCATCTGTACCTGTATAGTCGTGAGCTCTTTTCTGCTTAGCGTTACGAATACCCTTTTTTTCGAGCGTATGTGACACGGAAGTGATGCGATGACTTGTGGTGCAGATTTGTGATCCGCAGTTTAAGACTCTGCGATGAGAATGGTAACCAGCGTCCACAACCGCCTTGTAAAGAGTGCGAGAGGGAACGCGCTTGATACTAATAGGAGGAGGATGGAGTCTTCTCACCGGCGTTGGTGTTGAACTCGAGCGCGATTTCCATTTCTTGTGGCACTTGCATCCGGCCTGGGAACACCAGTATCCAGGAGCGCTCCGTAGTGAGACGGGGCTCATTGTGGGAGACGGCCTCAACGTTCATGTCGTCCACCGCGACGCGACTGCAACTGCAAATCGAAATCGCCACCGTAGCGCGGCCGCAAGGGGCGCAGAATATAATCTTATCGCATGGTGAGTGAGTCCGCTACCATCGGCGCTTACCACCTTCTGCCTCTTACCACCATCTTGCAGACTCGCTTGCATCAAACTTGAACGCTGAACCCCACTTACTGCCTTCAACTCTCTGTGAAAAACGCAGTACCTATCCGCGCAGATCCACAAGTCCATTTCTGTGAGGAAACCTCTACAGGGCGAATGGTGAAAGAGGACAGTGCGTCAAATATGATACCGAGTGATACCACACTATCTGTTGGTGGACACGGTGAGTTCCGCGATGTCTCCGTCCGTCTAAGCATGTGCGCCGTATGAGCTGTGGGTATTCCTCGCACCCCGGGTTGGGGTTGTTACAGTAAGTTTCTTCTGGTTGACTACACTAGTACTCGTGCTCGGAGCCGGTTTTAAAAGCTGCCTCACAAGCCCTTTCGTTGCTTCCAAACGCTGCAAAGAACTCTTATTTCTCCGTATTCCCGGGCCTGATACCCACAGGAGCGGTATTGACATCTTGCGTCTGGGCACGTATAACTGTGAAGTTCGGATTCTACTTCGTCTGACCTCGCGTTCAAGTTTGTGTTCGAGGCTTAAATCCTCAATCCCGTCCAAAGTGCTCTACACGATCTCGTACATCCATCTCTTGAACCAGGACCATAATTCTCCTCATGGCAAAACGATCATCATGTCGCCGCGACTCAGTCGTCAGCGCCGAGTTCGCGAAGATCGGTTACGTCGAGGAGTTGCTGAAGCACACGCGCGGCAGTAGTGTGTGTACAACGGGCCAGAGGTGCAATGATTCATCGCGGGCGAGGTTCTCAGTGGCTTGTCAAAGGTGGTCGCGATGAATAATCTTGCCGCGCTCTTCGCGGGGGCGTTGTTCACGGTGTGCACTTGGGAGGGGTGGTGCTTTGTTTGTGTGATTATCTGCGATGACCTCGGAAGAGCGCGATCCCGTCGGCCGTACAAGGTATGCATCGGGCGTAGGCAAAATTCGGAGTGCATGCTTACGTCGCCCAACGACGATCGAGAATCATAATCATTGAGTCCTCCGTTGTTCTCGTTCTCACGAGAACAAGAGAGTGTACCTCATGACGTGCGTACGATGGCATCTGGACGTCCACACAAGCCAACAGGCACAAATGTAGTCGCGTAGTCGTGACCCGGGAATAAGGTCTTATTGTTTTGCGTAGTTACGTCCTCGTCCTGCGATGCGCCCTTGTCTGAGGCACCTAACAAGATGCCGCACTCACACTACGAGCCTGACCTCTCCCATCCCAGCATCGTGCTCACCCCTCTGTTATCTTCCAGCAACGTGCCAGTCCGACTTGCCTCAGACACGATAACGGTGCATGCCTGCGCAATATGCAACTCGATCGCAAACAGCCACTCCCTGAGTGTACCACAACAGTATTCTTCAGTCCAAACATGGGAAACTACGCTGTGATTCGAATGGATCCAGTCGCCATGGTCAAGGACCTGGACGATCCAGAAGCGCTAGTCGCCGCGGAAGCCCTAAAGACAAAGAAATACCTCGTATACCTCGACTTCGTGAGTGCTCTCGAGTGCTCTAGATCAATGATTAGCCCAATGACGATGTTGTGATCCCGTAAACTCTCAACAGGAGCTAGAACTTCCTTTTCCAAACCGCCCATGGTATCGGTACACCGTCTTACCAGTGGCTCCCTCGCTACGCCCTGAGGATAAAGCCGAGGGATACGCTCCCGAAATGTGCGTTCCTATCTCCCCAAACAAATCCCATCCGCGGGGACGTACGCCTCTGCGCACGGAGCCCGTATTCCCGTACGACAACTGCTATCACTGGGTGGAGTTTCAAACCGATATTTGTGTCCGTGCGCGACCGGAGAAGTTCGACCACCTCCGGGCTATTCACCTGCCCAGTGACGAACAGGTCGAAATGGGCTGTTATTGGGGAGAGGACGCCCGGCGCATGGATGTGTTGCAAAGTCAATGGCGAGCTGCTACTGGATGGCAAGACCCCGCTCCTCAGGTGAGCATCCATGTCCTGTGTTGTCAGGACGCAGACACTGACTGAATTCGCGGGGGAAAGCCTGACATATCAAAACGTGAAGTTCTCTTCAACCAGTATCAGGCTTCCGCGTCTGCATCGACATCATCGGTCAACAGCGGCAGCAGCTATGCGGATAGCGCGCTGAGCGACGAATCGGAAGACAGCGTTCACGCTCTCATGGGTATCTTCGCGGGCCCCGACCAAGACGTGGGCGTGCTTCCGCTTGTCGACTTGTGGCTTGACCTGGCCGACAACCTGAAGCAAGAAGACATCCCGGATCCACTTGAGTTTCTCAAAGAGCGCGACGCGATTGTGAAGTACGTCTGTTGTAATGGAGGAGACGTCAAGCGGAATTCTCACACATCCATGGGTGCCGTCAGCATAGTACAGGCTGCGCGGGAACGCGCCTACGCGGCTCTCAACGCTCCGCCTCCGACAACCACCCCCAAGCCCGAGACCGCGCCTGCGCAGCAGCGCGAGGCCGACTCGGAAGCTGGAGAGGTAAAACCGGAGGACTCCACACAAAGTCGTAAGTCCTTCGCTGTCATTTCATTGATCTGCGAGCCCTCATAGCTAAACGCGCGCTCTGTAGTTCTTCGAATGCCGAAACTTCTGCGTAAATGGAGCTCGGGCTTCAAGGCTCTGAAGAATCGGGTTCGCAAGTTTCGAATCGTACGTACACCCTCTATACCCGCATAGCCGTTACCATCTTTCCACTCTGTGTTGTAATCTGTGTAGACTGTTTCTTTCGAATATATCGGATGTGGGATCGATGCAGTATACCGTAGACGCTGCATCCCAAAGGCCGCGTCGATATGTGTGCTAAGGGGGATCTGAACGACCTACCAATGGTGGCGGACGTGCTCTTCGCACACGATACATCTCTGCAGACGGCACGGTGACCGCTATTCGATCCACGTATCTCCGGTGCACTCCGGTGCATTGCTGGCAGTAACCGTCAGGGCTGTCTGTACATCAACAAAAGGCATTCCGCGCTGCGAACGCGTTCCTCAGTCTGAACACTGCCGCGTAGCGGTAGCGGCGAATAGTTGTCTCCCGCCGAAGGTCATGACAGAATCTAATCTTATCTCTTCGGGGCAACACCATCCTCTGCTACCCTGTGCGCCTATTCCCTTCTCCTCTTGCCATCCCACCATCTGGAGGACTCGCTTGCATCGAAATCGGCATATCAGCATACGCTCTCTTGGTTTAATGATGCACTTCGTCATATGGAACGTCTTGCATGTATCTTGGCTATTTCTGGAAAGGTAGTTGTCTAGTCACATCGCGAAGTGCAATAGAAGATGGTACCAGGGATTTTTTTGCTGGATACGGTGAGCTCATCGATCCATCTATCCGTCCGACCAGGAGTATGAGCGCCGAAAGCCTACCCAAGACTACCGATACAAGGCATCGATAGTCAACTTCTTTTGGTGAGGCCGGCCTCATGCTCGAAGAAGGTACGCTAGGAATATTGTCGCCGCTCCCGTCACGCGAAAAGGTCCCTATCATCGGCGAAGCTCAGGCTCGACCATCACAGAAGCATGGTATGAATGGTATCAGGGTTCAGCGAGATCAGAATTCTCATCTGCTTCGCCCAACGTACGAACATTGGGGACAATAGGCTCCCATTGTTCTCACGAGAACAAGACGGCGATTTTACGATGTGCGTACAGTGGTTTCTGGACATCCACACTGGCCGACAGGCACAAATGTGGTCGCGTAGTCTAGTCTCGGAAACAGGGTCTTATTGTATTTCCGTGGTTACGTGCGGGCCCTGCGATACGCCCTTGCCTGAGGCACCTTCCGACTCGGACAAGATGCTGCGCTCCTACTCCGAACATTTCTATCCCCTCCCGGAATCTTGCTCATCTCTCTGCTACCCAAGCCACCTGCTAGCATCGCAGTCCGACTTCCCTTGAATCCGATAACGGTGCACGCATGTGCAACATGCAACTCCATCTCGAACAACCACCCTCCAACTCGGAGAGAGCTTCAGTATTCTTCAGCCCGAACGCAGGCTCCTACGCTGTGATTCGCATGAATCCAGTCGCCATGGTCCAAGACCTCAACGACCCGGAAGCCCTATCCGCTGCGGAAGCACTACAAACCCAGGCGTACGTAGTATATCTCAAAAATGTGCGTTTCTTCGGCACGTCTTCAATCAACTTTCAAAATCTTACGATACTTCCATAGGAACTTGAACTCCCATTTCCAAACAAGCCGTGGTATCGCTACAAGATCTGTCCAATAGCCCCTTCACTGCGAGCAGAGGACGAAAGCGAAGGGTACGCCGCGGACATGTGCGTCCCTATCTTTCCGAACACATCACACCCCCTTGGACGTACCCCCGTGCGCACGGAGCCGGTCTTCCCATACAACAATTGCTATCACTGGGCTGAGTTCAAGACGGACATCCGCGTCCGCGCACGACCAGAACAGTTCGACGAGCGGAAGGCTATCTTGTTGCCTTCTAGTGAGTGTCACATGATGGAAACTTGCTTAGGAGAGGACATCCCGCGTATGGATGAATTGCGGAGTCAATATCGGGTCGCTACCGGGTGGAAAGCCCCTACCATGCAGGTGAGTATCATTGTTTGCGCTCTCATGATCATCAAATAATGATATACCGTGGCAAAGCCTGAACTGTCAGGTAGCGAAGAGTCTCTCGGCCGTCATCAGACATCTGCGTCGGCCTCTACATCATCGGTCGATAGTGGCAGCAGCTATGCGGATAGTGCCCTGAGCGATGAGTCTGAAGACAGCGTGAACGCTCTCATGGAGATCTTCGCGGGGCCCAACCAAGACTTGGGTGTAGTTCCGCTCGTCGACCTATGGCTCGACCTGGCCGAGAACCTGAAGCAGGAGGACATTCCGGACCCTCTCGAATTTCTCAAAGAGCGCGACACCATCGTGAGGTACGTCTCTTGCCATCCAGCAAACGCTAGGCGGAATGCTTACTCATTTATGGCCGCCGACAGCATAGTACAGGCTGCGCGCGAACGCGCCTACGCGGCTCTCAACGCCCCGCCTCCAGCAACGACTCCCAAGCCTGAGACCGCGCCTGCGCAGCAGTGCGATCCGGACTCGGAAGCTGGAGAGGTACAAGCGAAGGGTTCCACACGAAGTCGTAAGTCCTTCGCTGTCATCTGTACACTCTGTGAGCGTTCACAACTAAACGTGCGCTCTCTAGTTCTTCGGATGCCGAAACTGCTGCGTAAATGGAGCTTGGGCTGTAAGGCTCTGAAGAACCGGGTTCGCAGGTTTCGAGTCGTACGTACGCCCACTATACCCGCGTAGCATCCTTCCACTCTGTATTGTATTCTGTGTAGACTGTTTCTTTCGAGTGTATCGTAGATGCTGCATCCCAAAAGGCCACCTCGGCACAGTGTGTGATGTGTGCTAAGAGGTATCTGTAAGAGTTGTCTGTACACTAATGAAGGGCTTTCCGTGCTGCGAACGCAGTCATATACCACGTAAGTAGCGGTTGGGGCGACTGTCTCTCGCTGTGGGTCATGACAGAATCTAATCTTATCTCTTCGGCGCAACAAAGTAACGGGATCCCTGCCGCTATGGGCGCCTATTACTTTCTCCTCTTGCCATGCCACCATCTGGAGGACTCGCTTGCATCGACGTCCGCATATCATCATACACTCTCTTAGCTCAGACATCCACTCTTCGGTTGAAACGTCCTGCGTGTATCTTGGCTACTTTTGGAAAGGTAGTTGTCTAATCGCATGGAAGATGGTACTGGGGATTTTTTTGCTAGATACGATGAGCTTTCACGTCTGCATCGTCCACGTACGAACATCGGGGACAATAGGCTCCGTTGTTCTCACAAGAACAAGACGGCGTGCGTACGGCGGTATCTGGACGTCCACACTGGCCAACGGGCACAAATGTGGTCGCGTAGTCTAGACTGGAAACAAGGTCTTATTGTATTCCGTGGTTACGTGCGGGCCCTGCGGCCTGCGATACGCCCTTACCCGAGGCACCTTCTGACAAGATGTCGCGGTCCCTCTCCGAACATATTCTATCCCCTCCCGTAATCTCGCTCATCTCTCTGTTACCCAAAGCCATCTGCTAGCAGCCCAGTCCGACTTCCCTCGAATCCGATCACAACGGTGCACGCCTGTGCGATATGCAACTCCATCTCGAACAGCCACTCTCTGAGAGAGCTACGACAGTTTATTTTAGTCCCAACTCTGGCACTTACGCAGTGATTCGTATGAATCCAGCCGCTATGGTTGAAGACCTAGACGACCCCGAAGCTCTAGCCGCCGCGAGCGCCATGCAAACCCAAGCGTATCTCGTATATATCAAAATGGTGCGTGTTTTCCAGGTGTTACATTTCAGCTTCAACGCCGTGATTTGCAGCACCCTCATGATACTATCACAGGAACTGGAGATTCCGTTCCCCGGCAAACCTTGGTATCGCTACAAGGTCTGTCCGATAGCGCCCTCGCTGCGGGCTGAGGATAAAGACAGAGGGTACGCCCCGGACATGTGCGTCCCCATCTTTCCGAATGCATTCCATCCCTTGGGACGCACTCCGATACACACGGACCCGGTCTTCCCGTACGACAATTGCTATCACTGGGCGGAGTTCCACACGGATATCCGCGTTCGGGCGCGACCTGAACACTTTGACGAGCGGCGAGCTACCATGTTGCCCTCTACGGAGTATGGGAAGATGGACGACTATGTGGGAGAGGACATCCCGCGCATGGATGAGCTGCAGAGGCAACATCGAGCCGCCACCGGATGGCATGCTCCCCCCGTGCAGGTGAGCATGATTCTCTCGTCGATGTCAAGTGCTCATCCACGGCGGATGATAGCCTGTGCTATCGAGTCATGAGGAGTCTCTCCACCGTTATCAGACGTCTGCGTCGGCTTCCACATCGTCGGTCAATAGCGGTAGTAGTTACGTGGACAGCGCTTTGAGCGATGAGTCTGAAAACAGTGTGGACGCTATCGTTGACATCTTCGCGGGGCCCAAGCAAGACGTGGAGGCGCTTCCACTCGTCGACCTATGGCTTGAGCTCGCCGAGAACCTGAAGCAAGAAGACATCCAGAACCCTCTAGAGTTCTTCCAGGAGTGTGACGCCATCAAAAGGTATGTCTCGAGCAATCGGCGGAGCATTAGGAGGAACTGTCACTGACCTGCGGTCACCGCCAGCGTAATACAGGCCGCGCGCGAACGGGCCTATGTGGCTCTCAACGCCCCGCCTCTAGAAATGACCTCCAAGCCTGATCTGGAACTGGCACAGCCGCACGAAGCCGAAGTTCAAGAGGTCCAAACAAAGGGTGCAACGCGAAGCCGTGAGTCATTCTTTGTCGCATGTTTACTCTGTGAACCGTCTTAGCTGAAAGGGCTCTCGCTAGTTCTTCAAATGCCGAAAGTTTCGTGGAGGTGGAGCTCGGGTTTCAAGGCGCTGACAAACCGAGTTCGAAGGTTTCGCGTCGTTCGTACACCCTCCGTGACCGTGTAGTCATGAGCCTCATCCTACTCAGTATTGACACTGCTTCTTTCGATTGTATTGGATATGGACATACCCACGCGGTATATGCGGAAGGTGCGCGGCCAAGGCTAGACACATGTGCTGAGAGAGACTTGAATGAGCTACCAATGGGCGCGAACGTGCTCGTCGCACATCAAATGCGGACCGTGCGACTGTTACTCGATATATGGATGCCCCAACGGATATGATAGCCTGAGGACCGTGCTCGAAGCACGACAAGCAATCCATTGCTCTCCTTGTACGGACGGCATTGAGAGGTACCGCCAATGCTGAACTGCAGCCTTTGCGCGAGCACACTTTCTTGAAACGTCGAGACGACGCCGGAATGACTGAGGGATACTCGTCTCGCGCCGAGGTAGTGAGCTGGTCCGAACCTTTCATGCGCATCTCGCGCTTCGGGTTCAGCTTTGTAGGCCCAGATGGCGCGTTACACAGGAATATAGTCGCCGCTGCTTTGCGCAAGGATGTCGGCTTGTCGTTAGGTCCCACACGTAGTGTGATCGGGCGGCGTGTGCGCATGCGCGCGCACGCAAGGATAATCTATGACGAGGCGAAAACCAATTCATTATAGAGGACGACGCGGTACGGAAGAGAGAACATGAAGGCCAAGCTCCCCAGGCGTATATGGTGGCAGCCGTTTCGCAAGTCGTTGTTGGACTCACCTACGGTATGCCGCATCAATTCCACGTCCAGAGATACACTCGGAAGACACAGTCTATACAGATTACAATACAGAGTAGAAAGATGCTCGCAATCATACGGGTGCCGTGGCCGTACGAACGCCGACTCGAAGCCTGCGAACCTGGTTCCTCAAAGTGCTCAAGCCCGAGCTCCATTTACGCAGAAGTTTCGGCATTCGAAGAACTAAGGAACGCACGTCCAGTCAAGACGGCCCGCAGAGTGTACGAAATGACGGCGAAGGACTCACAACTTCGTGTTGAACCCTTCGGTTTTACTTCCCCAGCTTCCGGGTCGGCTTCGCGCTGCCGCGCAAGTGCGGTCTCAAGCTTGGGGGTCGTTGCTGGCTGCGAAGCGTTGAGAGCCGCGTAGGCGCGTTCGCGCGCAGCCTGTATTATGCTGGCGGCAGATGAATGAGAATTTCGCTTGACATCACGGTTGCAATAGACGTACCTAACAACCGCGTCGCGCTCTTTGAGGAACTCGAGTGGATCCGGGAGGTCCTGTTGCTTCAGGTTTTCGGCGAGGTCGAGCCACAAATCGACAAGCGGAAGCACACCCACATCCTGATTGGGCCCCGCAAAAATTCCCATGAGAGCGTGGACGCTGTCTTCCGACTCGTCACTCAGATAACTGTCTGAATAGCTGCTGCCGCTGTCGACCGATGATGTCGATGCCGATGCGGATGTTTGATACTGGTGGAGGGGGTCTTCACATTTTGTGACCACAGGCTTTCTCCCCGCGTATTCAGTCAGCGTTCGCATCCTGGCAATCAGGACTGTCAATGCGCACCTGAGGGTCGGGGTCTTGCCATCCAGTAGCAGCTCGCCATTGACTCTGCAACTCAATCATGCGGGGTGCGTCCTCTCCCCAGTGGCAGCCCATTTCGACATACTCGTCACTCGGCAGCCGAATAGCCCGCCGCTCATTGAACTTCTCCGCTCGTGCACGGACACGAATATCGGTCCGGAACTGCGCCCAGTGATAGCAGTTGTCGTATGGGAATACGGGCTCCGTGCGCAGAGGCGTACGTCCCCGCGGATGGGATGTGTTCGGGAAAATTGGAACGCACATATCGGGAGTGTATCCCTCGGCTTTGTCCTCGGCTCGTAGCGAGGGAGCGATTGGACAGACGGTGTACCGATACCACGGCCGGTTGGGAAAGGGAAGTTCTAGCTCCTGTCGGGGGTGTGGAGAATCACGACATCGGCATTGAGCTAAAACGTGTGAAAACACTCACGTATTCGAGGTATACGAGGTATCTCTTCGTTTGTAGGGCTTCCGCGGCGACCAGAGCTTCTGGGTCGTTGAGGTCCTCGACCATAGCGACTGGATTCAAACGAATCACAGCGTAGGTACCTGTGTTTGGACTGAAGAATACCGTCGTGGTGCACTCCGGGAGTTGCTGGTGGCGATCGAGTTGCATATTGCACAGGCGTGCACTGTTACCGTGTTTGAGGGAAGTTGGAGTGGCCGTTGTTGGCAGATAAGCTTGGGTTACAGAGAGTGGGAAGGGGATCGAAAAGGGACAGATTTCGTTCGTAATGAGTACGCGGCACCTTATCAGGGGCTGGGGTGCCTCAGGCGATGGTGCGTCGCAGGACCTGCACGTAACCAGCCGTAACCGCAGAAAACAATAAGATCTTGTCTTCCAATCCGCACTACGCAACCACATTCAACGCGCCTGTTGGCTGATGTAGACGTTTAGATGTCGCCGTACGCACGTTGTGAGATGCGCCATCTTGTTCTCGTGAGAACAAAAGGAGACTGTTGTCCCAGATGTTCGCTAGGCATCGAGGCACCAGTACCAAACCGCCCGTCTTGCAAATTTCTAAACAAGCACGTTCCAGCCATGCTTTTGTGGCTGTCGGGTCAGAGCTCCGCCGATGATGAAGACCTCTTCGCATACTCAGGAGCGACGACAAGATTCCTAGCGCACCTTCTTCGAACATGATGACTGTCTCCCCGAAAGAAGCTGACGGTCAACGCCTTCAATCCGGGCCGTAGGTAGGAATGCAGCGCCCATGATCGGACGGGTAGAGAAATAGATGAGCTCACCGTACCTAGCGAAAGACTCCCTGGTATCATCCTTCATTGCATTTCGTGATACGATTTCATGACTACCCTTCCGCAAATGGCCGAGATAGTCTCAGAACGTTCCATAGGACGAGTGCACTGTTCAGCAAAGGACGTGTATATGTGGACTTCGATGCAAAGCAAGTCTGAGTCTTCCAGATAGTGACATGGCGAGAGGAGGAGATACTCAGGCGTATGCGGTTGATGTCAGTGGTGAGCGCCTTGGACAGGTCAAAAATAAGGGGTTGTAGGGGTGGGATGCGTCCGCGCAATTCTTCCGTTACAGTATGTCGCATCGAGGAAATGAGGAGGAGGAGGACTCAATGCGGCTGGGCGCGACCGTGGAGGTGACCATGGCAGGATCTAATCTTATCTTATAACAAATGGAGATCGTCGCTACCGACGCTGCCGGCGTCTATCACCTTCTCCCTCTTGCCACCATCTGGCAGACACACTTGCATCGAAGTCCGCGTATCACTATTGTCTTTTTGTGCTGAATGTTGCGCTGATCCGCGGAACGGCATGAGTATACTCCGAAACACTCTCTGAGGGAAAGCAAGTGTACAGTGTGTCAATGGATGATATCAGGTCGTCTTCTGTCGGGTCCGGTGAGTACATTCATCTCTCCGTTCATCCGATAGTGAGGGAGGTATACGCTGTGGTCACAGATTATAGCTTGAGCGTTGGATTAGAGACGTCCGGAGTGGTAAAGCTTACAGAGCTCGCAGTTTTCCAACTCACGGTTGTGAGCGGGGCGCGTCATCCACGACGTAAGGACATGGCCGAGGTGCTTCATCTGTGTGATGATCTCAGATGTCTGGCTTCGTTGTCCACCCGAGGTATCAATCTCAGACGACAATCAGAGCGGATGTTTCGATTGCGTTGCACAACGAGTATGGGAGACAATAGTCTTCCGTTGTTCTCACGAAAACAAGAGGGCGTGTCTCACGGGGTGCGTACGGTGGCATCTGGACGTCCACACCAGCCAACAGGCACAAATTCGGTCGCGGAGTCGAGATTCGGGGAACAAGGTCTTATTGTATGCCGTGGTTACGTGCTGGTCCTGCGATACGTCCTCGTTTGTGGCATCTTCTCACAAATTGCCGCACTCACATTACGAACCTGATCACCCCCTTCCCAGTATCCCGCTCGTCCCTCTGTTGCCTAAACCCATCCGCTGGCAGCGGCCACCCCGACTTCCCCCGAATACGATCACACTGCTCGCCTGCGCAATATGCAACTTGATTGCGTATGGCCACTCCCTGAGTATACCACAACGGTATTCTTCAGTCCAAACCCAGGTACCTACGCTGTGATTCGAATGGATCCAGTCGCCATGGTCAAGGAATTCAATGATCCTGAAGCCCTAGTCGCTGCGGAAGCCCTACAGACAAAGAAATACCTCGTATACCTTGATTTCGTGAGTGCGCTCGAGGATTAGAACCTAAGTGACGATGTCGTGATCACGTCAATTCCCGGCAGGAGATGGAGCTTCCTTTTCCCAACCGGCCATGGTATCGGTACACCGTCCTACCAGTCGCCCCCTCGCTACGCCCTGAGGACAAAGCCGAGGGATACGCTCCCGACATGTGCGTTCCCATCTTCCCAAACACATCCCATCCGCGGGGACGTACGCCCCTACGCACGGAGCCCGTATTCCCGTACGACAACTGCTATCATTGGGTACAGTTCCAAACCGACATTCGCGTCCGTGCGCGACCGGAGAAGTTCGACCAGCGCCGGGCCATTCACCTGCCTAGTGACGAACAGGTCGAAATGGGCTGTTATTGGGGAGAGGACGCCCTGCGCATGGATGAGTTGCAGAGTCAATGGCGAGCTGCTACTGGATGGCAAGATCCCGACCCTCAGGTGAGCATCTACGTCATGTTTTGTCAGGACGCAGACACTGACTGAACTCGCGGGGCAAAGCCTGGTTTATCAAAATATGAAGTTTCCTTCGACCACTGGCAGGATCAAGCGTCCCCGTCGGCATCCACATCATCGGTCGACAGCGGCAGCAGCTACGCGGATAGCGCGCTGAGCGACGAGTCGGAAGACAGCGTCCACGCTCTCATGGGCATCTTTGCGGGGCCCAATCAGGACGTGGGCGTGCTACCGCTTGTCGACCTGTGGCTTGACCTAGCCGACAACCTGAAGCAAGAAGACATCCCGGACCCACTGGAGTTCCTCAAAGAGCGCGATGCGATTGTGAGGTATGTCTCTTGCTATCGAGGGGACGCTAGGCGGAATTCTTACTCATTTATGGCTATCGCTAGCATAATACAGGCTGCGCGCGAACGCGCCTACGCGGCTCTGAACGCACCACATGCAAGAACGATCTCCAAGCCTGAAACGACGCGAGCGCAACCGCGCGAGGCCGAAGTCAAGGAGGTCAAACCAAGGGGATCAACGCGAACTCGTGAGTCGCTCGCTGTGACCTCTGCGAGACGTCGTATCTGAATGTACGCTCGCCAGTTTTTCGGATGCCGAAGCTTGTGCGAAAGTGGAACGAGGGCCTTAAGGGTCTGACAAACCGACTCCGAAGGTTCTGGTTCCTAGCCTTTCGTGAACCATCCGGACCCGTGTAGCCACGAGTATTGAATGGCTTGGAATTGTGAAAACGAGTGCATAGGTAACGCGGAACGCGGAGGTTGTGTATAGTGTATCACGTAGGTTGCAGCGATGAATGTGCTGATAGACATCAACAAAGACAGGCCACACGCGTGTTTGTCATAGAATCTACCTTTGCCAATTTCTCGACTGCTACTCGATGTACATGTACGGACAACCCCCCGGTATAAGGCAAGCATGACGGGCGCGCTCGAAGCACGCGATTTGTGGCTCTCGATATGCAGGTAGCCCTTATAAATGTTGTCAGCGACGCACTGGAGACATGGCACAGATTTAAATTGTGCGCGAGCGTATTCTCAAACGATCCCGCGATCGCTGGTGGACACTCGGGCTATCTCGCGCCGACTCGGCCGAGCATGTAGTGGACCAGTCCGAACGCTTCATACAGATCTCACTCTTCGACTTCGGCTCGCAGTATGCCCTTCGACGCCTTGCGCATGGAGGTTGAAAGCCTGCTGGCAGTGCGAGACAGGATCGCGTGGGCCCAGAACAAGGCCCGAGTCCTATTGTCTTCCGTCGTTACGGTCTTGTTCTACCATGTTCTACGTTAGGGCCTCTGTTGGCAAACGGTATCTCTCGATAAGGTGCTGCGCGAGTCCTGGCACTAAGAGCAACGTCGCATCCCTTGCCCTCGCCCGCCTCCTGTCATCTTGCTCGTCATCCCGCAAACCTATCTCCTGGCAGCCCACACCAACTTTACCACCTAGCTACGATAGCGAACTCACCTGCGCGATATGCATCAGCCACTCACCGACGCTGAGAGAGCTATGACGGTATTCTTCAGCCCAAATACGAGTACCTATGCTGTGATTCGCATGAATCCAATCGCCATGGTCAAAGATCTCCACGACCCAGAAGCCTTGGCCGCAGCGGAGGGCCTGCAACCCAAGGCGTACCTCATATATATTGATTATGTGGGTATCATCAAATCTCTGTCGTGCTGCTCCAAGCTCAAGACTCACTCTGGGAACAGGAATTGGAGCTTCCGTTCCCCAACAAACCATGGTATCGTTACGACGTCAGTGCCATAGCGCCTAGTTTGCGGGCGGAGGACGTAGACGAAGGATACGCCGCGGACATGTGCGTGCCCATCTTTCCGAATACCTCCCACCCTCTGGGGCGAACCCCGGTGCGCACGGAGCCGGTCTTCCCGTACAGCAACTGCTACCACTGGGCGGAGTTCAAGATGGAGATCCGTGTCCGTGCACGACCGGAACAGTTCGATGAGCGAGAGGCCATCTTGTTGCCTGATGCGGAGTGCGAAAAGTTGGAAGGATACTTGGGGGAGGACATCCTGCGTTTGGGTCAGCTGCGGCGTCAATATCGGGCTGCTACTGGATGGCAGCCCCCCGCTGCGCAAGTGAGTGTCGTCGCTCTACTCCTGACACTTACCAATTAATGATTTCTGACGAACGAAGCCTGGGATGCCGGATTACGGAAAGTCCTTCGACCACCACCCGACATCTGCATCGGCCTCCACGTCAACAGTCGACTCCAGCAGTAGCTACGCGGACAGTGCCCTGAGCGATGAGTCGGAGAATAGCGTGGACGCCGTTATGGATATCTTCTCCGGGCCGAACGGAGACATGGGTGTGATTCCGCTTGTCGACCTGTGGCTCGACCTTGCAGGGAACCTCAAGCAAGAAGATATCGCAAGCCCTCCCGAGTTCCTCAAAGAGCGTGACGCTATTGTGAGGTACGCGTCTTTAGTAATTAGCGTAACAAGAAGCGAAAACTCTACTAACATGCGACTATCGCCAGCATTATACAGGCGGCGCGCGAACGCGCATACGCGGCTCTGAACGCTCCGCTTCCAGGAGTCGCCCCCCAGCTTGTGCAGCAGCGCGAGGCCGACGTTGGCGAGCCAAAAACGAAGTGTTTAACGCGAAGTCGTGAGTCGCTCGTTGTCGCCTGTATGTTCTATGAGTTGTCGTTGCTGAACGTTCGCTTTCTAGTTCCTCGAATGCCGAAGCTTGTGGGGAGATGGAGTTTAGGCCTGAAGGCCCTGACGAATCGGATTCGCAGGTTTCGAGTCGTTCGTACGCCATCTGCACCTGTATAGTCGTGAGCTAGACTGCTTCTTTCGGATGTATTGGGCGTAGAAGAACGCGGGAACGAAGGCCACAGCAGTCAATGTCCTATGCAATAGCTACCAAGGACGCGGACATGCTCGCCGCATCTGATTTACCTCTGCAAAATGCGAGACTGCTACGCCATGTATGGACAACCCCTGCGTACATAGGGAGCCCAAGGAATGTGCGCAAAATACGACCACCAAACCATCCCTGTCGTGGTACGAGCAACCCTTACAGATGACGTCAGGGATGGACTGGAGACACGCAAAAGAAATTTACACACTTGAACTGCGAACTATGCCCGAGCATATTCTCCTCGAACGACACGGCGATGACTGGGGCTTACCTATGTTTCGCCGAGCCTGGTCGGGTAGTGAGCTTGCTGAAACGCTCGATGCGCATCTCGATCTTCGGCCTCGGCTCCGCGTCTCACAGCGGCATTCCCTTTATCTATCTGCGGTGCAGGGACGTCGAGGGGAGGGACCACTGGCAGTGAGATTCGGCGGTGGGGGCGCGTGTGGACGCACGCGCAGATCGACGATGCATCCCGGCACTCCGAGTCGTCGCCGAGAGTCCTCGGTATTGACAGCGTCCAGCGTCCCCGTGCACGTTCCCTACAACAACGAGCTCGTTCGCGTCCGAGAGAGATGCAGACACGGGCGAGCGGCGCAGACGCTGCAAGTTGTTGGACACGTGTAGACGCGTGAGGCGCAGCATTTCTATCGTCGCGTCCAAGGGAGCGGCTTCGTGCGACATAAGGGTGAGAACTTCACCTGCATTTATATATTTTCCGGCACTATTCGTACTGTTCGGACAGTAAAGCGGCGGGATGTTGCCGCTGGGAATCCAACTTGGCAATGATTTTGAACAGTGCTCGAGGGTGAGCAATTGAGCGATTGAGCTGAGCTTTGATGAAAAGAGGCCCCGAGGACAGAGTCACCAATAAATGCCATGGTGATAAGTATAAGGTCTGCCCAAGTACTGCTCGGGGATGTGGATGAGGAGGAAGAGAAGAATGTAGCCGCGCGAAACGCGACTACGACTTCGAGAAACCAGATCTTATCTTATCGCCTCATGGCGAAAAAGGCTACAGCACCCATGCTGCTGGCGTTTGATACGTTTTACCTCTTGCTACCCACGTGTCTAGAGCAGATGCGCTTTCTTTGAAGTCCACATACCAACGTACAACCTCTTTGCTAAAATCTGCACACATCAACATATCTGGAGCGTAATAGTGCAAGTCTAGTATCGAGTCGCGTAGCGGAAGGCGCCGCACCCAAGGATAAACACTAGGATATCTTTCACCCAGCCTTACGGTGAGCTCATTCAATTCTCTTCCCCATCCGACCATGCGTGTGGCCTACCCAGGGCCTACCCTGCGCTTATATGTAAGTCTTTGGGTCGAAAAATGCTGACAGTAATCTTCTTTCAGTGCGCATGCTCGAAGAACGGTATAGACGCCGCGCCAGAAACCCTGTCATCGCTTCGGACATCGCGACTAGGAGGCCTTCATCATTCGCACCACTCATGGACGATACTCACAGGAGCATATCTGGAATGCACTTGCATCTCGAGGCGCCAAAGGCCAGTAAGGTAAACGCTTACTGGGCTTCGTGGCGTTCATGCTCATCGCCGAAATCCTTCCCCTGTCCGACGTGTTCTACCCAATACCGCACATGACCAGTACTATACCTCGAACTGAAGCGATGTCGAAATATCACTAGACGGCAAGATGAACATCGTCTTCTCACTCGTGAGCGGTCGGCCTCGAGCGCGATCCCGCAAAAATCGGCCATGCGGCGCAGGTCCGCTCGGGGCCGAAGCACCTGCGCTACGTGGTGTTCGGTGCGTCAAAGTTGCAGTAGTTAATCGCGAGCGGCGCGCACAGCGTCCTTGAGGACGTCACTGATGCATGACTGGCCGCACTCATGGACTCAGTACGGTTCTGTGCACGCGGGGTCGTAATGAGTCACTGAGTGGCGTGGGGACTTGTGCGATGTGCTTACTTCATACAGTGATCTCAGATATCCATGACCGTGTTGATCGTACAAGGCATGGGCCCAGATGGAAACCAGATGGAATGTACGTGTCGCCCAGAGAACTTCCGAGAATCAGACAATTGTCTTCCGTTGTTCTCTCATGCAACAGAGGGCGTCTGGACGCCTGTATCCATGTAGAACAATAGTATCTTGTTCTCGACTGCATCATGTGCGTATCTGTGTACTTGTCGTTGAGGTTAGGCTGATCCTGCGCTACGGCCCTTGTCGATGGGCTTTCATAACATGATATTGCGTTTTCAAGCATCATTGAACCCCCACCGTCTGCCTCCTGTTATCTCCTCTATTCCACTCGCCGCTAAGAGCAATTGCCCCCGATAATCCATCCTCCCACCTGCGCACGAGAGCAGATTACACCTCAGCAGCATGGCGTACGAATTGACACCCGCTGAGCTAGCCAATACAGTATTCTACAGCCCCAACGCGCGTGGATACGCCGTTATTCGCATGAATCCGGTCGCCATGGTCAAACATCTCAACGACTCCGAAGCCCTATCCGCCGCGGAAGCTCTGCAGACCAAGGCGTACCTCGTATATCTCCATCTGGTATGCGTTATTCTTTTATTCCTGCTCCTCATGATCGAGATCCTTATGATATCTCTCATAGGAAGGGGGGCTCCCCTTCTCAGCCGGGGAACGGGGCTATGGCTACGTGGTCTATCCGATCGCGCCCTCGCTGCGAGCGAAGGACGAAGAGAAAGGGTACGCCGCCGACATGTGCGTCCCCATATTTCCGAACACATCCCACCCTTTGGGGCGCACCCCGGTGCACACGGAGCCGGCCTTCCCGTACAGCAATTGCTATCACTGGGCGATGTTCAATACGGAAATCATGGTCCGCGCGCGACCGGAACAGTTCGACGAGCGACACGCAACTAAGTTGCCTTTTACGGAGCGCAGACAGATGGAAAGATGTTTGGGAGAGGACATCTCGCGTATGATAGAGCTGCGCAGTCAACATCGGGCTACTACTGGATGGCAAGCCCCGCCCGTGCAGGTGAGCATGATGATTTCTACTCTCATTATCATCGACGACTGATCTACGGCCACCAAAGCTCGAGAATCTGTATAGCGAAAAGTCCTTCCACCATCGTCAGACGTCTGGGTCATCCTTCACAGCATCAGTTTGCAGCTTCACAATCAGCACTTGGAGCGAAGAGTCGGAAGAGAGCGTGGACTCCGTCATGGAGATCTTCGGGGATCCCGACGATGTTGTGACGCCGCTCGTCGACCTATGGCTTGACCTCGCCGAGAACTTGAAGCAGGAAGACATCCCGGACCCTCTCGAGTTCTTTAAAGAGCGCGATGCCGTCGTGAGGTACGTCTCCAGTGATTGGTTCGGTACGGGACGGAATTGTCACTGATTTGCGTGTGCCACCAGCATAATACAAGCCGCGCGCGAACGCGCCTACGCGGCTCGGGACGCTTCGCATGCCGGAGCCAATTCCAATCATGAGACTGCACTTACGCAGCAGCGCGGGACAGAAGCTGGAGAGGTAAAAACGAAGGGTTCAATACGAAGTCGTGAGTCGCTCGCTGTCGTTTTGAGCATACCTTGTGAGCTGTAGTAACTGAGCGTACGTTCGTTAGTTCTTCGAATTCCAAAGCTTCCGCGGAAGTGGAGTTCGAGCTTCGATGTTTTGATCAACCGAGCGCGAAGGTTGAGTCAGATTGTTCGTGCTACATACATCCGCGGGGTAGTTGTTAGCGCTTCACTACTACGGATATGATGATAGCCTAGATTTATTGCTAGCTCGCGATAAGAATCTCAGGAATAGATGGAGAGAACGCTTCAGTACGGTAGTATCAAACTCAGAATGTGCGATGGCTGCGAATAAGTGTGGTCCAACCGCCGCCCCGAGCCTCAGTGCGGCGAGTGGGAGACAGGTTGCATCTAATCTTATCGCGCGTTCCGGCGAGTGAACGCTTGAAGCTTGAGCCTCAGCGCATCCGCTCCGGCGTCTACTTCACTCACTTTCAGCTCCCCACGACTCCATTATTGTTTTTATGGTGTTCCCACAAGTTGCTGCTGACTGTCGTGCGTGTCTATGCCCTCAAGTCCTCCATCCTGCGGTGATCGATATGACTTGAGACCGGTAGCGTGCACATCTCCCTAGCACAGTTGCTCGATGTCTGACCCCCTGATCAGGGTTTTCTCATGGCCGTCGGCGTAGCTCTGCTTCGACGAAATGTAAGTACTCCTTGCATTTACAGCTTATTCAATGCGCTCATATCACTCTTCTCCTTATATCGTGTTAATTGCGCATTTGAACTTCGTGCTCAGCCTCTGCGGACTCTATTTTGCCGATGCACGGCGCATGGACTAGAGTGAACTCACGCTGCACTGGTTCGGTATCAATTTCCACAACATCTCCATTCACATGATCGTCAGCAACATGAGCGTGGCGCTCCGTTATCTTCAGATTCAGGCCTTGGCGCAGGCAATGAGGCCGCGCCAGGTGCGATGTCACTGGATGCATCTGACCACGAATTCCAGTCGGAGTGGACGGACACGATACCGCAGTATCATCATCAAGACCCGTCTACCCCTGGCTTGATGAGCCTGAGAGGGGGTATGACCCACGTCGTTGAGAGGGTGGTGCAGAATAGGACGCTGCAGGTCAGTCTGGCGAATATATCAGGCCCTGATACAAGTCGTTTCACCACAGCGACCCGCAGATCGAGGCTCCAGCCGGAAAAAGGACCGGCCGTAGTAGTCAAACAAGCGATGCGACTGCCTACTCCCTATGATGAACATGCGATAGTCAAACGTCACCTCCTACCACACTGCTGCGTATCCTCAATCCCGTGGTCTCCGCGTGCAATCACACCTGTGGCTGCATCTTGAACTCAAATATGATATTGACAGATGTGAACGGCAACGTTCGTTCTGCGCTCGGTACTTCATACCAAGAAGGACGTCAGCTGCCACTCTGGAGTGGGAGCCCGATTCCGTGCGTAGGCGCATGACGCACCACCGGAGCACATCGACACCCCGCAGGTGAGTACGACCACATCGGACCGTGTGGTTGAGAAGATTCTTCGGATGTTCATCCCCCGAGCCGTAGTTAGAGCCTCGTACAGTCGTATATTCTTTCGCGGCGGTATTTGCACGTCAGTTTTGGTGTCCTGCAGGCTGTCCAGCCTCGCCACTGTGGCTCTGCTATTTCGCTCAGGGCCAGCCTGCCCGTGCTCTCTGCGTTCACCTGAGAACTTGAGCGGGATTGTGAGAGTGCCTCACATATGTAGACGAGTAGCGTGACTCTAAATGTGCGTGATCCCATGCCACGGAACGGTGTGGGGGAATGGGCGCTCATATCAGCTTCTCCGCACTTCTTTCGCTCAGCGCCGGCAGTGTGGCTAGGAAGCACTGAAGATTCCAAGGCCGCCATCCAAATTCCCGACATCCATCTGCGCCCATGCCAGACATACGGTAAACACCCCGGGCACTTAGCATCCGTCCTTCGCGAGCAGATGTGCGTCCGGCCCTGCGGAACCGTGGGAGCCTTGCAGATCAGATGGCGCCCGCCGTATACTATATGTCTAGCAGTTTAAGATGCAACTCGAGGACCAATCACGCTCTGTGCTTTCTCCCCCCGATCTGTGGTTTATCTACGCGCTGTCTACGGCAAGCGTGTCGAAGAAATTGCGCAAGGATGTCAGGAGCAGATTCTCCGACTGCACAAGGGATTATTGCCCACTACCCTCGGCTGTGCGTATCTTGTCTTTCACCGTTCTATCATCGGATGTGGATCTTGATTTTTTCTTTCATGCAGACTAGCTGAGAACTACTGCATCGTAGCATCATCTAGTACGCTTTCGAGAATATCCTTCTATCTGAGGATGTACTCAAGCGATGCACCCTTCCCTTGACAGCGCTCTTGTGGTTTGACTTCGTGTTGACGCTCCCGGATGAGTACCGCAGAATATGGAGGCGAAAGTTCACAGGAGCGACAGTGATATACCTCTTGATACGATACGTTGCGGTCATCGAGAGGATATTTTTTGTGCTCGAGGTCCTCGTTTGGAAATCCAGTAATCAGGTGAGCTGCTATGGTTTGCATGCGACATTCATGTAACTGACCCTGCCTCAGACGTTCGTTTTTGTGCCATGACGTCATGGGCAACGCTTATTTGTTGTATAGATGCGGTATCATCACGCACACCGACGACGTGCTGACTATCCTCAACTACCTCTCGTTCACCGGTAACTTGCCGACCCGCTTTATCCCATCCGAGCTGTATCGATGATAGTACCGATTTCCCCGTGCAGCGTTCACTGCGTTGCGACTGTACGCGGTATGGGAGAGAGATTGGAAGCCCTTGCTGGTGGTGCTCCCCCTCAGCCTAGTAAGGCCAATTCTCCTCATAGTGAGTCGCAATCCAAGACAAGAGCCCAGAGCATATTCGAATGACAACTCCTCCAGTACGAAAGCGCGCACTATGTTCCCTTCCAAGGCGGGCCGCCGTTTGGGTGTTTCGAGTTTAGTTTCGTTTCGGACGCCGACTTATCCAAGTAAGCTTTCTGTCTCCCTCTTGTCATCACATGCATCACAACTGGCGCTGACGCCTTTGAAGCTGTAAGTAGCAGTAAATCGGTGCAGACTTCATCAATCTCGAGAGAACTGACCGGATAACTCCTCAGTCTCTATCGCAGCGAGGGCTACAACAGTGGTAGTGGATTGCATCCTCATTGTCTTCACGTGGATAAAGACGTTCAGCATAAACCGGGACTCGTTCAGGATGGGTTTCCGCACTCCGTTAGCGACGTTGCTCCTGCGTGATGGTGAGCCCAGCCTGCAATCATTCCCTAATTTATATTCTGATTGCGGCGATGTGTTAGGAACGGCATACTTCTTGTACGATTGTCTGTGCTCGATGTTTCCACTCCGGCGCTGAATGATACTCGGGGCAGGATCTCACTGATCGTTGAGATTGTCACTATTGTCTCCAACAGCGTATGTTCTATACATTTGATATTCGTCTATCTCCACCAGCTTATACTCACTTATTTATTCGTTTAGATGGGCGAGGTATGTATCAATACGCCGCCCGCGGCACCTCTACATTGGCGTTGACAATCTTCTGCAGGACAACACAGTGTGGCTTGTCTGGCCTTACTTTGAGCAGGTGTACGTCCCGCCCCTATTGGTATGAAGCAGCTCTCCGTACACTCACACGCCGTTTCACTCCCAGACTCACCGTGATATGCTTCTCGCGCTTCATGCTCGACCTGCGCGGAGTCTACTTCGCGGGGTGTGATGGGCGCGAGGGCGATACGACGCTGCACAGCCTGCATCTGTCCGATGTCAAGTTCGAGGGCATCACGTCCACGATCATCGGAAACCTCGGCTCTACCACTTTCAGCACGCAAATCCAGATCCCTACGCCGGAGCATACGCACGGGGACACGTTGTGTCCTAGTGGACCAGTGCACTCGCTCGAGCAGAGATACGCATGGGAGTGGCGCGATGAGGAGGTTGAGTTGAGCGACGACCCGTTCAGGACGGGCTTCCAGAGCTCTGAAAAGCCACCAGTGTTCGTGGTGTCCGAGACAGGAGACACTGAAATGGCGGATGGGATGGAAATTCAGGTGAGCGATCATCTTTTACTATGGGAAATGCTCGCCTCTGACTGGCCCATCGCTGGCATGTTCGCAGGAGATTCAAATTGCGAATATCTCATCTGTGTAAAATAGTTTCAGGTGATTCGCACATCATGTGCTGAGAAGACATGAAGGTGGATGATCTAAAGAGACCCGACGAGTCACCCGCAGATGAATGCAGACATGCTAGTGCTCATGATAAGATTGTAGGTAATAGTCTATGCTCACAAAAAGGTGGCACTGGACGGTAGTTCGTGAAACGGCATATCTTCGAAACTGTGAACCAAGCTCGGACCCGACACCATGCTACAAGACCACTAGCATCTACGACAGGTCTGTAAAACCACAGCTCACTGTTGGGTCGCTCCTAGTCCAGTCAGCTAATGCGAAAGATGGACGTAGTTCTGTAATGGCAACACATTCCGAGTCGACCGAGCCCGACTTGGCATCGTGGGCCTGTTTAGTGCGAGCTTTGCTCTCTTCGATGATCTTACGGAGTTCATTAGCGTGCACAGCGTCCATGAGAAAACTGTGGACCTACTTCACGAGCTCGTCACGCTGCCGCATGAACGCCATGGGGTCAGGGACTTCTACGCCCTCGAAGTGTGCGCCTAGGTCAAGGGAAATCTTGACGATCGGTAGGAGGTCGTCCCGATCGTTTCCGTCCAGACCGAATATGTCGATCTCGTCGAGAGATCGTGTCGAGTGGAAGGACCCCTCAGAGGATGGGTAGACGGAGGATCGTGGTGCGTCTTCTTCGCCGTCTTCGCCGTCCTCAGAAGCGGATACGGAGTAGTACTCCTCGTAGGCCCCGCAGCAATCACACTGCTGGTGCTGTTCGCCCTCGCAACCACGGTCAGACCCGCCATGTGGCGCAGAAGTGCCCACATCGTGTCGGAGCAGCTCCACAGGGGACATCGATACCGGCTCGGAGCGCGCGGGTGACGGGCTTCGCGTCTGTGGAGGTTGAGACGCCTGCGTGGCCTCCAATGTGATAAGCGGCACAGCGCCGGTGCCAGACAAGCCGTCCCTGTCCTTCTGTGTGCATATACTCCTCCAGATGTCTCGGCCCTGTATACCGACCATCTTCACGTGCTGGTCCGGGGGCAGCATCGTACGCGTCTCCGCGCTGTAGTCGCGTCCATCGTTCACGATACGGAGGTCGAGCCACATATCTGGCCCGAACCAATGGTAACAGTTGCCGAACGGGAACGGAGGGTCCGACCTGAGCGTCTCGTGGTCTTCTACGGGATGCTGGGTGTTCGGGTAGATGGGGATGCACATGTCCGGGGTGATGCAGAGCTTGGGGTTCTCAGGGCGCAGTCCGGGGCCGATGAGGTACGCCATGTACTTGAATGTCTCGTCCTCGGGAAACGGCAGCTGCAGTATCTGTTGCGGGTGAAGTGTGAGTCAAAATGCAAAGATATAGCCGAGTACGTACCATGTCCAAGTAGACGATGGATTTCGTCGTCTTGATTTCTGCGCCAGCGGCGTTTGCGATGGGGTCGTCGAGGGTTTGAAGGGTTCTCTCTACATCAAGTTCGACGATAGCGTAAGTTCCTGGGAGCGGGAAGAAAAGCATCTTTGTTCTCGAGTCGAGGGTGGGCGTTGACGACTTGAGTGGCTAGTGTAGAGTTCTGCAACACGATAACGTAGGACAGCTCTTTAAGAGGTTGTCGGACAATGGAAGGATGAGCCACTCTTGTTTGAATAAAAGATGTTCGTGACAGATCTCCAAGCCCAGAAGGTCTCAGATATGCAGCGGTAGACGTCGTCCTGTTATCCTCGCCGTGTAGCTATTCAGTATAGTCAGCCCAAGTGCTGAGGGTTTCCAAGACAATTTTTTGACAATTAACGCAAGCATTGAGACTCAAGATCGACGCAGAGAGCAGAGCTCGAGTTGCGGAGTGAACGAGAGAGCCTGAGTGAGTGCTGGGAAGTTTCGGCGCGACTGCTGCATCTAATCTTATCGCACCTGCTGGCGAGCGCATCCACTACGGCGTCTATCTCATCCGCTCACAGACTCGCGCCACGACCATCTGTCGTCTCGGTCCCTCGGGTTGAACGGCCCCTTCTTCGAAGGTGGTCCCATCGCTATATCTTTGTGAGTGCTGAGTCCGCCAAAATTGAACACGCAGTGTGGATCCGTTTGCAGCTGATGTGCCTGTGTAGGATGAGGCCACAGGCGAAGCGACTCCTCATTGCGGACGTCCGACGTGCACGGCGCCGACGTGAAGGATCGCGAGCGCGCCGATTGGGATAGGGATTCAAGAAGGTCCCAGCAGTCGAATCTGTTGTGCCCACAGGCTTCTTATGGCTGTGATTTCGCACGCGCGAAAACGTTATTAGCGGCGTAGCGGCGTTGGGGCTTGTGCGAAGTGCATGGTCTGTGTGATGAATCGATGATGTCAGATGTTTGCGAACCTATCGTGTTTATTGGTGAGTATCATATCTGTAACACACGAAATCACCGCTGACCGGCCCCTAGTGTTATCTGTAGTCAATTATCAGATAGAATAACTATGAAGCTGCGAGCAACCGAATTCCATGACCCGCTGACAGTGCGTTCGGGATCGTGAGCTACTCGATTCGAAAGGGGTCCCATACTTCTTTGGCATCCATACCACAGGATGGTCGGTGCGTATGATTTTATTTTAGCTATGGGATGCGGTGCTGATTCCGCGGCACGTTCGCATGACAGGCACGCTTTATATGGCTGGATGCATCTGACCGCGAATTCGAGTCGGAGTAGGCGGACAAAGTACAGCAGTGTTGTCATGACCCGTCTACTTCGGGCTTGATGTGCCTGAGATGGTGGTGCAGGATAGGATGGTGCAGGTCAGTCTGCGGAATATATCAGGCCCTGAGACAGCTCATTTCACCACAGCGACTCGCAGGTCAAGACTCCAGCCGCGAAAAGGACTTTTCATCATGGTCAAGCGAATCACGACGCTGTGTATTCACTATATTGAATATGCAAGCGCCGCTACACATACCGCGATGTTGCGTATCCTCAATCCCACGATCTCTGCTTCCAATATGACTTGCAGCAGCATTCTGAACTCGAATATGATATTGACATATGTGAACAGGCAACGTGTGCTCGGCGCTCGGTACTTTAGACCCAGTAAGAGGTCAGCTGCGGCTCTGGGATGGGAGCCCGATTCCATGCGTAGGTGCATGACACGCCACCAGAGCACATCAACACCGCGCAGGTGAGTACGTCGTTCACATCGCACCGCGTGGTTGAGAATATTCTTCGGATGTTCATCCCCCGAGCCGCAGTTGGTGTCTCTGGGTACACTCACGGCGACTTTGCCTCCCTATATCAATCTTAGCGTGCCTGCAGGCCGTACAGCCTCGTGAGTGTTTCTCGTATCTATGGACCAGCGGTCTGGCGCTGAACATGCGTACTTCCTTAAACGCGGAAGACATCAGTGTGAGGGCGCTCATATCAACTTCCTTCCCCGCACTTCTTGCGCTCGGCGCTGGTGGGCCCGGACAGGAAGCGCCTATATCAAGACCCCCATGCATCTTCTCAACTTCGATCTGCACTCATGAGCGTACCGTGGAATCCAATCATGGCTGCCCCATGATGCCCCCGTCAAGCGGGTGGCGCGACCGTATACAAGCGTGCGTCCAGCAGCCTGAAGTGCATGTCGACGGGCTATCTCACTCCCCACTCTTTTCTTCCTCATCTGTAGCTCGGCTAGGATATATCTCCAACAAGCGCATTTCAGGCAGCATACGACGATGTCGGGAGAAGACTCGGAGATTGTACAAGATGTTATCGCTCAGTACCCTCGGTTGTGTGTACATCGTTTTTCGACGTTTTGGTGGCAAGCAGGAACACTGATGCTTTCTTTTATAGACTGATCGAGAACTACTGCATCGTAGCATCGTCTGGTATGCTTTCAAAACGGTCTCTTATGCGAGGATGTACTCCAACTAATATACCTTTGCTATGACAGCGCTCTTGTGGTTTGACTTCGTGTTGACGCTTCCGGACGAGTACCGCAGAATATGGAAGCAGAAGTTCTCAGGAGCGACAGTGATATACTTTTTGATGCGATACGTCGCGGTCATCGAGAGGATATTCCTTGTGCTGGAGGTTCTCGTATGGAACTCAAGCGATCGGGTGAGCTGTTCTCGATTTGGACTCGAAACCAACGTAGCTGACATCGTCTTAGACGTGCGTTATCCCATACTATACTTATAGGCTATGCTCATTTGCTGTGCAGATGCGGTGGTATCACGCACACTGACGACGTGTTGCTATTCCTCAACTACTTGGCATTTACAGGTACTTTGCCGCCCCGCTTGGTTCTGTCCGGTTCATTTCGATGATATTGATTACCTCTCGCCTTGCAGCATTCACCGTATTACGGCTGTACGGCGTATGGGATAGAGATTGGAAGCCTCTGTTGGTCGTCCTCCCTCTGAGTCTAATAAGGCCGATTTTCTACTTGGTAAGTTCAAAGCCATGGCCAGGTCCTAGAGCGCCGCTTCTGAATGACCGTGCCTCCAGTACGAGAGCGTCAATTACATCCCTGTCGAACTCGGGCCGCCGTACGGCTGTGCAGAAGGGAGTTCCGTTTTACCCTCTATCCTATCCAAGTAGGTTTTTTATTTGCTCATTGCCATTATTACTGACACCGATTGCATTCAAGCTGTATGTAGCATCACACGGGTGCATACTATCTCCATAAAATCAAAACAACTGACGCAATCACTTGCTAGTTTCGATCACAGTGAAGGCTACAACCATCGCAGCGGATGGAATTCTCGTCGTGCTAACGTGGATAAAGACCTTCAGCATCAACAGAGACTCGTTCAGGATGGGATTCGATACTCCGTTGGCGACATTGCTCCTGCGAGATGGTGAGCCCAGCGGCGATCATTCTTCACATTACGTTCTGACTGTAGCGACGTGTTAGGAACGGCCTACTTCTTGTATGTATATCTAGTGTGCTCATTATTATCGCTCCGGTACTGAATATCATTCGGGGCAGAGTCTCGCTCATAATTCAGATTATCACTATCATCTCCAACAGCGTATGTTCTATCCATTTAACGCCCGTCTGCTCCTACGAGCTAACGCTCAGTCATTAACTCGTTCAGATCGGTTCTGTATGTATCCCGGTGTCGCATGCGACACCCCTGCATTAACATTGCGATCTTCTGCAGGATGTCACAGTCTGGCTTGTGTGGCCTTACTTTGAGCAAGTGTACGTGCCCACTGCCAGGCCCATTAGCACAAAGCAACTATTCGTGGACTAATAGACGTGCCGTCTCACTCTCAGCGTCACCGTGATCTGCTTCTCGCGCTTCATGCTCGACCTGCGCGGTATCTACTTCACCGGGCGCGATGGGCGCGAGGCAGACACGACACTTCACCTGTCCGACGTCAGGTTCGAGGGCATCACGTCCACGATAATCGGCAACCTCGGCTCGACAACATCTGCGGCGCAGGTCGAGATCCCAGGCCCCGAGCTCCCGGAGGATAGCGACGCGTCGCCCGGCCCCGAGTCGGCGGACTCGCTCGAGCGCAGACATGTGTGGGAGTGGCGCGACGACGAGGTCGAGTTGAGCGACGACCCGTTCAAGGCAGGCTTTCAGAGCCTAGAGAAGCGTCCTGCGTTCTTTGCAACGGTTGCGGAGGCGTCCGAGACGAGGGAGGCTGAAAAGGTGGATGGAACGGAATTTCAGGTCAGCGATTATATTCTGAAGTTGGCGAAGTGCGAGCCTTTGACTGAGCCTTCACGTTGGCAGGGAACTCAAATTGGAGATACCTCACCTGTCTAAACCGGGCTCGGGCAGGTAGTGCATCTTCTGCACCCGTGTATAGATGAGCGTTTACAAAAGGCACCTTAGGGTGGATGATTCTGATATTAAACGTGGAAGCACAGTAGTAAGTTGTGGATGGTATGCCGGGGACGCCATAGCGGTGGGCGATCTGAAAGAGAACCGAGCAGTCACAGACGAACTTAGACGCGCGAGTACTGATGATACGATTATATATGATGATGTTTACAATATGGTGGTAGGGGTGAGTTCGACGGTAGATCTAGAAAGGTTTAGCTCATCTCGGACCCGGCTCCATGCTACGAGACCACGAGCCGCCACAAGAGGTCTGAAAAGGCGCAGCTCCGCTGGATCGCCGGTGCTTCAGTCAGTCAATACGAAAGATGGACGCGGATGCGCTCGCTAGCATCGACCAGAAACCTGTGCAGTAGTGAGCTCCTGCTACAGCGTGGAGACCAGGCGGGCGCAGAGGGGGTCCGAGATACTCACCTTTCGGCTGGGGCGCTCCCTCCGTACTACCATTGATCGAGGCTGAACTAGATTCGGCTTCCTCGGGTCCGACAGGTGGTGTAGCCTCGCAGGGTTCAACGCTATCGGTGATGGAGACCTCTGCTGGGCTAAACTCGCTAGTAGCGATGAGTTCCGACTCAGCATCCTTACATGCTTTCGCACGAGCCTTGCTCTCTTGAATGATCCTGTCAAAGCCATCAGATGTACAACGTCGCCTGAGCAATGAGAGGCGTACTTCACAAGCTCGTCGCGCTGCCGCATGAACTCCCTCGGGTCAGGGACATCCTCGTCCGATGTGAAATGTGCGCCAATGTCGAGCGAAATTGACACGATGGGGAGGAGATCGTCCCCCTCGTCACCGCCTAGACCGAAGATGTTCATCTCTTCCAGGGCTTCTTCCGAGCCGTAGGACCTCTCGGAACATTGGTAAACCGGAGATCGCGACTCGGACGAGTCTCCATCGCTATACTCCGAGCCATACTCAGAGTGACACTCTCCGCAATCATCGCATACATGCTGGTCCCGTTCGGACTCGCCTTCGTCGCCGTGTCGCACCTCCGAAATGAACACAAGAGGGGCGGTCTCTTCTTGCTCGGACGAGACAGCCGCAGATGGCGAGATTGCGCGGACGGGCGAAATACTTCGCCGCGGCGGCGAAACCTCTGGCTCGTCCTCGAGCTCTATGTCTGCAAAGGGTAGCTCTGCAAGTTCAGCAACGCAGCGAGCGTCGAGCATTTCCTTTCGGGCGCATATGCTCCGCCACATATCCTGTCCCCCGATGCTCCCAAGCTCTACGTGCTCGATGGCGGGCAACTGCGTTCGCGGCGCGAGACTGTAGTCGCGCCCGTCGTTGCAGATGCGGAGGTCCAGCCACATGTCCGGCCCGAGCCAGTGGTAGCAGTTGTGGTATGGGAACGGGGGGTTGGATTTGAGCGCCTCGCGATCAGCGAAAGGATGCTGAGTGTTCGGAGAAATAGGGATGCACATGTCGGAGGTGATACAGAGCTCTGGGTCCTCGGGGCGCAGACCGGGACCGACGAGGTACACCATGTACTTGAAGGTCACGTCGTCGGGGAAGGGCAACTGCAGTACCTGATAGACATCTGGGTCAAGTCGCCCGTATCAAGAGCGACGCGCTGAGCACACGCACCATGTTCAAGTAAACAATACATTTAGTTGTCTTGATGCTCGCGCCAGCAGCATCCGCGATGGGGTCGGCAAGAGACTCCAGGGTCTTCTTGACGTCTATCTCCACTACGGCGTATGTGCACGGGAGTGGGAAAAACAGCATGGCGAGATTGGAAGCGAATGTCGGCTAGAGGGGTAACGTCGTGTGGCGTATGCAGAATGCTGTAGTTCTGGGTGAGGTAAGGTTAGCTCTTTAAGTACTCGGAGCAACAATGGCTTAATGCCCTAACTTTGCCGAACAAAGGACATGAAATCGACCTGCGCCACTTGGAATGATGCCTACTGTAACGCCGCACCAATATCTGCCGCGACGCCTCGGCACCAGGGTTCGGAAGCCATGTCACAAATAGACGTTGTTCGTCGCGGCCAGACTTCAGCGCCAGCCCATTATATAAAGTCGGGAAGGTGCTCTCGGGCGAAGTACCAATGTCATTGTAGTTCTCCGCTGCATGTCAATGAGACGCGTGCCTTCAATGTCCCACCTTCCTCACCTGGATTGGTGTGCTTGCGATCATGTCCTGTATTGAAGCCCCCATTGTCGATCGTGGCTTCCGTAACTGCCGTCGGGGCTACAAAAAACACCCTATGGGTAAGCCACGCTTTAAAACTGTTCTTGCATCGTCGAAAACCCGAACACTCACTCCTCCTCGCTTGTCTCCTTGTTTGTCACAGATGCCGTCCTCCTCTTGCCCCCAGTGCCCGCCTAAGGGCTCCCGCAACCCATCTAGGGCTGTGCCGAACAAGATAACCCAAGACTGCGGCTACTACGATCGCGGCTACATTTGCTGCGTGCACGAGAGTCTAGACACGGTCATTCAGCATATCCTGAAGGACAGCGACGGCATCAGGGACAACCCCTTCCTCCGCAAACAGATCGTCGACCAACTCAAGTGTTGCACGGATACCAACCCCACGCGCCGGATGGGAAAGCGGCGGCCGTGCGTTCTCTTGTCGATCGTGCACCCCGACCAGAACACCGGGGGCCCCAACGGGCCGCAAATCTGCGTCATGGGCACTTTCGGCGGCAAGCTCCCGAAGGGCAGGGTGTACCTCCATTTCTGCATCCCCGTGTTCCCGAACTGCGGATTGGAGGACGCTTCGAACGGAAAGCGTAGCCACATGCACGCATGCCCGCGGGACTGGAAGCATTGCAAGCAGTGGGTCGTCGCGTTCGCGTACCGCAGCACGAGTGCCATCCTCGGCACTTGGCGGGCTTCATGGCCGCGCGCCCGTACCGCCACGACTCCTCAGGTTTGGCTCGACAAGCAAAACCAGGCATGGCTGATAGACCAGTGCGTGGAGAGGCTCGACTCGTGGTCCGCCTTGTGTAAAGCCAACCCCGGATTTGCGCGAGGCTGCGTGTTCGAGCACCAGGTGAGTTATTCAGTGACACGGTATTCGTAATGCGACGCCTAACACCAGAGCGTTTTCAGCAAAACTGAGCATCAGGGAGTTGCACGTCCGTAGTGAGTCCAACATACTCCTGTACATGCTGAGGGATACCTGAGCAAAGGTCGCAGGCAAGCACGCAAGGAGGGTTCACGAGAGCTGCTACCCCCCTGCGACAAGTACCCGAGAGTAGCGGATGCTCAGCCTTTTCGTCTCCGCGTCGCCACGATGTCGTTTCTCCGTCCGGCAGCCAGTGGCACAGCCGACCGGGAAGCGTGAAGGTGAGCCAGTCCAGCTACACATTCCAGTGTTCTAGCCTTAAACTACTGCCATCAGAAGGGAAGCCAAGGGCCATGCGAGCCGACGTGGTCTCTGCGCGAGAAGATGTCTTCAATGAACATGTCGCATGGGCCAACGACAACTAGCACAGCGCACTAGCACTGACCCGGAAGGAAAGGCCGAGATGAACACACCACGCGAGTACTCACCGCATTGTATATGATACAGTACTGTTGTTCCTGTACCGCCAACCCCAAATATGCGGCGGACACCTGTAGCTTCTATTTGTTGTTGAACCTCGTATGCTTTGTAGAATGGCCAGATTTTTTGCAGGTTCAAGCCCTGTAGGCAGTCGGTATGAGTAGCCGAAATTCCGAGTGACTCTTGCAGGGTTTCAGGGAGCATACAGAGCTAAGAGATTAACCCAGAGGGAGACTGCTAGTGGCTGAGAGATTCGGAGTGAGAGATTCGAATCTCGTGAACATGTTCTCGGGGTTCCTGGTTCCACGTGGCATGGGCGCTTCGAAATGTTATCGATATTCCCGGCCACCTCCGAACTCAACTTGCACTTGCCCGCTTGTTGCGAGGCCGAACGAGAACAAAAGCACACCTCGGTAGATGTCCCTTGTCTCAGGCCTTATTATCTCTGGAGACCATTACGGTTTATCAGTATGTTTCTGACAAAACCCCGGTTGAGATTGTGTCTCCGTTCTAGCTTCACTCACCGCCCTACTATCTCTTGACTCTGACGAGTCCTCTGCAACATACGCATATATTTACCCTCCGCTAGCTCGTCTCCGATATCTGAACGCCAAGGTATGTCAAAGAAAAGGCTCAGTGCGGAAAATGTGCTCACTTTACCACAGGTGACTCGCATTGCTACCTCATGTCGAGCCCCCAAGACGACGTGTCGGCGTTTTGTACAATGCCATATCATTATGGGAGTCTACGCATCGACCCCGTGGCGTCAGTAAAGCATCTTAACGACGCTGTTGCCGAAGCAGAGGCGCGAAAGCTACATACCCAACGATATCTAGTTTACCTTTACCATGTAGGCACCACCCGTACGTTCCTGCTGCGGCAAGCGATCACTCATCCAACAGATATAGGAGCACACGCTTCTGTTCCCGGGAATGCCCTGGTTCTCCTACATAGCTACCCCCATAGCCACGGGACTGCGTCTCCCGGCAGTACAGAACGCGATCACATCGGACATGTGCATCCCCATCTATCCTAACGAAGAGCATCCCACTGGACGTGCTCCTCTCTGCACCATCCCCGAGTTCCCGTTCTCGAACAGCTACCACTGGATCCAGCTGGGTATGGACGTCCGTGTGCGGGCGAAGCCTGGAGACGAGGTCTTCGACGCCACCCGCGCAATCTAACTTCCGATCCCTCAGCGACTGAACATGTTGGATTGCTGGGAGGCCGATTACGACCGGGCAGAGGCGATATTGAAGAGTCGCAGGAAGAAATCAGTGAGTGGTATAGCTGCTCTATCTACGACGCATCTTACTGTTTGCGCGGCCTGCGTTGTCGCACCAGGAGCACGCAGGTGGGGATATCGGTGTTTCTCTCACATCAGGCGCATCCGACTCCGACGCTCCTTCGTGCTCCACGAGCAGCGAGGATTCGGACGACCACGAATCGGAGTACTCGTCGTCTGACAGTCTTGGAAGCATGGGCGCGTTTGGGATTCTAGGCCGTGACGTCGCCAAGCTGGACTACCCGCTCGTTGATTTTTCCTATGACCTCTGTGCGACACTCAGCGCGGATAACATACCGAATCCCATGGACCTACTTGCTGAGAAAACAGCGTTGATAGGGTAAGTTCTCAAGCCATCTTGTCGTTAACCGTGTTACTGAGACACATCAGGATCATCGAAAGAGCGCGTGAACGCCAATCTCATCGCAAACTCGGATATGCAGAGAGCGTTATCAGTGCTGGCACTGTCGACAAGGTTGCCGATGTACATGCTGGTGAGCATGCGGACCGTCAGAAGGATATATGGAAGTGTATGTTTGTTCTTTACAGATGCTTCAACGGCTTTGGCACTCATCGCGTGTCGCAACAGGTCGCCCCGCAGTACAGGTTCTCCGGCGATGGAAGCTTAGCGTTGCAACGTTGACGAGGCGCATACGTCATACAATGCGTCTGCCTTATCTCGCCATGTGGCCGTGAGACATACAATCGCACGGGTATGCCACGACTACATGTAATCTTCTTCATACCGTGAACACGACACGCCACTGCACGACAGATGTTTCAAGGTTTCCAATACGGAATGACTGTTGGCGGGTGGCGCACCCGCTGACCGAGTCTAGACTTGACCGCGGACTATCATCAGTCTTCAAGAGACCTTTCTGCTCGCGATGTCGCTGCACATCTTTGCCACCGCACAATCCTGCAGTGGCACCCCGCCGCCGCATCCGCCGGTGCGTTCGCATAGCGCTTCAACCAGTTGACACCCACGCCCGTCAACACAATCTTCGCTGTATCGGGTGACTTAGCTATCAATGCAGGATAAGGGCCGGGCTTATCTGGTGAGTCCGGTCCACGTTCAAATTTACCACGGTTGTGTACTTTCTATCAACTTTAGATTTCCAAGCCTTACACACGACGCTTCCGTGAACGAACATCGCACTCCGAGTCGGTAAGCGTAGTATGAGGACGACCACGGGTGATTGGACTCGGAGTGGAGGTCGTCCGGATCCGGAGTACTAAACACGTTCAAGGAAGATGCCCTGCCCTGCTCTCGTGCAACTGTGCGGTTGCGTCACCCGAGACGCTGATAGGTGTTGTAATACAACATTATACGGTGCGCTCCTGCTCCCATGTTTTATTTGCGGCCGTGTTTTGGGGCTGTGATCTAACACGTCAATCCCCCAGGCGGTGGTATGCCACTGGGTGTAGACCCTGGAAGATGTTATCTCGAGGTCTCTCTCTTTCCTGCGTCTACCTTATGACACAAAAGTGATTCGTGATGTCATTTGATGTCCTTCCATATACTCGGCGGCTATTCCAACCCGTCGTTGTCGCACTGGCAGCCTGTCGTCGCTGTCGTCAGCTCTCGTTCAATTGACATGACGCAGTTTCGACAAACAGAAGAGCTCATCGCCCTTCCGAGACCACAAGTTCCCTGCTTGCTATAGGCGCTTTGATCAGCGGTGTTAGTATGTGGCAATTCAACGGCAAACACTCACCGGCCCTACTTCCAGAATTCTCGACTCACGTGGAAATCTTTACAGGATTAGTGCCGCGTTGACGGTACTTCTGCGTCGCAACGGGCAACTCAGAACCTCACCGAGGTAGGTTTGAATCCAAGGGAAGCCTATCTGTCGCTTACGAAGGTGCATGCAGGAAGCACGCCGCGGCCTCTTGTGCGCGTTAGGAGCCACAAAGAGAGCCGTAGACGGTATCAGTAATGACCGCCCAGCGAGCGATAGCGCCGTATCCTCCATGGCCACGACTATAAGTGTCTGCTCTGGTTGGCGGAAGTATCCCATATCTCTGCATTGGAGACATACACAAGGCCCTCATACCATGGAATCCACATCCTCTTTCCTCACCCACATTTCGACAGGAAAGCATGCGCTCCCCCGCCTTCCCTACTTTCTGCACACGCTTTATCTCTTCACTAAGTCTGACATAAAGACAGTGGTGATCCCCGTTGTGAGTCTCAGGCTTCAGACCTCCCGTATTATAAGAGGCCTCTTGCTAACAGCATTCGAACCAACAGACCTCCCTTGCGATCGCATCCGCCCCACTAGCGAGTCCCCTCCATCTCCCACACGTCGTCTTCTGGCTCTGGCTTCATGTCCTGCAAATCGACCTCGCGAACCAGAGCATGGACCCCGACGAGGACGCGAAGAACAAGAGCTACCGCCCGATCCCGGCGAAGCGCATCTCCGTCGCACAGACGCGTCTCCTCCGCTGGGCCATCGTTCCCGTCTGTCTCCGCCTCTCCGCACTCTACAGCGCTCAGACCTTGTACGCAAGCGCTGCATTCGCCCTCCTCACGCTCATCTACAACGAGTTCGCTGCGCACCGCCGACACTGGATCATCCGCAACGTCATGAACGCGCTCGGTCTCGCCGCGTTTGAGGTCGGCGCGACGCTCATCGCGAGCGCAGATCCGACGCGTCTAGACGGGATCGCTCTCTGCTCTGTGCTCGTGAGCACGGCCATCTTCGCGACGACGATACACGCGCAGGACTTCCAGGATGTCGACGGCGACCTCACCATCGGCCGGCGCACCATCCCGATCATCTTCGGGGACGCCGCGCGCTGGACGGTGATTGTGCCGCTCGTGATCTGGTCCGTCGGGCTGTCTGTTTTCTGGGGTCTCAGCGTCCCTGTGAGCGCGGCAGTGACCATGCTCGCGGTGTGTGTGTGCGTGCTGTACCTCTGTGCACGGACGGCACGCGAGTATCAGGTCGCATACTTCTGGTATAACGTACGTCCTTCCTCTTGTCCTTCCATGTGTCCGCAGTACACCGAGCTGACTACGATGATTGTTCGCCCAGATATGGCTATCTACCGCACACTTCCTGCCCGCCTATTGCCGGCTCTTCAGTGAGCCATACTACGTACTGGGCCCATGAGATGTGGCGCTCCGCTGGCGTCCCGCTCACCGTCACCAAACATGTCGATGATAGCTAGAAATTGAATTATGGACAATATGTATACCAATAATCATGACACAACATGTACGGACGGCGCACGGGTGGTTCGAGGCCTTCGGACTCGGTTCGTAAGAGCCTTGAGGCCGTCGCTCCACTTCCGCAGAAGTGTCGGCAGTCGAAGCACTAGCGAGCGAGTGTTCAGCTGACATGAAACGCAAAGTTTATCAGTCGACTTACCTCGTCGTGTTGAACCCTTCGTTTGTACCTTTTCAACTTCGCCCCCGTGCTGCTGCGCGGGTGCAGTACCAGACTTTTTCGTCGTTCTCGGGTGCGGATTGTTCAGAGCCGCATAGGCGCGCTCCCGCGCCGCTTGTATGATGCTGACGAGAACCAGGGATTAGTGATGCTTCCACTTCACGCTGGCCCGATGGACATGTACCTCACAACAGCGTCGCGCTCTTGAAGGAACTCGAGAGGGTTTGGGATGTCTTCTTGCTTCAGGTTCTCGGCAAGGTCGAGCCATAGATCAACCAGTGGAAGCACGATCACGTCTTGGTTGGGCCCCGCGAAGATATTCATAACAGCGTCAACGCTGTCTTCCGAATCTTCACTGAGAGCACTGTCCGCATAGCTGCCACCGCTGTTGACAGATGAGGTAGACCCTGACGCTGACGTGTGGTGGCGGTTGAGAGAAGCTTCACCAGGACTCGCAATCTCAGCCTTTTTACCACCGCAATCCATTTAGTATTTGAACACCGTGAGAGAGAGAACGTCGACACTCACCTGGACGGCGGGGGCTTGCCACCCTGTAGTTGCCCGATATTGCGCTTGCAACTCGTCCATGCGCGTGATATCCTCTCCCCAATAGCGGTTCATTTTGACTTTCTCCGGGCCTTTGAGCAAGATAGCTCGCCGCTCGTCGAACCGCTCCGGTCGCGCACGGACCCGGATATTAGTCTCGAACTCCGCCCAGTGATAGCAGTTGCTGTACGGGAAGACGGGCTCGGTGCGCAATGGAGTGCGTCCTCGCGGATGGGACGTATTCGGGAAGATAGGGATGCACATGTCCGCGGCATACCCTTCATCTCTGTCCTCCGCTCGTAGCGAGGGTGCTATCGGACAAATCTTGTAGCGGTACCAGGGTTTATTGGGGAACGGAATCTCCAGTTCCTGTGTAAATGTTAAGCATCACAAGCTTGGTGTTGAAGGACATTTCTCGAAAGTCACGCACATTTTTGAGATACACGACGTATGCTTTGGTTTGGATAGCTTCCGCGGCGGATAGGGCTTCCGGATCGTTGAGGTCTTTGACCATCGCAACTGGATTCATGCGAATCACAGCGTAGGTCCCAGGGTTTGGGCTGAAGAACACCGTGGTAGCTCTGTCAGAGAGTGGTTGTTCGGGTTGCATGTTGCGCAGGCGTTATCGTGTGTAAGCAAAGTCGGGCTGGGCCAGCAGCAGACGGGTTGAGGCGACAGAGGCGAGATGTGCGGAGACAGACGGAGTGAGGTCGACCAGGCTCGTATGGGAGAGCATCTTATCGGAATGTGCCTAAGACAAGGGCCGTATCGCCAGCAGCCCGTAGCGACGGAGAACAATAGCTTTAAGACCTTGTTCTCGGCCACGCGTCCATGTTTGTGCCTGTTGATCAGTGTGGGCATTTAGGCGCCGCCGGCGTACGCCTGGGCCTAGACTTGGCGGCAGCCTGACACTCGGACCACTGATCAATTCCGAGTCGGTTTCAGGCCCTTATGTTTCCGAGAAAACAACATGAGATTATTGTCTCCGTTGCCTACTGGAAGGCTTCAGCGTGCACTGTAGATTGCGCAAGGACCTCACGCCTTGTCTGACAACGATCGCATTGGAAACCAGACTCAACCGGGCCTAAATTATCTACTACGGTGGCATGCTCGACGTCGAAGCTATATATTGTACGATTTGCACGCTCTCACAGGCAAACAAGCCCCTTCCCCTCTCCTCTCACATTTCTAGCTTCCCTCCCGCTTCTCAAACTCGAACGACTTGAACGATCCACGATGGCCATCAGGTGTCTCGCATGCAGCCCGGATCAACACGCAGGCCCTGAGGAAGAGACGGTGCTCCGCCGCGGAGAAGTATTCGAGATTCAAGAATCGGTGTTCACCCCCATCGAACATATCCTGGCAGATATGCACGGTGTCTCGGGGCTGGCTGGAGACGCCCTCCATCGCTCCCGAAGCTCGCTCCACAGCATGCGCACCAAGGAGAACGCCACTCACAAAAGCCGCCCTTGCATCCTCATGAACGGTGTCCGTAGGGCACGAAAGGGTATGGCTGGCTGCAACATATGTCTCATGGCCACGTTCGAGAAGACGCCGATCGAAAAGCTCCCCCGGGTCTTCCGACACTTCTGTCTGCAGGTGTTCACAGAAACCGCACCGGTACTGGAAACACCTCATCTCCACTCCCTTCCAAAATGGCGCAGACGTAGCGGTATGCAGTGGATCATCATGTGGCCGTTTGATACGACGCGCACATTGGGCGGGCGATGGGGGGCACGGCCCGGGCATGGCGGCTGCGGGCAACGCACGGGCATGGCCTTCGGTGAGAATGCCATGGGATATCTCGACGAGCTCTGCGAAATGAAGGACCGCGAGTGGAAAGAGCTCTGCTATTCGCAACCGGGGTTTGCCGCAGAGCAAGAACAAGAATATAGGGTACGTACTTCATCGTTCCCCTCTATCCTTTATCACGCCTTACGAGCATGACCTAGGATTACATGGACACGTGGAGGGGATCAACAACGGTACGAGCGCCGATTTTCGTATCTTGCCTTTGCGTGCTTATGCTTTCTCGTAGGGGTCACGGACCGTATCTTGCGGCTCGCGGGAGTCGACACCCTCTAGATGGCCAGGATATGATGCTCGGAGCATCGTGTCTGAAACCATATACGAAGATCAGGTCAGCCTCTTCGATGAGAAGGCTCGATACGCACCCTATCAGGTACGGAAGAGTACATCAAACCGTCATTCCTCTTGGCTGACTGTGGATGTGAACGTAGGCTCATAACCCCCAGAGCGTGCGGCCCAAGCGCCCCAGGCGTGGCGCGGGGGACTCAGGTGGCAGATCCAACACTTATTCCCTAACAAGCGTAAGTGTTGGACATGCGCTGTCTGTGACCTTGTGCTTATCCGTTCGCACCTTCGCGACTTTCAGATCAATGATGGAGCATCCGCGTGTAACATGGGCCACAAGCACCAAAGCCCGACACGTGAGGTGTTCACTAACTTCACGAAACGACTCAGCGTCGTTGCACCCTGGGGAACGGCGTAGAGAGTTTGAGGCGGCCCGCTGGACGAGCTGCTTATGATACCACAGTCCATGATGATACCATTTTTGATGATCCAATCAAGTCTGTCATTTGAGTTATGGCGTAGAGGATTAGGACGTACCGCGACTGTTCCGAGTGCACGGTGTCCGCCGGCTCGCCCCGAAGAGAGATAATGTAGTTGTTGATGTGTCAAGTGCACCACTGGCCGGACCAGCGATTTGTCAATGGTAAGCCCTGCCCAGAGCCGTTGTGAGAGAACCATACAAACGACAACAAACAAGGCATGAAGTATTGGCAGCCAAGCTAGCTGCGGAGTGAAATTGATGAACTTCTACGCAGAGTTGTCAATGACCGCTGTCCGCACATTCTGGGGAGTCTTCACCTTCAGTACTACTATAGAGCAGGCAGTGTTACATGCGCTCCCGAACTCTCGCATAGCCAGTGACGTTCCATCGAAGGAGTACATGTCTTCGATCTCCTTCGCGTACAGCTTGAGGCATACTCCACGCCGGGTCGTCCCCTTGAGCGTGCGCTCGAACGGCTTCTCCGAAGATGCGACGAGGATCATCTGGTGAGTCAGGCACAAAGTTAGTGATGCGTCCCCCGGCATCTTAAGGTATGGGACTCTGAACGCGTACATTGCGCGAGATCTGTGCATGCTGCTGCAAGTGCGCGTTCGCTTTCTCAACTGAGGGCCTACGTGCGTCAAAAATGTCAGGCATGTTCCACAAATTGTGGAGTACACTGACCATATCAAGTCCTTGTACGCTTCGCCTCGCTGCTCATGGTAGAGTCCTGAAGGGGGCTCGACAAGCAGGCCAGACCCCATGCGTTGGTGTCCGAACAGAACCGCCGAGCGGATGTTCGGATCTTGCATGAGCATGCCTTCTGTTTATTCGTGAGCACACAGACCAGGTACCATGTGATGTTAGACGTACCGACTGGTACCGGGTTGAGCTGTAGATGATATCAGTTTAGTCCTAAGCCATCGCATACTATGCTCACCATCCGCCCAGTAGAGAACACGATCTGGTCGTCCTGTCGGCCCAGGACCCTCCAGTGTCGCCTTTGTTGCATGCTGTTCTAATAGGTCGCCCCTAGCCCACGCCGGCCGGCCGTCTACCTCCGTGTTGGTCAGATTCGGGCGATCGGATGCGTCTGCCGCCTGGAGTAGCGTTGAGCATGACAATCTACAGAACGTGGAAAGCTACGGATACTTACGATCTTAATGGGCTCAAACACGCGCTTCCTGCCCTCTTGCGGTTTCATGTAGAAGCTAAGGTGAGGCGAGAACTCGAAGTATTCCCAGTCGCGTGAGGAGTCGGGCTCCTGCGGAAGAAACTTGCTCGCCACGCCCACCTCAGTGCTGCTCGGGACGTGTCAGAGTTATGTACACGCCACGCACCACGATTGACAGTACACGTACCTTCCCCAGACGGACACGAGCAGGACTCCATCTGATTCGAGCTTGTCGCCGACACTCGTGGCTAATGGAGCCCCAGTGTAGACCTGTGAATCTCCCTGAGTATTACGAGGAATTGTAAATGAGACGATGAAGACATACGAGGTAGTCGAGCTCCTGCATGGCTCGAATGTTTCCCTGTTCACACGCCAATCCCTATATTATACGCGCTGAGAGATGCAGATTCGTATGACCGGACCAGAAACCTGAGACGCACTTCAATGAAAGCGGGCATAGAGATTACGATCTCGCATTTGCATGCTTTCCACGCAGCGAGGAAGTTCGCGGCAGTGGGGACGGTGAGAGGGCGTGCGGGGGCGTAAAAAGCGAATGTCGCGCCGCACGTCAGCTGCATCGCGTTCGAGACTTTAACAGTGATTCATGGTGTGAACTTTGCCAGGACGCTTACGGGCCACTACAGTCCAAGCACGAGACGTGGATGAGATGCGAATACCGCGAGTGATTCATTCGGGAAACTTACGATCATCGACAGGATCCCAGTGGTATCTGACGTGCGGCAGGTATGAGTCGAGTATGAGCAGGTGCGACTTATGAACGATATATAGACACTCACGGTACAGGGAGTTCGTATGCGCCGCGATACGTTTCCCTACCAAATCGACATCTCCGAACTCTGAAAGCAAGCGAGTAATGCCAGATCAGGGGAGGTGAAGCTCGTACATGCAGTACGAAGACGTACTGGGCGTGTTACACGCGTTCGCAAGCGCTTTCCCCGTCAAAGGAATCGGTTTCGGGAGCCCCGTGCTACCTATACACATCCATGTCAGCGTAGCCCGTCCGGAATGCCAGACTGGTTGCCACAAGACACTCACCAGTGGAATGCATTATGAGAACGACATCGTCGTTCGCAAAACGTTCGACCTGTCTAGTGCGACGCTCCCTAGTGAGCTTGAACGACGCGTAATCCTCAGGAACGATCATTGGAATCAGCTCGAGCGTGATACCCTTCGCCCGCAGGATGTCCGCCGCGCTGTGCGCCATAGCCTGTAGTTCCACATCGTCGCTGACAAACAGCTGCGCCACGGCCTTCGTTTCTAGCAGATGCGCAATCGCTTCCGGGTCATTGGCCGGAGCGAGCGGGAAGACGGTGTAGTCAAGGCTCATCAGCGCGACTATTAGGTATATGTAGCTGAGCGCGTCTGGGACCAAGCTCGTCAGCGCTGGGGAAACATCGAGTGATTGGCAGCGCGGACGTACCGGATAATGCGAGGATGCCGACGACAGGACGCACGCGTCCGGAAAATTCGCCGTGGAGCTGCGGCTTGAAGAGCCGCTTTGAGACAACATCTGCGACGGCGCCGATCCTGTCCCAAGCTTCTGAGAAGGGGATGTCGTGCGATTCACCAGTGTCGCGGTCGGCGTAGGTGAACACGGGGTGGTCATGGCTATGCTGGGCGTGGTACTCATACAGGCCGGGGACGGAGAGACCGTGCTCGAGTGGGGGAGCACTGAAAGTCGTGCGGGGAACGCAATGCTGCGCGGGGTACGGTGGCATGATATGCAATGAAGGGATCACTGGGTCGAGGTTCTTGCTGTTCGCCGCAAAGCTGCGGGGGCTATTTGTACTGGGGTCAATGCACCCGCCCTATACGGTGTGTAGAATGCAGGGCGTAAACGATGCCCTGCGTACAATCGGGTGCCCTCGTGAACTCTGAGCTGTTCTGACTCATCGTAGTGAGCTTCGCGAAGGCAGGTTCGAGGAAGCAAAGCTCGTCACTCACCACGTAAGCACCACACTTTGGAGTGTGAGGAGTGCAAGAACTTCGATAGGACTCCAGTTACACGTCCGTTGACCTCTCCAAAGACTCTGCGATGATCTGGGTATGATTCGAGAATGACCGCACAGGAGGTGTAGCTCTGAGACGGTTCCACAGAAGATCTGGCTTCCAGATGTGCGGCTGTAGTATACAGCTTCCTCGTACGTGCTTCAAACCAATTGAATTCGAATGCTGAATGGTAGTCTTCGTGTATAGATAGACAAACGAATCATGAGGCCTGAGGGTACATACCTGGAACGCCGGGTGAGCAGCGTTGCTAGTTGCGGCATAGAAAAGCTACGGCGGGATCACGCCAAGCTTCGCGGCTTGAATATACGAGAGCGTATACATACAGCTCTGTAAGGCGCCCTGAGAACGAGGGCGTGTGTTCCTTCAAAAACGCATCAGCAAGACGCTCGAGAACCTGACCAGCACACCACACATACCGTTCAAGCAACGACTCACGAGGGTTTCACATAATGTAGACCCACACTGTGCGGTAGCTACAGAGATGGCAGTAGCTCTCCCTGTCGCGCACGAGGAATAACTCGAGCTGAAAACGCGATGGTGGGCGGATTCGTCGACGCATCCGACTAGAGCGCCAAGTAGAACCGCGCATACTCTCTCTACACTTACCTCGAGTATGCTACTGGCATCTGTACGTCAAATATGATGCTTCATTGCTGTCAGGTAGTCGCAAGAAGGTCCGGATGTTGTGCCAGCATCAAGTTATAGTGACGACCATGGCGGTTTCGGTCAAGATGCATATAAGTAGACGCCTGTCAGTGTCGCCACGGCGTCTTTTTGGCGTCTGGTCTCTTTCTTTCGCACCACGACATGAATCTACTTGACCTACTGGCGGTATCAGACTCCTCCTCGCTCTCAACAGTCGCCTGCATGCGCATACTCCTTTGAAACCAGGATCAACTGTGTGTGTCTGGAGGACCAGAAGAACCGGCCAGTAGCCACACGCGTACCCTCGGTCTCTCGGTGGCGCAACGACATGGCTTTTCGTGTGGGCCTCAGGAGACCTTCAGCCACGCGAATGACTGCACAATCAGGCATAGGCCGCCGCAGTAGTAAGTTAAAGCATTGTTTGGCTAGTGAGCTATGTCAGGCATGAACGTGGGACGCGGTCTTTCCACCTGGTGAGCAACGTTGACCACTTAGCCTCAGTGTCACGTACAAAGAGCGAAGGCTTCTTTGCACTCCCTTGAAGTCCGCGCAATGCCATTGTGCGATGGCTTGCCTCAAAACCGCCCTCGGCTGGTTCGATGAAGCCCTCACAACTTGCCGCACTTCTCGCCTCTCCATCCAGATACCAAAGATGCTCTTCTTCCCGCTCCCAAGCAGCTACGCGGTCGTAGAGATCGACGTAGAGAAAACACTCCAACCTCTCAACGATCCCGTCGCCTCCGCCGCCGGCGCGCAAATCAAGACGACGAAGTGCATCGTCTACCTAGACATGGTACGCGCCTTCCTCTCCCAACCCCCAACCACGCTCTGACCCTCCAGCAGGTCCTCCGGCTGCCGCTTCCGCACGACACCCATTTCAAGTATATGGCGTGCCTCATCGGCCCTGGACTGCGCCCCGCATACCCCGAGCTCTGCATCACGCCCGACATGTGCATCCCCATCCTCCCCAACACCCGCCACCCCACCGCCGACCGTGAGGCGCTCCGTTCGGACCCTCCGTTCCCGTTCGGCAACTGTTATCACTGGTCCGGACCGGACATGCGGCTGGACATCCGGGTCGCGAACGACGGGCGGAACTACGGCGTTGGGCCAAGAATGACATTGCCCGCGGTCCAGCACGTAAAGATGGTGGGTATACAGGACCGAGATATGTGGCAGAGCTGCTGCGCCAGGAAGGAACGGGATGGTATGGCGCGCGTCACCGGCGTACCTGCACAGGCGGGAGAACGGGACTCTCACCCTCCGCTCGTGGAAAGCATGCGCTCGTGCACCATAAGGCAGGCGCAAAGTCCACGCTCAGCTGCAGGAGCTGAGGGCAAGGGCTACGTCGAGGCAAACGAGTACGCGGAACTAGAGGCGTGCCACTACCCCTGCGAGTCTTGCGGGGGTGCCTGTCACGCTGACGATGACTCCGAGAACAGCGACGAACACTCGTCTCGTTCGTCCATGGACACGGCCTCGGATGGGTCTGGTGACTGCGACTGTAGTGACTGCACTGAATCTCTCGACGACATGGGCATCTTTGGTCTTAACGGCGACCCGCAAGACTACCTTTTGCCGATCGTGAAGGTCTCACTCGACATCGGTGCGCACTTCAAGGATGACTCTGACGTCCCGGATCCGATGAAGTTCATGCAGCAGCGCGATGCTCTGGTCAGGTGTGTAGGCTATCGCATGGGTGGCGTATCACGTCCTGACCATTTTGACAGGATCATCGAGGAGAGCAAACTTCGTGCGAAGCAATCGCTCGAGGCGACCGAGTCGAACGTTGCCGCCTGAGAGTCTCGCTGGACGGGGTGTAGCGTCGGTGCGGAGGACGCTAACTTCAGCAGTGCTGCCGGAGAAGTAGCCGCTGTCGGTGTGCCATCTGGTGTCGATACGGAAGGCGGGGGGGTCTCCGGCTGTACTCTCAGGCTTCGACGCTGCGGAGGCTAAGCTAGCCAGTGCGGACGTATCTGTTTCTTTTACAACATAATACTAATGACAATTGGCTTATGTGCTCTATCTGCTCAAAAATGTGCCGGCCACTGTGCGATGACATCCCAGTATGCGGAATCTAGCCCCGGCCATCCATGATCTTGGTGGGCGACTGCTGGTAGTTGCGCGCGACGATGCGTGCGATGACGCTGATTTTCTCCGAAGTCTCGGCGTACGAGAAGTCGTGCTGCTCGTTCGTATCGGGGTTCCCATATGTGAATACGGCGTGGTTTGAATTATGTTTAGCGTGGTACTTGTATAGACTAGACAGCGAAAGACCATGCTTGAGTTTGGGCGGAGGGGCGGTTGACACCCTGAGGCGTGGGGCGAGCGGTCATTTTAGCGCCACTGAAGTCGTCTATGTACCTGCAAGAGACGACCCGGGGGGGTGAGCGAGACTTGGGTCTAGAAGTAGGAGGGTGCATACGAGGCCGGTTATAGGCACTATCTCATAGCGTGATAGTTCTCAACGGACTACACGATCATGGCGTACCTATACGGTATACACAAGCCTTGAATCCTGATGCAGCTGGAAGGAGCGCTTGGGCCGCGTTCTAGGTCGGAAGAGATGCTACGGCCTGCCAGCAACTCGTTGAAGTCTCGACGAAGTTCAGTCGGAACCCACTCCACGATTGCGGTGTCGGCAAAGTTCAAACGCTCCTTGACATCCCGACAAGCTTCTGACTTCGAAAAGGCGCTGCAGCTAAAACAGTCGGCGACGCTGCTCATTTGTGCGAACTGGGTACTACCCAACCTGTCCAAGACGTCTTATCAGCAACGATATCAGAATTACATAGCCGTAGGCCTTCAAGTCTCGGCCTTCAAGTATCCCAAATCCGCAGGCACAGTGACTTGTGGCACATACCCATGTGGACATTGGGGAACCGGCACTAGGATTCCTCATCTTGAGCGCGGCTGTGGCTGAGCTGTGAGAGTGCGTGTAGATAAAGCAAGTCGAAGGGAGTATTTCTTGAGCTTGATTCGACGCAGTGTGTGCCAACAGTATGAAAGACGCTGTCTGTTTGGCGAGGTTTGGCGCTGGCTCACCACAGCTGGTGCCTGCTTATCTACTAATATAAAGTCCACCCGCGGGCGTTGTGACACTTTACTAAGTTTCTACCCAGACCATTACCCACAGTTGTTAAATGGGGTCCCAGGATTGGATATATATCCAAATTAGGCTCAGTGAAGCTCCTACAAACGAGCGGCGCAGTGGCATAAATTATCAGCGCGCGGGTTGAGATAGTATATAATCACCCATGTCAGCCCTAGTTTGGAGATGGTCAACATCTGGCGTTCGATGCTAGGATTCGTGCCAGGTCCCGGTATCACGATAAGAACAGAGAAGATTCAAGAGCAGCTCCCTCGCAAAGAGGACGTCGCTGGGAAGTTCAGAATTCGTGCTCACCACCGGCTCCTATAATGTGGCGCGCTCAAACGTAATTAGAGACAAAGACACATCTATAAGAATCTATGAAAACTTCGCACGAGTCACCAATGTGGCAGTAGGCCGGCTAATCGACAACCACACTAGGTACTCGCGGCATGCCAACGTGCGATTTCTAAAGCACGTAGGTATACTGCCACTTTATGGAAAGCCAAAAAAGGTACAAACAGAGGCGAATAGAGAATGGAACATCGGCACTGCGTAAGAACGACATGCTGGCGACAGCGAGCGCGACACCGGCTACGCGCTTCGTTTCATGCCCCTAGTGCGTAGTACGGCTCACTGAAGATCCGACAGTACGCAGGGAGGGCATGCGCGGTAGACAGCCAGACCTGCGGGTACCATAATCCTAGTTAGTTCGATTTATCACGGGATAGAAGTGGCGACATCGTACGCACGTTGTACCAGTAGAAAGCCACTTGATACTCGTGTATCGTCTTCCCGTTAAGATAGAGCACGCCCACGTACACCGCAAGCGCAGTGACAGCCGTGCCCGCCAGAACGCTGAGGCCCCAGAACACGGAGAGCCCGACCGACCACAGCACCAGCGGCACGATCACCGTCCACCGCGCGGCGGCCCCGAAGACGATCGGGATCGTCTGCCGGCCGATGGCTCGGTCGCCGTCAACGTCCTTGAAGTCCTGCGTGTGGATCGTCGTCGCGAAGATGCCCGTGCTCGCGAGAACGGAGCAGAGCGCAATCCCGTCCAGACGCGTAGGGTCCGATCCAGCGACAAGCGTCGCGCCGACCTCGAACGACGCGAACCCAAGCGCGTTCACGACGTTGCGGATCGCATAGTGCCGGCGGTGCGTAGTAAGCTCGTTGTAGAGGAGCGTGAGGAATACGAGCGCCGCACTCGCATAGACTGTCTGTGCGCTGTAGAGCGCGGAGAGACGCAGGCAGACGGGGACGATGGCCCAGCGGAGGAAACGAGCCTGCGCGAGGGTGATGCGCTTGGCGGGGAGGGGCGGTCGCGCTTGTTCTGCGCATCCTCCTCTGGATCCATACACTGGTTCGAGAGGTCGAACTGAAGGAGATGAAGCCAAACCCAGAAGACTATATGTGGGACGCGGAGGATGCCCGCTACGGGAGCAGATGCGATTGCGAGGG